CCCATCAACGGCGCGATTGGCCAACCAAAGGTCGTTTGATGCCGTTAAAAAGCTCTGGAAGCTTCGCGCGCGTTGCTCCAACGGCGTTTTGGGGGACCTAGACGTTTTTTTTTGGCAGCAACGGCGAAAGTAAGTGCAATTTCAATCAGCGGTGGGAATTCAGCGGTTTCCTGATACGTAGTGGATGTATGTAGAATCTGGATTCCGCCCAACAAACAGACCCCAAGCCGCTTCAAAAGGGAATCCTGGAATGAGTGCCCTGGTACCCTTTCAGAAGTTGGACGGTATCTGGGGACACTTTTGGAGCCCTTGCATACCCTAAGACAAGGTCTACAACTAAAAGAGTTACATCATGGCTACTAATCGTTCGTTCTGCCCCACTGGGTCATCTTAAAACCATTCGAAGCCTATAACTATGGGCAGACTCATAGGGTTCGCACTCTACACCCTAAACAATCCCAACGCCCCCACCCTCATACCTTGAGCCCACACTACACCCTAAACCCACTACCACCACCACCAGCCACGATCCAAAGTGGTGGTTTGTCCAGCGGCCCAGGGTGCTCAGCAGCTGCAGCGCTTCGCGACCTTCAAGGAGCTCAGTCGAGGCCCAACAGGAGGCAAACCCAGAGGTAAACCACAGGTGAGTAATCAAAACCAGAGCCATGTAAAGAACTAAAAAGGCGGTCGCAGCTATTGCTGGCTGGGATTGTCTCTTACTATCCTTACTATCCATTACCCGGGTTTCGATTGTGGCTCAGGGAATGTTGACCCCATATTGATCAGCCCCAGATATTTATAATAGGGGGGTGTTCCCCCTCCAAAAGTCATGGTGCCCCACTAATTCCAGGGACACCCCCTATTAATAAGCTGGGGTTGAATTATTGTGGCCGACATTGCCTTCCTTCAACAAGGCTTGCTGAGACTGCTTTCAGCGCCCGGATCAGCACCGGACCAGCAACCTTTAAACTAATGTGTTGCAAGAGCTTGACTCGTCCCTCGAATCGGAGTGCCCTGGATAAAGGGAATCCCCACCAAACAGGAAGCTAACTAAGGCTGCTCTTGGTTGGGAGTCAACGCGCGGCAGAGTTTCTTCCCGCTATCGCATCAGCATGCTCAAGGCCGCGCATGCAGGCGGATTGACCTGTTGGTGCCCGTGTGGATTCTGTCTACCTTAGTCAAGTCAAAAATACATGTGCGGATTGGTTAAACAAACTTAAGTGTTTTTGCCAAAAGGCTACAGAACCCAGAACTTCCCAGCCATAACGCGCAACCAGCAAGTGCGCGCTCGTGTGGAATGTGGGTTGACGCAAAAATGGTACCCCAACGGGTCTTGAAATAGGGGGAAGCCAATGTTTGACCATGTTTGCCCCATTGCAACCTGGAAAGCTACCCGCATGTCAAAGGCTCACGCAGCCCCAGAACCTCCAACTTTGGCTAGACGTGTCGGGCGCCCAATTGAGAAAAAAACAGCACCCCCTGCAAATCTGATGAAATCGATGGGGTTCCAATGAGGCCCATCACAACCGAGGATTGCCCCAGTTCCGTGGATCAGGTGCAACACTGTGTACTGCTTCGTCTCTTTTCACAAGGCGGGGCTGGGGGGGGGGAAGCGCTGACGAGATGTTCTCCGCAAACATACATTCATGATAGCATCACAAGCCTTGATCAATCAACTTAGCGGCATCAAGACACCAAGCAAGCTAGCAAGTCAACACGAGGACTAGCAAAACCATTCCTTGTAAAGGTTAGCAGCTTTCATGAGTGCCCCTTATGTTGGCCGTTCCGTTTAATCCGAATGACATGGTGCTGGTTTTTGGTGCAACGTAGCAAGGTGCAAACACCACCCAAGGAAACAAATCATTAGCCTTCTTACTACCTGGTAAACTTGGAACAGAACCAACATGCTCTCGAAAATCATCTTGACCGACCTGCCTGGAAGCTTGTTGTCTCTATGCACTCGCTCCTCAGGTGAAAGCAGCTCAGGCCAAGGAGGCGCGTGGTTCCATGTGTCTGCCACGGTGAACGCTGGCGTCGTCTTTTCGGGGTGCGCTTTGCGCAGTCTGCGCGGGAAGCTCAAGTCCACTTTCTGATCCCCGGCCAAAAGTGAAGAACTTGTGGGATAAATGAAAACCACCCACAAAACACTAGAACACAAAAAAAGCTAAGAGGATGGCTGGGACCACCAAGTCAAGAAGCACAATGTTGCACATGTTGATGATTCAAAAGGCGCGCATCATATGAAACGCCTGCATATGAAACGCCACCGTGGGTAATATCGCACGCGCCCTTGGTGAGGCTCGCCCAGGCAAGGGATTCTCAGCGCGAGTCCCTTCCGGACAACATGGATCTCATGCGCTTAAAAAGAAATGACAAATCTTTATTCTGATGGAAAGAACCGCCCTCCTCCCCTTATTACTCCGCCCGCTTCCCACAATCGCTGCCACAGTTGTGCGCGCAAGCGAACAAAGAAGCGGTGTCTGCGAAAGGGCAATGGAGACATCTCCAAGTCTTTCCTTTCTTCTTCTCCCAAATTGTCCATCCCGAAGGCCTTCCAAACAGCAACCAGCTTCCTGGTTTTCTCCCCCGGTGACGTACACACTTAAAGATGTGTTTTTTTCTTTTTGTTTTTTTCCCGAAAGAAGGCATTTAAGCAAATGTATCAAAGGCACTGTGCTGAAGCGCGACCGTGCGGTTGGGATACGCGATGACCCCTGGTTGCACATTGGCGCGTGGCTACCAGCACGGTGATACTGGGCTGCTTTTGCGTTCATATCTGTGCAAATCCCTATGCTTGGACCAGCTTCACAACGCAGCATCCAGCACAAAGCCTTCGACAAACAACAGTTGAGAGTTGAGACCCCATCTTTGCTCATCCAAAAATAGTTCTCACCACGATGGAGGGTTGGCCCACCCTACTCCCAAATAAAATCCCTGGCTGGAAGCCACTACTGCTCTAAAGTCCCTACTTGCAAACCACACCAGGGACCCCTTTTTCGAAACCCACGGGAAGGATGGAGGAGCGCAGACTAGCCTCCCACCGACTAACATGGAACCTCTCATGTCCTTTGGACCATTTTTTCCTCACTGGGAGCCCCGAACGGTGAGTCACCATGTAAAGAATTAGAACGGCCGCAACTATTCCCCCTTGCTCACCTTCATCTACGGTTTTGATTGGCTCTGGTTCCGTGGGAGGGCGGTCCACTCGGTCGAGTCCAAGTCGCCAGCAGCTCGGCACAGCTCTTGGCCTCGCGGATGCGGTCCCAGTGGGTCTGTCGGAAGATCTGCGCCAACCAGCAAATGTCCTGCGGACGTTTCGGAAGTTTTGGGCCCGGGCATTGATGTGTGTGTGTGTGTGCGTCTGTCTGTGTGTGTGTGTGGGGGGGGGGGGTCTGAGGCTGTGTGTGTGTGTGTGTGCGTAGCCTTGCCTTGAACATGACCCTTTTCTGACTCTGGATGGTTAGTGAAATGTATCCCCTTTGAACTCATAATGTAAGGGTCCAAAGAATTATTGAGCTAAAAGAAGCGGTGTTGACCTCAAAATTTGGAACTCCAAAACAGGCCCAGGCATCCGTAACTGCAACTTGCCCGCAGCCACACCAAATCACTCTGGAGCTTCTCTGGGCAGAAAAAAAACAAAAATCACCACAGTGTGGATGGACGAAACCCGTTCGCACCACCAAAGGACCATGGTTAAAACCATAAGGTTTGTTGGTATTTACCGCAAAATCGAATCCTTCCAGGCTTTTGACCGGGGAATCGACTCATTCCAGCTGCTCAGCCCTCCTGCTCCACCAGCTCCCGAGCTAAGCCGAAGACCTCAGCTCATGCGCAAGAGCTGAACGGATCTTCGCCACTCTGCATATATTTAAACTCTTATCATAGTATGGTTTTATCAGTATACTAAATTTATATGTAATAGTATTCTGGTACTACTACTATACTTATGTCAGTTGTTGTTGTTGTTGGTGTTGCTGAACATGTCACCAGCCGTAGCTGAATCCACGGCCAACACACGCACGATCCACCATCGCCAGGATTACCCGCCCCGTTGTTGGTTCCAAGGAAACAAAGAATACCCAAAGGGGCGGATATCGTTGTTGTTTGTTGTTTTAAGTAAGCCCGGCGATGGTGGATTGTGCGTGTGTTGGCGGTGGATCCACGTTGAGGCTGGTGACGTTTCCAGCAACGACACTACAACGACAACTGACAGAAGTATAACTGTAAAACCGGAATACTATAATACAGTATAATTCAGTATACTGATAAAACCATAATATGATAAGATTTATATATATATATATATATATGTGAATGATAGTATAATATCGTGTTACATCATAACAATCGTCGAACGGTGTATCTTTTGTTGCTGGCCGCGCAGCCCAGTCTCGCTCCGCATCTGTCCACGGCCGCAAGGATCGCCTGAGTTGGTCCAGAAGCCGCAGCAGCAGCTGACGCGCCGAGGCTCTGACCTGTCGGATCCCACGAAGCTTGGGTCGTGCAACCGGTCCAGGAACCGTCCCCCCCACAGGGCCATCATTTTGACGAAGGGAATAAGTAGCATCCATCGAAACAGCTTGAACAAAACGAGAAAATCACCTAAATCAGCGGATTTGCCAAAAAACAAACAAAAACACCTGTCATGAAAAACATGGGTCCAGGTGCTTTTTTTGTTGGGAGCCCAGAAACCTTTTTTCTCGACCTTCTCAGAAAAAGGGTTGATCCATGTTTCGTGGAAATAACATGATGGTTGTTTTCCTTGGTTCCACTCAATTAAGTTCTGGTCCTCGAAACTGAAACCGTCCTTTGTGCGATGCTTTCCATTTCGTTGGTCTTGATTCCTTCAAAGAGGGTGGAATTTCGATCTTCCGGCATACGTGGCACCCCATGGAGGGGCTTAGCTTTCGCCAACTCGCTCCATCGCTGAGAGGCGCAAAATGTCGACCCCATATCAACCAACCGGGAGGTTCCCCTCAAGTGGTCTGATTCGAATCCCACGTTTCGCCCAGGGACGCCCCCCCTAATAAACAGGGGTTGAGTAATATGGGGTGAACAATAGTAAACTTGCTGGTGCTCAGCAGGGAATGATCAAAGGCTTTGGTTTCAGAAAAAATCTGCAGGAAACGACCCCAAAACACCCTAAATAAGCTGTTTCCCTGTAGAAATTTCCTGTAGCCCAACCCGTCCCGACCCTTTGAGATGAGAATTGGAATGACCCTTATAAACCATCCAACTGATGGTTTCCTTTTAGGAATCGCTGGTTTCATTCCTACTGAGCACCAGCAAGTAATGTGGACTCCAGTCATAGGTGGTGTGCCTGGGTGTAGCGGGGTTTCATCACTTTTGGAGGGGAACGCCCTCCCGCATTAATCTGACGGGTGTATTAAACCGGGGTCAACATTACTCGGAGCACGGGGGCTGACTATTCTTAGGAAACCCACCAAGCGACATGAACAAGGAATCGACCAATAGGGGTTTACTCAAGAACACAAAGTTCTACCCAGGTAACCTAAGTCCTTGTTGCACCGGTACACGAGTGAACTTGGATTGGTCTCATGGTGGAGGCACCCAAATGTATTCTCCTGAGTCCCTTTGAACAATTGCAAGATTGCTAAGACAGACGTAACCACCCAAGAAGTGTTTAACTATTGCTGCGTGGAAAGAAAAACAATGGACACCACAAAAAAAAAACAAGCAACGAAACCGAAAAAGGAACAAAGGCAAGCGAATTCGCCCATGCAACAACAACAAAACACAACAAAAACAAAAACTGCGACGGCCTTTTGCGAACCACTCGAGACTCATCCGACGGTCGACGGTCATCCCCTCCGATGCCTTCCAGCGCACGCTCAGCGGGAAGTTTTCGCTGTCCACCTCGGAGGCCTCGAGAGCCAACAGCTGGCCGTGGCGGTTGTAGACCTCAGCGCGGCGAAGCGAAGCGAAGCCGAGCGTGGAACGAAACCCGCCATGGTAGGAAATATGTAGGAAATATGTAGGAAGGTGGGAATGAACTGTTTTGGCATTCCCGAAGAAAGGAAACCACCAGTTGGATGGTTGATAAAGGTCATTCCTCTTCTCATTCCCTGCTCAGCACCAGCAAGCTTGCTCATGTTGACCCCATGTTTATCAACCCCAGTTGATCCCTGCCACGTTTCACCCAGGGACGCCTCCCTAATCAAACGTGGGATTCGAATCAGACCACTTGAGGGGAACCCCCCGATTGGTTGATTGATATGGGGTCGACATTTTGCGCCTCTCAGCCATGGAGCGAGTTGGCGAAAGCTAAGCCCCTCCATGGGGTGCCACGTATGCCGGAAGATCGAAATTCCACCCTCTTTGAAGGAATCAAGACCAACGAAATGGAAAGCATCGCACAAAGGACGGTTTCGGTTTCGAGGACCAGAACTTAATTGAGTGGATTGACTAAGGAAAACAACCAATATTTTAGTGATTTCCACCAAACATGGTCGTCCAATGCGAGGGAGAGAAACAATGGTTTTGGATGTTTACATGGATCCCCGTCCTCCAAAGGGGGACAAGGTGTTCCAGGAAACCACAGAAGCCCTTTCTGCTTTGGGACCTTTGGACACAGACTCGTACGGACATATCTCAGGGTACCCTCCACGTTCTTTCTAGGGATAGGTGCTTTCCGGAAAACCACGAAACACCGAGGGAAGCGGCTGGTTTGGGCCAAGAATGATGGTTGGAAAGAATTGCTGCTAAACAATGCCTAAAACATACGGGCTGCAAGGCTGCAAATTTTACAACAAGTCCAGACCCTGAAATACTTTGACCCCTATGTAAAGGACCTTCATCCTGGCAAGCTCGTTTTAAAAAGCAACACAAAACTGGGCTGCCCTCAGATCCCTCGCAAATGGAAATCCCCACTAAATACTCAAACATCTAAAAGGCTAAGAGACCGGATGGCTGGGAGCCACCAAGAAACGGTGATGCTTCAGGGCAACCCCCCACCCCTCGTTTTCGTCCGCGACGCCGCGCAGTCCTCGCGCCGCTCCCTGAAGACATCCAGTGCCGATGAGGTAGCGCTGTACTCAATGAGGGCGTCGTCCTCGAGGGAAGTTCCGTGTTAACTCAGGGGACTGAAGATTTGTTTAGTTATTAGTATCATTGATATTATTATTATTATTATTATTATTATTATTATTATTATTATTATTATTATTATTTATTTTTATGAGTTGTTTTATTCATTTTTTTTTTCGATTCCTTTGGGGACTACACACTCCAATTAGAAATAACGGAAAAAAGAGAGAAAACCAACGCTTGGTTTCCTTTTGGGACATTCGGTGTTAAATATCGACTATATCCTCTAATTTGAGGTTTGGATCGGTGGTTTGTGGCTGTAGGCTCAACAAGAACCAGGGGTTCAACCCCCCAAACCACCAATGAAACCACCAATAGCCAGTGGATCCAGTTAGCTGAGGTCATCAACAAAACACTTTCTACACTCCGTAGGGTTCAACCCCCATGAAAAGAATGTTTGACTCAATTTGGATGAAGCTCCTTATAGGTAAATAATGGTGGCTCCATAACCCCCTTTGCCTTAATGGAATCCGCCGAGTCGGCCTAGAGAAACAAAACAAAAATCCCCATCCCAAGCGGGCCATGGGGAGGTTTTCTGGACAAAAGCAAGCACCCCCCTTCTTCGTGTTTAGTGGTGGCCCCAAATGAACCCGAGCCATTTGGCTTGGCAGACGGACAATCTGGTAAAGGAAATTCCGTTCAACAGACTTCAGGTTGCTTACGATCGACCACGCGGGGGCTTTTCAGTGCAGGCTGACTTTTCTTTGCGCAACAACGGTGTCAGCACATCAACACATGGGTCTGTCTTAGAATACGCCCCCCCCCAACAAAAAAAACAAAAAAAGAGAAGAAGAACAGATCTATGCCCCCAGCTGGTTGAGCATTCCGCGCGCACACACGCGCAAACAGTGTACTCTTGCCCAGGCTCGACGCCCCAATCCCCCAGCACTAATATGGCAAGGCCCACCGCAAGCCAGATGATTTTGCAGGCCTTCCCTTGTTCCCTACTTGCAACATGTGGGGCATGAATTAAAAAAAATGGTGGATAGGTGGGGATTCATGTCTTCCAACCGCTTTTTGAGGTGGTCCCAACTCTTCCAAATCAAAACACATGTGTCAACGTGGTCCCGAAATGGCCATGTACTTTGCTTTTTTCAGTGGATCCATTTACCTGTGTAGGTAACCAAAACCTTGCCAGCCTTTCAAACCGGGGAAAGTGGCTGGGTTTCCTACGCTGGGATCCACTGGGCCCCATTGGCTCCTTCTGCTTCAAGGCTGCTAGGGGAAGCTTCTTCAGCTGGAGGATCCTCATTCGCCAGACAGAACTCACCGTCACAACCCTTGGTTTGGTAGCAACAAACTTTGCTTTTTGCAGCTCCCTTCTCAAAATGAACAGAACCAACAACAAAAACTTGCCAAGAACAGCGAAGTAATGGGTCAACTCATCTGGTTGACATGTAGGGTTAAAAGGAACAAACCATAAACCAAGGGTTCGTGTTGACGTCATTCTAGCTGAACTATGCTGGACTAGGCTTTTCTCACGTAACCCTTTCTACCAGCCCTTACCTTGGCTCGCGAAAAAAACAAGGAATGAAGTGAACCACGATCGGACAACTGTAGCGCTTCCCCTTTTCTACCGGATTTGGTGCGTAAACCATCCATTTCCGTCCATTTCCCCAAGATTTGCTGTGATATAGTGCCATTGCTCACAGCCAAGGTCTCAAAATTCGACTTGTTTCTCGCGGCCATGCAAACTTACGAACTTTGGTTCCTGGTTTTGTTCCTTCGCCTGGTTTAAAATTATCCATGCAAAACCTCGACTGAGCCCCCAAAGACTTTGTTTGTTTCGGATGTCATGTAGCTCCGGGAAGGCAACCAAAGAAACCGAAAGTGTGGCTCGGTTTGGTTGGTGTTCATTGAAACAAAAAGGAAAGCCGGAAATCGCCATTTGGGGGTTCCAACCTGAAAAAGTACAGAAACCAAATGCACACATGTTGGCATTTTGGCAAATCCCCAATCAACCTGCGCCCAACAAACCGGGCCCGGTTTACGAACTTGAGTGAGCGAGCTTGACCATGAGTCAAAAGCCCGTACCCCCAGTGACCCTTCCAATCCCCACTAAAATAGACTAAAATAGGTGGTGCACCTACCCCAAAATGGTACCATTGGTTTTGACCCACAGTCAAATCAGAAAACCCTGGATCTAACCTCCACCGGGGGCCTGGGATTTCCCCTTTAGCTGCAATTGACTGGTGGCTTCCAGCAAAATCGCCACAGGGAGGTCCAAAAATGATAAAGGGACTGAACCTCCGACTTGACCTTCCCATTTGCCGGAGTCTTCTGGGGAAAAACAACACATCTCCAGTAGAATAAAAATCACCTTCTGAAACGGAAGATGGAAGCTACTTCAGGCCAGGAATCTCCTCCATGAGCTGAGTCAGCTCTAAGCGCTCTGGCAGCAGCTCAAAACGACACTCCGAGCACAGCAGCACCTACACGTGAGTCCATGTGCACACCCGGCTACCCGAAACCGCTACCGGGGGTGATCTAAGCGAGGAAAACCACCATGGCCCGTATTTTACCACATGGCCGTGGGTCAAAACCAATGGTACCAATTTGGGGTAGGTGCACCACCCATGTTTGTCTAGTTTAGTGAGGATTGGGATGGTCACTGGGGGTACGGGATTTTGACCCATGGCCACATGCTCATGGTTTAGGATCAAGACAGGGAGAAAAGGCGCTGAGTGTCTTGCCAAGGACGATCAAGTCAAGGACTTTCATGTCTGAATTCGGTTTAATTACCCGGTCAGATAAATTCTGCAGATAAAATCGTCGCAAACTCACGCATCCCATTTCGCCAAAGGCACAACAAGGGCCGCTGAATATGCACATGTTCCAAGACAACAGAAGACGTGCGTCGTGAAACAAACGGTACACAAAGCCCTTTCCAGGCTATAGGCGTCGAAGTCCTGCACAACATGGACGTGCACCAAAGGGGTCAAGTACATAAAAGGATAGCTCGTCTGTTCTTGGAGAACCCCCTTTGAGGGTTGGTTCTGAAGGGAAGACAAATCTTTCCGACTATCGAAATTCCCTCATTGGCTTCAGTCTCCGCTTCTTTGGCAGGAAAGCTACACCTATCATGTTCAACACAAGCTATTCTCCTCCACGACTCGTTTATTTCAAGCGCCGCTGCGTCGAACAATCGCTGGGTGCTAGACTTTTCCGAAATGGTAAGCCAAGTGAAGGAAACAGGGGGATGGTCCAACTAGTAGGACACCCAACCCCTTTTCGGAGCCCGAGAACTGTGGCCACGAAACCCTTCAAAGTCAACTGACCAATCGGCGCAATCTGCGTGGCCGAGGGGCCGGGTTGGACTTGGGGAGGTTGAGGCTGTCCAGAAAGGAGTTGCCTGGACAATCGCTGCTGAAGATCACAGGCCACTTACCTGGCGAGATGGAAAACAACCAGACAACAACTCCATGGCTCTTTTTCTCGGTTGCTTTCTGCTCCCCTGCTAAAACTTTAACTTTGGTGGTTTGATGGAAAACCCATTAGTTGGCAAAAAGTTGAAGTCGTAACATCCAAGCAAAATGCACCAAAGTTTTGCAGGGATTGGCCAACATCTTCTGAAAGGATGCTCTTCACGGCAAAAGCGAGAAACGCCATCCAGGGTAAAACAACCTCTCAGCATGGGCTTCACGAGGTACACACAGATTTTGGGTGCTATGGATTCCCGGCTAGCTACAACAACTCCTGGGGTCAAAACTGATGAGTACAAATTGAATGCTGCATAACGTCAGAATTCCCTCTGGTTGATATGGCCCTGGTAGAAACATCAGCGAAAATCAAACTGCCCAAAAAGGGACATAAGGATCCCTGGGTGCGGCAAGGTGAGCATGCTTTGTTTTGAGGGTACTCTTGTTGTGTTTGCTTCAATCAGCAAAGGCAAACCATCGCAGGGTCCCCCATGTGACAAACCCATGTATTGTTATCACCGGGTGGCTTCATAGGCTGCACACAAGCAAGCACACTCATGGGCCAAGGTTGAACTGGTAGATTCAGGGGGAGCGTTCCATTCAAGAGGGCATGCTTCACTCTTTTTGGATGGGAAGCCGTGTAATTCATCCGCACGATGTGCAAATCCGGGGGTCAACATCACACCCCTACGTAAATTCAGAATAGAACTCTGCATGGAGCTTTTTTGCAAAGGGTTGGAAACGGACTATCCAAAAACCGGTCCGGCCCGTTGTCATGAGCCACCAACGAAAGCCGACGCAACAGTACACCTAGTACAGCACCACATCCAGCATCTAACACTCCTCCCGGCAAGTGTCTGCCTCAAACGAAGCACGTGTTTCAGAGCCCAAGGCTAGCAAGAAAGGCGACATGACAAACTAGTGATATTAATTGAATCAACACATCAAACATGCTAAATGCACTTCCGCGATTAAACATCAACCAAAAATACGATATGCTGGGTACCATGCTAGCACAAGTCGAAGCCCGCCCAAAGCAGAAAGGGCTGTGCCTTCATCACACAGCAGGTTCTTGTAGATGTACGCACACATCTTCACCAAAAAAAAAACATATTGTTAGAGGAGTATCCTTTACGTTCCGTGGAGTTTGCCAGGCGAATGTCACAGCAGTCAGTAGCTCGATTCGATTTCGCCGGGGGGCGGAGGTGGCGGTGGCAAAAGAAGAAGCCGCAAAGGCTGCACCGCAGCCTCCATAGACCGAGAGAAACTGGACACCCGGCGGTTGAAGGGTGAAAAACCTTAGGGTTCAAATATGGCTGTGGGTCAAAACCCTGTACCCCTGGTGAACATCAAAATAGGTGGCAAATGCATGTTCATCCACCCAAAAATGGAACCATAGGTTATGCCAAATGGCCATATCAACACATTTGGGCTTGCCTCATTTGGCTTGCCTCTGGTGCATCTGGAAGCAAATGCAACAGCTGGTGGTTCTCTTTGGGGAGAATTGAACATGATGGATTGGTCAGCACCCACCCGGCAAGAAGTCACTCAAGGCAACACACACGTGGGTGAAACTCTCCAAATGTTATCCAGATACAATCTTTTTCGTGGGTTGCGCCTCAGAACCGCCATCCAAATCAGTTTCAGGCTTGATCAATGTCTTCTCACCTGGGTTCCCTCAAGGCACCAGGCACCTGCGACAGTCCAAATGTGCCCAGGCTCTTCCGAACGGCCATGGCAAGTCACCAATTTTAGCCCAATTAAAGGAAGCCACAGGAAACACATCTCGAAGGCCATCTGAAGGTCTCAGTGATTCCCATCCCAACTTCGCGCCGGCCATCCCTGCAGCATACACGGCTTCGCTCAAGTTCACCCCTCCAGGTTAACGTGCTCGCACACAGCATCCCAGATTCCTACAAATGAATGCTGATTTGATGATACATCTTCCATAGACTTTATGAAACTGACAAAAAGGTTTCCTTCTAGACATCATGTTTGTTTTCGGATCGGGGGGTACCCGTTGTTTGGTAGTTTTCATGGGAAACCGAAAGGACATGCGAAGCCATCTTGGACCAACATTTGGGGGGCACCCAACGTTTTGTGTTTGTGTTTCTTTTTTTGTTTTCCCCCGCATGGCCCAAATTGCACTTTCCAACAACTCCTATTGACACAATAACTAAACAGCAACCCCCCCAAAAAAAACCACAAGTGTCCAAGAACCGGTTGCGAAGTGGTTGGGGTGCAGGGACATGCGAATTGGTAAGGCGCGATCTGCCCGTGGATCGATTTCGCCTTTGCTCCCCAGGCCCGAAGATCTTCTCGCAGCTGGGGTCGAGGCAGCCCACCATAAGGTCCTCCTCGTTCTTCCCCTTCCAACGAGTCCCGGACCCGTACTTGGCGTATCTGTGTTCATTCTATTTTGTTTAAAGGGGATGACTTCTCATTTAAGGATTCACTGCAAACCCACACCAAAAAAGTGCATTGTCAAAACTATGGCAGACCAAAGTGCCCCGTGTTCTTCGTTTCGTGTGTCTCTACCAACCAGAGGGATCCATGCAGAGAAACCCATAAGCTTTTGGCCATCCAAAAACCGTCAAGGGTATCTCCAAATGCCTTAGGTCTAGCTAATGGGGAAACAGGCGGGGGTTGGGGGCAGGGATGACTACAGAGTGAACTTGTATGCAGTCAACATTCATTCAGAACTTGTACCTGCTTTTCTCAGCGTTCAGGTATGGGGTCTTATTGTCTATGCTTGAGGACCATTTGTTCCCCGAAATATCTGAGTAGGTTCTTTTTTTTTTAAACAATAGCGTTCAGCTATGGCGTCGAAACCTCTATGGCATTGTTGAAGGCCTGCTTCGATGCCCTAAGCGGAGGTGGCGAACCAAAAGGTCACCTAGAACAAGGAATCTAGATATGTGTACCCTCTTTTTTCGAGGGACCCCCTGTCAGGTTGCATGTTGCTTGGTGGGAGGGCAAATGGCTTGAATCGCCCCCGACTTGATCGAACAGTGTCACCGGTCCTAAAGCCAGGTCTGTTTGGGGCACGGAAAGGGCAAGTTTTTGCGAGACCCTATGTGGGCATGGGAAAATTAGAGAGTCCGCGTGCGGTGTTTTGCAAAACTGCGGATCCTGAATGTCCCTCACAACTGGACCATAGTCGATTGTTAGTTGACTGAATCTCAAACCAAGGCAGTTGGGCACTCGAAACGTGGTAGAGTATGGGTTGATTCACCATGGTTATGGATTGAGCAACTCTTGCAATTATTCCAATTGCCACCCAAGTTCAACCTATATCCAACACTTGCCGCCTCAGGTGTGACAAAGAAGGCCCTCGAGGGTGCTGGGGTAGAAAACAAGCTCCCGGGATGTCTCTCTCGCTCTTTCTCACGCGCGCGGCGATAAGCGAGCACTCCGGGCCTTGTCATGGCTCTCACTGAAGGAGGAGGAGCGACTGGACTTGATGTTCACCACCTCCCAGCCTCACATGGTGTGGACTTTTGTTAGGAAGAAAACCCCCAGGAACCCCCAGGAACGGTTGGAACCTTCTTGGAAGGGAGAAGGGCCGGGGTTCTTGGGGTCCATCCATCCATCCAACCAACCAACCAAGCATCCAGTAGCCAACAACACGTATCTATCTATAGGTTCTTGGAACCTTTCTGGGGGGTGAGGGTGAATCTCTCTGGCCCTGGCACTCTCGTGAGGCTTCCAAAGCTGTGGCTGGGATGCCCCAAAGTCTTCGTGTTGGGTATGTGGCTTGTCTGTTTGTTCAGGGTACCCGTTGCTTGTGACTTCGGAGGGGAATCAAAAGGACAACCGAAACATACCGAAACCATTTAGCGGGGTCCCCTAATATTCATTTGTCTTGTACAAAGTTGCCGCAGCGTCAGCGTCCATGAAGATCTGAAGCGCAGGGGTTCCGAGCTGGCGGTCACACCCCTGAAGCCATCACAGAGTGGCAGGTGTGCACACATCAAACGATGCCCACTGAATTACAAAGGCAAACAGCCCATGTACGCGGTTGAAACACGTTGCAGCTTCTTTAGCCACCGCAACGAACCAAGAATCAGAAGTAAAATGATCGACTGGCCACAAAAAACAACTGCTAAGCCTTGAAAGTAACCATCACCAAATTTCAGCGAAATGCTGCGTCAATGTCAAACGGTCTCACACCCACCGGAAACACTACACCAGCTCCCAGGCAACGTACGTCAACACTGCAAAAGCGTGCCGAGACAAAGGTGAGGCCAAAAGACAGGCCCCGGGCCCGTTTCTGAGTTCCGCCCAGTGACCCTTTGTGTTCCGCTCATTTTTCACCGGTCCGGGCAGCCGTCACTTCCATGTGAAGCCAAACAGAGACGCGTCTCCAAAACTCAGCCCAGCAAACGGCCGCCGACGCGAACGCAAAGGTGGCAAAGGATTGCGCAGTTGCTGAGCGAAGGGCTTGGGACCATACCAGGCTTGGAACACGGACGAGGCCACATATGTCACATATGTATATAGTCCACTCGCCTTCCTTTAACCCCATTTTGCGGCGTTTTGCAACCTTCCGCGGGCTCTCCACGACCTTCGGCAATGTTGGCGGATCCACTTCGTGCAGCGGTGGCTCCAGTCTCCTCGTCGCGACGCGGTCTGTGCTCGGACCGCGGGCGGTCGGTGGCTTCCCGCGTCGGCGGCCATGGCTTGGCGGTGCTGTGTGGCGGCATGCTCACTGATGCGACCTGGACTCCGTCTGGCGCGGTTCGGCTTGGGTGTCAGTCCTGTGGGGACTCGGGTGCGTGTCCTTCGCTCGATCATGTGCTCTGGGTCTGCTTGGCTCACGATCGCCTTCGGGACCGTGGCCCGCCCCCGCCTGTCCTTTGGCTCGCCGGCTTGGCTGGTCCTTCCCTGTCGGTCCTCTGCAGGAGTGCCTCGACCGTCTCGACGTCATGGGCTCCATTCGGCGTGCGGATGTCGTGAGTCGGGTGCGTCGGCGCGCCTGGGGGGGCCACCCCGGTCCGCCAGGTGGCGATGCCCCGAACTGAAGGTCTCTCTCTCCGGTGTCGCTTCTGCTCTGTCCCTCTTGGGATTGAGCCGTCTTGTTTCCTTCGTTGTCTCGGCTCTGTGGGGTCGTGGCTCTCTTTTCTCCGTCTCCCTGCCTTGTCTCTGCCTTGGCTTTGCGCCCGGTGCCTCGCCTGTCCCTGCGGGGTTTGGCGGCTCCTGCGGCTGTCCTCGCTTGTTTCCTCTCTGTCTCTCGTCGTGTCTTTGCCGCTTTCGGCTCTGCTCTCGGCTCCGCCGCCCCGCGTTTCTCTGGCCTCCGGGCCTTGGCTTTTTCCCTCCTCGCGCCGGCCTTGGTTGGCCCTCGGCCGGCTCGGGGTCTCTCTGCTTGGCTCTGCCCTGTGGGTCCTTCCTTGGCGGTTTGTCTGGGCGCGTCCTTGTCCCTCCGGGGTTTTGGCCGTCTGTTTCTCGCCGCCTGGTTGCCTGCCTGCTGGGGTCGTCTGTCTCTCTTTTCCCGCCCGCCCCTGCTGGGCTTGGATCGGCGGTTTCGCTGGCGGCCTCTGCGCCGCCGCCCGCGCTGCTTCCCGCCCCTTTCCCCCCCCTTCCGCCCTTCCCGTGCTGTCAGCCTGCGTCAGGTTGCAGTACTCTCCCTCCCCCCGGCGTTTTGCAACACGTTTGCTGCCGAGCGGCCATTGGCCTCTTCCTCCACCTCAGGCTCCTGCAGGCTGAACTGCCCCCGGTCCGGCCAACCATTACCGAAGACGCCTCGGGGAGCGAGCGAAGGCGATGAATCAAACAGCACGAGTGGCTTGCAAAAGGCAGGAGTGAAATGTGAAATCAAAAATAGGAGTGGTTCTTGGGGAAAAAAATCGGAAACAAGTCTGCTATTGTACAACTCTGTACACTATCCCAGCAATTGTGCAACTCTGCGCACTCACGAGGGTATTCCACTGATTTTACTATATGCACTCTCCGGAAACTCTGTCTTTTTTAGTTGCGGGAGTTTGCGGGCTTTTTGTGGGTGTTTTGCGCTGAGTTTCAGGTGTGGTGCTTTCCGGTTCTGCCAATTTGTCGCCCGACGGGAATAATTCCGAATTCAGAATAATTAATAATTCTGATTTCTGATTCAGGTGAACGATTATGATTTTTGAATATTTCTGAAATGGAGGGCTCCTTCCGTCAAGTACCGCAAAATTGCGATTTCTAGAAGTTTCAGGTTTGCAAGCCATTTCCAGAAGTGGCAATCAGTTTTTAGGAGTTTTACCTCAATAACCAGGAGTTTGAAAACTCCGTGTTTTCTCACTGAGACCCACAAAAAACTGGTAGTCTCCGGATTTTACGTTAAATTTCCATGATTTGGAAGATCCAGGATGGCATTTGTTGTGTAAACATATGGGGGTTGATGAATATTCCGTTTGGACCCCAGATGACCAGGGGTAACTTTTCCCATGCGGGACATGCTAGTATCATCTTGTTAGTGGTTCTTCCCCATCGCCATCCCATGCAAAGGACCTTTTGATCAACCCCATGTACACCCAGACGTCGCTCACTATATGTTCAACCGAACCAACCTAATAGCACGCATCTATGATCAAGAATGGCGCACAGCTATTCGGGAAACAAAAAGCAACACAACACAACAACCGCACAACAGCCCCAACATCTCCACCAAGTTCCGAGGCGCTTTCCACCACAGACTCCGTTGCATCGCTCTCCTCAAGCGAGAAATACCACGGAAGTCAGGGACAAAATGCAACTACAATGAGCCAGAGGGAGAAACAGCTTCCCTATCAGGAGCATTGTGTTCTTGTGTTGCTCTTGAACCTGATATTTTTATTCATGTCCTATCGCTCATGCTCGTTGTGGTTTATGAAAGTTGCCCTCGGGTAAGGACGTCGAGCCTCCCAGCGAAGGGCTCGATACCTCGGACTGGGTGTTCGCCTTGAGGACCCAGGGCCATCCGCCGGAAATTTGGGGCAAATCCATCCGCCCTCGGTCAAGACCTGTTTGCCTTTTGCAAGGGGAAAGGGTGCTCTGTCTAGTCATTTTGCCGACTTCCATTAATTAAGAGCGGTCTGATTGGAAAGAGGTAGGTGCAACCACCTTATTTGGGTGTGTCTTTCTTTACTCAAAATTGTGGCTTGCCTGTTGGTTTCCCTTCAAAGCACAAAAAGGGGGGGCACCCTCAAAAAGAGATACACCCATTTGGGCCGAGCATCCATCATAGGCAAAACAAAAACAAAAAAACGCTCGCATGGAGCCAAGAGTCCAGGTCCGCCAGATCCGGCAGTGAGGAAGGGGACTGCGGCATGTGCTTTCCGAGCGAAAGGGGCTCTGCCCAGATAGGTGTCTGGCCACTTTTGATCACTTTAGGTCGCCCTTCGCCATTGCTGTTTGTGTTGCTTTTGGGTGGGAAACCCCTTGGTGCCAGCAGGGAAATGATTCGAACTGGGCTACACTTCTGGCTGGAAGGTGGCTGCTTGATGCTCATGGCTTTATGTTCGCCCAGCGCGCCCTCGCGCGACTCTTGGGACCAAAGAGCTGCGCGAGAAGCAAAGCGGTGCTTCGCATCCTGCTAGAAAGCGAAGCCGTGTGTCTTCATCTACCGCCGTATACAAATGAGCGTCTGAGGCAAGGGGCTACCCATTTTTGAAGCACACCCATATGCCAAGGCAGATGCAGCGCAAGAGGCGCTGAATTCGACGCTGCAGACTCTGTGATGATCTCAGGGGTAACAGCAACAGATATCGTGTAAACCGAAGGTGCCAAAGGGGCCAAACACAATCTGGAAAATCTCGGCGGAATAGTATTACACCTTCAGATTCGGGGTCTCTAGGCCATGCTTAGGGCTCCCAGTCCTACTTGGGCACAAACACACACACACAAACCCAGACAGGAAGGAAATCACTGATTGAGGGACTAAAGGAATCAACGGGGTTCAATACTTCCCTAAGGCCCGGCCATTCGAATTGGCCCAGATCCTGGCACGAGCCCAAAACCCAAAAGTCGCTGAAGGAAAAGTGGCAGACCTGCATCGCTCAAGTCTCTGGCCAGCTCGTCTACGAAGCAGGTGCAACCAAATGTATCCAAATCGGTACCAAAAACTCCCCTCACAGTCTCAAACATGGCGCTTCAATTGGTTTCCTTCTGTTGTTCAAAATGAAGCGTCGCCTACTCCTAATCCCTCATTGGGTCGTTGCGTGTGGGAAGGATCTTACTGGACCGCCTTTGACAAACCCAGCGAAGATGTCTCTCCATAAGATAGAACACGTACCCCTAAAAAGTACGCAATGCTTGCTGTTGGTTTCGGTTCAATGCTGACCCCATATTACTAAATCCACCCCAATTTATTGACAATGGGGTGTCCCTGGGCGAAACGTGGGGAATCAGACCACTTTTGGAGGGGAACACGCCACCCGATTATTGATAAACTGGGGTTGATGGGGTCAACATCAAGCCCAACTGGCGAGGGGGTCTCATCCGAATCGGGACACCACTTGATGCCCTCGTACTAGCATTGCCAAACGGGCAACCCATCCAAAGTACCTCCAAAAGAATCAAAAAAACCAGCGCTCCCACGTACGTACCGCCAAAAACGAATCCGGGAACCATCAACTACCGGTGCAATCCAAATCCATGAACCATTTGAACCATGGAGACGAAACCAAGGTGAAACCCTGCCAAAAGCACATGTGTGCTGCATTCGTGGGGGTCGAGCTTGGTTTTCCCATGGGTCCTAAGCCCCCGTTTAAACCTCACACCAAAGGGAGACTCGTCTTACTCAAGCGAGGCGTCGCTCCAACTGAAAAGGGGACAATATAAGAGCTATAAGGCCTCCTAAAAAGGTGTCAAGGCATGCCTGCGGCAGCAGCTTTCCAACGCGAACCGAGTTCTGTCCCGGGCTTGCACTGAAAAAGGTACGCGCCCACGGATGACTCATGTCTGAGTTGGTTTTGTTTCCCGCTGAAATGATCGACAAAGAATGGGCGCCCTTCCTCCCACTCTTTCACCGAGGGTACCTGGAAGATCAGCCTCCTCTTCCGGATCATTTGAATTGGTTGACTTGAGGTTGGTTCCATACCGAGCACAGGAATTAGCTGCGCTGCTTTGGCAAAGTAAGCTGACAGCTTGGTCGATGCGTCCTGCAAAAGTGACTCAGCTCGTGCCAAAACTTAAATTAAAGAAGAAACCTGAGAACTCCCGAAACCGTGCTGCCAAATCCAGATCGACCCAAGGATGTTGAGCAAATGAGAACCTTGAGAAGGGAAATATGAGGTTTGGTCATTTGTTAAAGGATGAATCAAGCCCAAGCCCCGGACACTAAACTTAAAATCTAAACCTAATGAGCAACTTCGTGAAAAAATGTCACTTTTATTAATGGACCCGGAAAATCATCCATTTTGTTTAGTGGAACCTGCTTTCGAGAGCCTTTTTGGGTTCCAAGTTGAATTGCAAACGAGCAAGCCTGGCCATGGTCGACCTGAAGTGGCTGTCAATGGCCGATGGCCCATGCAAGGGCTGCAATTTGGAAACAACTCCATTCGAATCCAGTTGCATATAATGGGCGGAATACGGTTAACTTGGCAACTGCCGAAGCGGGTGCATCTTGAAAATGCGTGGTATCACGCAGGTGACACCGCATCGCCGACGTGTCTCCACAAGTGTCTGGCATTGAGGCCTATGGCACTTGACCACGTGACGCATTGGAAAGACGCAGTGAAACTGCTGGCATTAACAAGGGCAATACTAGGCCCTCCATACGCTACACACGGCCTGCTTCTTACGCCATGCCGTTGCTGATATGGTCTAGACCCTTAAACACTCGTCCTTTCCGCAGCTTGGGGACAAAATTGGCATTCCGAGTAGAAACCTACAGGGTGTCCATGCCAGCTTCCAACTTGCGGATTCAACCTTGCGGATTCATAGGGGGGATGCTTGCCGTGAAGGATTCCCATGCGACAACTATCAAAATCAAACCCGGGGTCTACTCATCCTGGACTCCCGTTCGCCTAAAAAGGCCCACCCATTGGGTGCATGAAAAACTGATTGTTTTCAACCCTTGGAATTTCAGCTCCATTTGGTGTGCTCCAAAACTCGTGGCACGCGTTCTAAGCAGGCCTCGGTATTTGTCGATCGCGCGTCTGCGCGACCTTCAGACCAAGGAGGCCCCGGAAGATGTGTCCGTCCCTTCGCTGTCTCGTTTGCTCGACCTCCTGGCAAGGCGACGACGAAAGACCCAAATGACACAAACCCAAACAAGGCAAGCTGCATAAATGACGGAATAATGTAACTAACGAGTGCACATAGGTTTCTGCTTGAGCGTGCAAGGCGCGAGCCTTACCCTGTATGTGTATGCGTATGTGTACGCACGTCCGGCATATGCGTTTTGTGGGCGTGCACGTACGCGAGGGTGGAGGACCCCATCTGGCCTTCGATCAGGGGTAGCCAGCCTAAGAACCAACACCCAAATTCAGTGCGCACAGACATACGTATTCATCCACATCCAGAAAAGTCAATAGCAAATGTCTCAGGTGCCCGGTGGCCATGGGAAAAAAGAGGGCATCCGATCTTTTTGGCGGGTTGACTTCAAAGGGGAACCAAAAAAAAACAGAACAAGTTGAAAAAGGACGCAACCCACTGGTTGCAACAGAGATGTCTGACCCAAGTGGTGGCAAATACCACATGTTCGCAACAAAAGGGCTTTCTTCTCACTTGAGTGGGCCCAAAAAGCCAACGAACTTTTGATGTACCACGAACTACCATCTTCCCCCAAAAGGTTAAAAAGGTGTTTTGCCCATGAGCTCGAGTGCTCGATCGTCCTGCGCACATCCGTGACCAGCAGGGAGTGGTGCAGCCCGCAGGCAGCCTTTGCCAAGCGCAGCCGCGCCAAGGCCCTCACCAGGCTGGGCCCAGAGGGCGCACCATCGGAGTGCCCCAGCTTGCCGAACCTCGTGAGGTGCGATTGTTGGTTTTTCACCAAAGTGATTCAGGGGTCGCTGGATTTTTGTTTGCAACATTTACCGATTGATGCGTGTTTTACCAAAGTGACTCACGGGTCACTGCTTTTCCGTTTTTGCACAAATCACTGGTGGTTTCCACAAAAACAGGCACTTTTGGAGATTCCAAACAGGGAAGCAGAGGATGTGATTGCGAAACCAAAAGTTCAAACCAGACATCAAAATCACGACTTTGAACCCCAGGACCATCTCAACCAACCAAACAAATGCGACACTGGGCCTGGGGACCCTGGAGACTCATGTTGACCCCATATTAATCAACCCCAGTTTTTTCAAGGGGGGGTCTCCCTGGGTTTCATGGGGGAATCAAACCACTTTTGAAGAAACAAATCACCTCCCTATCAATAAATTGGTTAGTTATTGGTTGATTCATATGGGTCCCTGTGAATAAAGTGGATTTATCATCCATAAATTGGTTCGTTGGTTGTAGTTACCATCACCTCGCAAAAAACAAAAAAACAGGTTGAGTCACATCAGGTCCACTGCAACCCTCGAATGGCCACCCCGGGGGACCCAGACCCTGAGACACTGAGACCCTGAGTCCAGCCGCTGTGAGGAGCCCCAGGAGAACGCCTGGCCCTGCAGATCGATGGCCACCGCGTGGTTTGTGCCGCACCCCACGTGGCGGATGGCGATATTCCGCAGGCCAGGCACCTCCGTGGGCGTTGGCTCAAGGTACCCCTCCACTTGGAACCTGAAAAATGGGTCCTCACAAACCATTTTGGTTCAAAAGGGATCCATGTTGGACAGAACCCATACACAAACAGACTCCATCTCTCGGATTTTCAAGCTTGATTGGTGGGTGCCATCTTTTTTCCAGCTGATTCAGCTATGATTAAGCCCGACGCTCTAAGGAAAGGAGCAGCTTGGGACGGTTCAGAAGATTCGGTTCCAGGGACTGCCGTGGGGATCCTGGGCTTATCTTTGTGTTTATCCGCACGTGTTTCATTGCGGCATCTAGGGGTGGATCAAAAGGTCCTTGACAGGGAATGATCACTGAGAAAAACCACTAAGAAAATGTCATTTCCCACTAAATGGGAAAAGTTACCCATGGTCATTTTGGGGCCAGGAATATTGATCAACCCCCATCTTCTTTAGCCTTGGTGTTATCAGGCTGAGTTTGTTAGTATTGATTAGCTATTTGCCAGCCTTGCGAAGGCTGTGGCCCGCGGTCCTTGACAGGCCCGGATCGTGACCAGTCACTATTTGGCTGCAGTGGTCTCCCCTTTGCTACGCCTTGTAATCATGTAAACATGTATATGTCGATGTACTTGCGTGTTTGTGATTTTATGTGTCTACATATTTGTGCGCATATTGGTGCGATGCATGCACATACATGTGTATTTACCACATATATATATATATATCCCAGACGCTCCCAACTTATGTTTCGGGCCCTCGCGGGCCCTCGCTATCCGACGGTTGTCCGTAGACCCCCAGTTTTGGGGGGCCCGGCCCAAATATCCGACGGTTGTCCAACGGTCATCCGACGCCGTATCCGACAAACAGGCCTCCCTAGGAGGGCTCCGGACCCTCCCTAGGAGGGCCCACGAGCGTCTGAGATATACACATAGGTATCTTGTGATTAACATGTATATATATATATATGTGTTTTAGGTTAATACATGCACCAATGTATGTATACATGTCATGTCTATATTGTCACGATGTTTTTTTGGGCTAGGTCATTGAAACCTGGACATCATGACCGCAGCAGTCCGATTCGACCACCGAAGGAAAGCGATCGCTTGCCGCCAATAGATAGCGGGCGATCGCAACGCTGCAAAGCACTCTGGCGAGTGATGCCCGATCCCGAGCGAACCAGGAACACAAATCGCCTGATTGATTCATAGAGAGCAGCCCTATTGCAGTAGGGAACCTTCATTGGACCTTTTGGGGATGTCTACATGAAGCTGCTTGGAGTTGAAACCGGTGGTGGTTCAGCAAGTGAGATGTCACCATCTTTTCCCGGCCACTCCCAGCGACCAGAGAAAACCGCAGCCTGAGGCCCCGCCATAGGCTCACAGAGCCTGAGCCTTTGGGATCAAATGATTCACCAACAGGAACTGGACAGGAAGATTCATGGGCGAGGTCACAACCCAATTCTGTGTGGCTAAAAGCTACTCAGACACCCATGAAGGATGATTTGTGCCGAGGCTGCAGGGGGGTGTGCACCCACTTCTCGGTCAAAGAGATCAACGCGGGATTTGTACATGGGTCGGGACTCATAGCAACATATGTCTTGGGGAACCCTGTGGAACCCCTCCCTACCAAGGGGTCCAACTGGATCCTGTTGAGCCCCTGGATAGATATGCCGTGATTTCCCCCGTGTTGCGGGAAGGTCTATGAAAACAAACGATTCCTTGGAGGGCATGCTTCCCTTCCGTGCATCATGGGAGTGACATTCTGACTGCATGGAACATTTGAAGCGAAAAGCCGGTCTTTCTTGCAACTCAGTCACTGTAAAATCTCAATCGCTGAGTGAACGCGTTGGATCGAAATAGATCACCGCGTGTAAGGATTTGTTGCTACCCCCCGTGAAGAACCAGGGCACCTCCCTATGATTGCGAAGTTGCTGTTCAAACTGCCCAAAAAGGAGGAAACATGGAGAGATTTTTTCAAGACAAGCCGTGGTTCCCTTGCTTACCCAATATATATATATATATATATATACCTGGACCCTCAAAAAGGAACATGTTTTTGCTCATTACGTTATTTTTGCTCATTTTGCCAATTGAGCGGAATTTCCGAAATCTACGCGGAAACTGCAAAGTTCATGTTCCGCACCCATTTTGTGGCAAATCCTGCAAATTTGGCCACCAGAAATGCGCGGAAATCGGCGGAAAATGCGCGGAAATCGGCGGAAAATGCGCGGAAATCGGCGGAAAATGCGCGGAAATCGGCGGAAAGCCCAAAACCAACTTGTTTTGAACATGGCTGGTCGAACCGAAATGTGTGTTTTTTTGGTAAATGAGCGTGTTTTCCAACAATGCGTGTTTTTTTTGCTTTTTAAGGAAAATGTTGGGAAATTGTTCTCAAAGAAGATCTAGGTATATATATATATATACTTATACATATTTGTTGAGGGCAGCCTTTTCAGCTTGATTTAAAGAGGGCCAAAAGGAACACCACACGAGACCTACCCATGGGCTGTCCCGGTTCCGCGTGTTTCTTTTTCGGCCGATATGGCATCGAGCGGCCTCTCGGGGGGCAGCGATGTCCATAGGCTGCTTGGGAGGCAGCCCACATTGGCCCACGTCGTTGGCTCCCCACATCAACAGCTGCCCGCCGCTGCTCAGGTCCTGTGGGACTTGGAGGCTGATCAGCCGAGCAAAAACCATACGGAGAAGAAACACCGCGGGCTTAAACAGCCTTTTGGTCTCCCTTGGAAGGGGAGGCCATGTTGAAACAAACAATGTGGTTCCTCGGCCGGGGGGGGGGGCCAGTTTGTACTTCCCAGTGCTGGGCCATCGTGTTGGTACGTCTTCCAGGTCTATGTTCCCCCAGCAGCAATGCCTCGTCCCTGTGAGTGCACGAATGTGAACACGTTCCGCTTTAGCCCCATCCTATCCCGACTGCAACCCCCCCACCCCTCACCTTGACTTAGCCTTCACCCACATCAACCCGATATGCCCTTCTGCCTACCATGGTCAAGACTCCTCATGCGGACCAGGGGAATCCCTACCCTTGCATCCCTCCATAGCCGCCTAGTGGATCCCAGGTGTTTCGCATGAGACCCTTCGTGATGTCAGTGGTCAAAGGGTGCAGGAACCCCCGTGGGCCCAGGAAAATGGCTCGAATCACAAGGGAATCACCTGGCCATATCACTCCATCCACATGGGTCCCTGCGTCGTTGAAACTGACATCCTGCTTTCCCTTGTCATGGCCTAAGTGAAAACTCACAAGTACTTGGCCATGGGTCAAAACCCAAATCGTACCCCAAGTGAACATCCCAATCTCCACTAAAATCGGTTCTAAAATGGGTGGTGCACCCAAACCCCAAAATGGGATCCCATTGGTTTTGAACCATGGCCGCTTCTTGGGCGACCTGGTTTGGGAAAAAACTTGCCACCCACTTCCCCAGGGCTCGAAGGCTATCAAGTGCGGACAATCCCCCCCGTCCTGGCCCACCAGCGCGGCCGAAAAGGCGCCGCCGCAGGCCACCAGCAGCGTCTTCCTGAGACTTGGCTAGATCAAGTTGGTACCCGATCGTTTTTCGGTTTTGTCGATTTTAGTTGGGGAACCCTCCCCAAAGGGTAAAAGGGCACTGGGGGACCTAGAAGAAATCCTGTCCACGTTGCCATGGAACCCGGCTGAGGATCTCGTTCCTGGAGGATTCTCCTTTAAAAGGGGTGGAATCCATGGACAGGAGGGACCCTGCACTATGGGAAATTTAGGGCAAGCCTTTGAAAAAGCAATTCGAACTAAACCAACAGGTGCTACACACCGGTCAAAGCTTGTCTTTGAGATCTCGCTCACCATGCAATTCTAGCTACACCTGGATATCCTCAGGAACATATCCAAAACTCATGGCACTTCAACTATGTGGGTAAACAAAATATAATAATTCACCCACCTTCTGCAACACCCTAAGAATATACCCTTGGCAACTGGCCCGACGTGGTCCAAAACCCAAAGCCTTTGTCGGGCTAACCGCCGCTAAACTCTATTTACATATACAACACTTCGAAGACCTGAAATCAGGGATATCCAAGTAAACAGGCCACGACAAACTGCGCCTCTTTGATTTTTCCCGGTGTCGCCATGAAATCGGCGCGGACTCACGTCCACGACGCGCACGATCTAGGCAAGTCGCCCCAGCGACGCGGGCATGTCGATGCGCGTGGGCGTGGGCCGGCGCGAGGACATTCCGCCAGAGCCCACCTGCGACAAAAATCCGCTGGGCCCTGACCCTCAAAGTACCCACCAAAAGTTTAAATTCACCAAATAATTTTGGGGCACCAAGCCATTTGAAAGGGAATTTGGAGGGTGCAGGCAATCCTCTGTCAGGGTTCCAAAATCCTCCGGATTGATCTGAAGGCATTAATCCATTTCGGGGTGTTCGCTCCAGTGATCTGAATCCCCACGAACAGGGGATACCCTACTGTAGGACGAAATCCTGCACCACCTAAGAAACCCTGGAACGATGACTCCCCTGTAGATATCAATGGTTTCAACCATGGTCTCAAAGTGCCGCGAACAGGCACTTTGATCATCCAGTCTATTAATCACCAGCTTGGGGGGGCCCGGGGGTGTTCGCTCCAGCTTTGCTTTTTCATCCACCAGTTCATTCACAGGAATCACTGGATGTCAGCCTGCTGGAACTCAGCGGGCAATGAGCGGGCAATGATCCAGGATGTTGGGCGTGAGTCTATATATATATATATATATATAGAGAGAGGGATTCCCTTAAACAAAACTATAGGGGTTGATGGTTTGTCGGGGGATGCTTAACCAAAAAAAGAAACAATGACCCCTGTAAATAATCGGCCTTTCCCTTAATGGACACCAATACCTTGGATGGTTGTTCTCGGGGTCATTCCATTTCTCAGGGACCCTACTGTATCGAAGCAGCAAGCCCACCAGGGAGTTCCTCTGGGTTCCCATTTGTCAGGTAAGCCTTGTGCTCTGGGGATTTGAAGTCCTGGTTCTTGTGGGTAATTTGGGGGTTTCCCACCGGATTCGGCTCCAAACCACCGATTGGGCTCCAAGCCACCAAGAGGGAGGCAAGAAACATATGATGTCCGACAAACATTTTCCTGGAAACCAACAGGGGAGAGTTCAGCCATGGGTTTAACGACCTCCAAACCGCCGATCTGCAAAAAACTTACTATAATTCCAAAGGCTGAATTCAGAACTAGTTTTACCCCCAAATGGCTGTGGGTCAAAGAACGGTACCTAAAATGGGACCCTGGTAGATGGAAACATGGACTAAAACCTGCGGTTTTTCCAGTGGTTCAATTTTGACCCCCACCCAACTGGTGAGCTCGCTCTAAATAGGCCGACCGCTTCAGCTCGCTTTGGGGCGGATTGTTGGGCGCAAGCGCCTGGTAGGAGGCGCCGGAGAAGCCGAGGCCCAGCTGCCCGAACTCCCCCCAGCCCCAGCTCCAACAGCTGCCCGAGACGTCCAGCGCCAAGGAGTGCACGTCTCCTACGAAACGGCGAATCCTCAATTTGAGGCTTGGCGCTGGGTTAGGGTTTAGGGTTTAGGGAAGTAGATAGGGAAGAATTCTGGGGTCTTCCCCTGGTGGTGTGATCAAGAAATCAGCTGCAATTGGAGGTAAGCTCGGTGATATTTAAGGAGGGTGTCCCATTTACCCCTAAACCTGCTGGTGCGACAAGTAGGGAATGGCTTTGGTCCCCTTAAAGGAAACCACCAGTTGGATGGTGTATAGGGGTCATTGCACCAGCAAGTTGCGAATCAGCCTGGAAAACCCGACAGAACCCCTCAAACCCTTGCACCTACCCCCTTCCCCCCCGGATGAGAAGGGATTCCATGATTTGAGATGGTCGAAATACGTCCATTTAAGCTGAACAAACAAAACAACAGTAATATAGAAAAAAGCAATAGGGAAAACAGGGGGATGTTTTTTGAGACCATGCGAACCCAAAGCGCAAATTGGAAGACCCTCCTTCAAACGTCAACAACAAGGAGCTCCTAAACGTAGAGGTGCCATACTCAATCTCGTGTGGGTCATGATCATGACTTCTCACGATTTGCTGGTTCTATAGGCAGGGAATGAGAAATGGAATGACACCGAGGAAAACCTTCCCTACTGAGCCCCGGCAAGACAACGGTTGCCCGAAATGTGTTTTGCTCACGAGCTGATGATCCCCTCTATCCACCGCAAGTAAAGGGAGTGTCAGAATCACCACCAACCCCAACACTGGCTCTCCAAACTCCTCACGTAGCAAAACACCTACTCAAACCCAGGGTTGAATTTCCGAACCCTAGTAAAAATGACACTCTGACCTGGCTGTCAGTCTGACGCCTCAAAGAACAACGCTACATGTGTAGTGGGAATAAAAACAAATAAACCAACATCTATATATATATATACATAGATGTGTGTGTTACGTGTATATTATGTATATTTATATGTATATACATTATGTCAGCAATCCCAACAAACGTCTAGTCCAAAAGCCGGACCTGGGGACCCAGGATCCCGGGCCTCCTGCCGCGCTCTGCAGTTCCACCGGCATGGGCACAGGCAAGGGCTGGCAAACGCAGGTGTCGTCCAGCTGGAAGTCCTGGCCGAGAAACCAAACCAACCCCCCGCCCAGTCTGGGCGATCCGTTTTGGTCCTGTTGGTTTCCTTCAAATAGTTGGGCTCCTTTCGGTTGGTTTCCCTTTAAATACCAACCACCAGGGTCCACAATCATGGGGCTGGGTAGAGACAAGTATGGGTCGTTTGGGGGTATCCGTTTCTGGCTTTAGGGGTGCTTTTCCCGGAAATGTGGGGATTCAGACCATAAACAGGGAGTTATCAATCTGGCGTCAACATTAGGTGAAGTTGGGTCAAAATTACACCACCAGGAATTGGACCGCAGGTTGTCCTGAAGCTGGACAAAGGCCTAAGCACCCAAATCAATATCATGATTGTGCAAATAATCACCTATAAACTCAAAACAAATGCTGAATCTTGCTAGCTTGTTTCAATAGAGTCAATATTATGATTGCCATCAAAAGAGTCGTTCATTGTCGAAATTAGCTGTTCTAATCCATTGTTACTTTGATTGTAGCCCGTGCAGCTTTCATAACATCCAGGTCTCCTACGTTGAATGTCATGATTGTTGGTTCTAAAGTATTTTGCCGTATTTCTCATCGTTGCAAAACATGATCCGAATGGTATTTAGCAATTGGCCAACGCAAAGCTATGCCGTGCTTGATCAATGGTCCAACGCATACCAACTGGACGATTGTAAATTGGCATGGATTCCACACACAACCCATCTGCTTTTACAGGAACTCGGAACTCTCATTTGGGATCCCTTGCGGGTTCCTTTTTCTGATTCGCGAATGAAGAGTACGAACCTTGCTCTTGGCGCATTTTTTGCCTGGTGACCCCGCTACACAAAAAAAAACAGATTGGCCCCATTTTTCTATGGTCCCAAACCCACCAAAAGCAAAAAAACAATCTGTGATTTGCTTTAACCTCCTGTAGTTGTTTTTCTTCTTCTTTTTAATGAAGAACTGTCCAGTAGTGATAGATTCCTTTTAAGAAAAAGGGAAAACACGAAAATACTCTTAAGCAAACAGAAGAGCGTGCAACTTGCTGAAGAGAGACACCCCCTGTGGTTCCCGACAAACAAAACGGGTTTGAAGGGCTCGGAACCCAACAAGGTTGAGGGTACCTCGTACCCTTGTTGGGATCAGGGATATGAAGTTCAATAGGGAGCCACCTCCAAAGTCAACACAAATCCCCAAAATGTCATGTCCAATTTGGGTCCAACTTAAAATTCACACCCAAGCTGCTGGTTTCTCAAAATATCCCTTAACATTGGTTTCCCTACACCAGGCAAGGGGTCCGACCCCAAAAGTGGCGCCCTTTGATTTGTTGGGCCTCCCCTTAACCCAGCTCCGAGACACGATTTCTGCTTTGTCGGTATTTCGCTTGAGCTTCCCGTAGACCCCCCTAGTCTGCACGACTTCAGTGAGGCCCAGGGATGGTTGTCCGACATGTGCAGTCTTTGCATTCCCTCTCTCTCTCTCGAGCCTCGATGTGCTGCTGGATCACCGGCTCCGGCAATCCCAGCTGGCCCCCTTCCGTGCCTAACCAACGCTGTGTTTTTTTCCGTTTGCGTTTCAGGTTCCCGGAACAAATGAGCAAACCTTTCCAGTAGTGGAATTCAAACCAGAGGGGAGAGAACAAAAAAAACGTTGGGAACCCGACATCCGGTGTCTTTCTTTAGGGAACCATCTGGGAAGCACTTTTTTTTGGGATGCTACACAGCCTTTTTGCCTCCTTATCGGACCCGCCCAGTTGGCGCTTGGCCGATGAAGAACTAGGGACTCCGTGTGCAACAAGTGGCCTCACCGGAAGCACTGGGTACTGCAAGGCACAAATACTGAACAGAGCACATGAACACTACATTTCGCAGGAGTAACATACGAGTCCATGGGTTTTGCATAGTTTACCCCATGAAATTTGGAAAATTGCCCATCCCATTCCTCCTTTTTTGTGTGGTGTGTGGGCTTCGTTTTGGGAACTCCAAAAAAAAAACGAAATGGGACCCAAGTGGTATACTGAATCAGGCTTGACAGAGGCCATCCAACCCATTCTCAAAACTCATATCCTCAATGGATGCTGTTCATTTCCCACAAGAAATGAGGCCCAAAGCCAACAAGTGGTATTGAAAGTTGTTGACTCCGTGCTTGTGGGCTGTGGTCGCTTCCCCCCTGACCCTCCGAGCTTTTCCTTCCACCTCCCCCAGCCGCTCGGAGGCTCGGAGGGTCGGTCCCCTGGGTCCCCGGCGGCCCCAGGCGAAGAGTTTCCCGCTGAAGCCCACGGCCAGGGCGTGGTAGGAGCCGCAGGCCACCTCCTTACAGCCTGGGAAAACGTGGGTCGTGGGGCTCGGAGGAGTTGTTTTTTTCAGGGAGGGAAGCCAAGGGAAGCAACCAAGCAACACCTTGGCAAACGAACACCCCAGAAAAGACCGGAAGTTGCAGAAAGGGACCCAGAAATTGTGAAACCAAATGGTCAGTTCGGGTCGAATCGCTTTGGTTGTCCGGGTTCTACAGGGAAAGCCTTGAAACAAACGAATCTCTGTTTGGGGTGTCGGAAAAGAAAGGAAACACTCATATCCATCTTTTACCTGAATTGATACCGCAGGGTTACCTGTGGGAACTCTTTGTGGGTACACCAGTGGCGTCTGTTTTGTTTTGTTTTTTGCGGATGCTTCATATTCAGTCAACCTAAGAAATAAGCTGGAGGAGACAGGCCTCTTGAAAAGACCTACCTCCAAGCATATTTCTGCTGCAAAACACAGGAGCCCAAGGCGGTTCAAACACGGCGTTGGCCCGGTGAAAGTAAGTTTGCTTTGAATGTGAAGAGTGCATTGCCGCAAAAGGTCCCTGGCCACACCTTTGGGAGGATTCCAAATATGTTATGTCACCTGTTTTTCTGGGATTGGCGAATCGCACCACATGGTTGCCGTGCAACTACTCCCCGCCATGCAGTGGCTTGAGGCGGTTGCTTCAACTCGGATGCCTTCTTTGGGTCCTGGGCTGTCGGAAAAGTTCGCGAGAAGGAGCGTGCAACTTCCTGACCCGTCATAAGCATGACAACCTAATCTGGGGTCTAAACATAGTATTCGTTGGGTCTATTTCACATTTTGTCCACCCTGAAATACAATATAGCTTTGCAGGAGACACTAGTAAAAGGCACACCTGGCATCTCCAAGCCATCCAAGGCACACACCACACCTTGCCTACCTAGCCGCCCTGCCCCCCCCCCCCCCACTCGGAGTTCGTTGATCCCTTTGGGAGGGCAATTATTCTTTGATACCCTTCCCCCCTGAAACCTATCCCTTCCAGCTACCATTCTATTGGGTCAACCTTCATGTAAAACCCACCCCACCCCCCACCCCCCCCACCCCCACCCCGCCCCACCCCCGCCCCCACCAACCCCAGCCCCAGCCTTGCAGCTGCACCTTGGTGGGCTCCGAGCGCGCGCCGCCGGCGCCGCCGGAGCCGGCGGAGCTGGGCCCCAGGCCCAGCACGCCGCCCTCCCCGCTGCCCCAGGACCACACCTGCCGCGAACGCGCGCGAACGCTCCCCAGACGCGGACATCGGGGAACCATTTTGAGCCGGGCTCCCTGTTTTTGGTCGGTCCCCAGGCGCATCACACCTAAGGGGAAGGTCCGAAAAAGTTGGCCCAAAAGGCGATGTCGAAAAACCAAAAGGGAAATACAGGGGACCCTGACAGATGTGGATATCGGGGACTATGTTGAGTCAAATCCATGCCCTAAAGCGCCAAGGGGGGTGGGGGTTGTGTGGATTGAAAAATACACCATAGTCTTAAGCAAACGGAAGCAACTAGAGCCTGCAACCTGCAGAGGGAAACCCCTGTTGGGTTCCCCAACAAAAACCGCAGGACCGCCTGGCCCTGAGTGTCCAGGGCCAAGGAGAACTGAGCGCCGCAGGCGACGCTGGCGAAGGTGACCGAGGTGTTCAGCTTCCTGAGCCGTGGGATTCAACCGCACGGTCTGGTGCCATAAATAGGGTAAGTAGGGAATGAGAAATGGAATGAACCAATTGGGATTCCCGAAGAAAGGAAACCATAGGATGGATGGTTTATAGTTAGGGGTCAGTAGCGCTAGGTCTTCCAGTAAAGGGGAACTTTTGTTTTTTCTGTAGTTTACTTTAGTAGGGGATCGCTCCCCCAAAAAAGGGTAAAGGGTCACTACTGGGGGACCTATGTAGGGAATGAGAAATGGAATGAACCGTTTTGGGATTCCCATAAATTAAAGGCAACCATAGGATGGATGGTTTTTCTGGGAGTCAATACATTTCTCATTCCACGCTGCAGCACATTTTGCCAGTTTGGTCGAGCTCCCCAAAGGAAAGTAACAAATGTGAACAACCCGAAGAGTCCCCGATACTAAAATATATATATATATATGTATATCCAACCAGTAGAGCCCTCTAATTGGTGATGGCAACCGGAGGTGTGCCTGAAAGGTGGTGTTCGCCATCCCCACTACGCTCAAGGCAAAATGGGCGGAGGGGTAGGAAGGGGGGTATGCAGCCACTATGCTGGCACAAAACAAAGTCATATTCCCCAGGTTCCTCTAAACCACTACCCAGGGGAAAACATGGTGTATACCCTTTGTATAATGGTTGTACAGTGGCTATGCATCCCATTCCGTTGGGGATGGCTTTGGGATGGTCGAAACCGTCTTAGAGTTTAGGCAAACCTGCCGGTGAGTCAAGGTCTGTACGTCTTGCCTTTTGTGCATCCCTTTTGGCTGGCAAAGGACAACTGTCCAGGTCTCTTGTGGGGCTGTGTGTGTGTGTGTGTGCTTGTTTGTGAGGGTACCCTCTTTAAGGTTGGATTGAAGGGAAACCAAAAGGAAAGCCACTCATTTTGGGTGGTCTCTATAGTCTATAGTTTGACGGACATGTCAATTCCCGACACAAATATTTCCATCAAAGACTGATCGGGGTCTACCCAAGACCAATGCCCTACCCAAACTGATTGGTAACAAATACTTCAGCGATGCACCCACAACCAAAAGGGGCTTAGATGGATTTAAAAGGTGCAGAACTCAACTCCAGGCTGTTGGCTCTTTTTCGGACACGAGGGCCTAGGGTAGTTCAAATTAACTTCGTTGTGAATGGCTCATGGAACCGTGGAGCCCCAAACAGCAACTGTTTGCTCTCTCCAACTCAGGGGAGATGAATATCTCATTATTTTTTGTGTTTTTGGGGGGAGGGGGGTCACAAGTGGTGTAAAATCGGAATACCAGCTCAAAAAGACGAGCCATGGACCTGAAGCCAAGGCTCCTAGGCTTTGGCACCACCCGGCAGCCCCGCAAACCGGTGCGAGGGCTCATGGGCGAGGGCCGCGGGGAGCTCATCGGGGAGCGCACGAAGAGGCGGTCATCGCCGCCCACCTGGCGAAACGAACACCTCGCCGCGCGATCCGCAAAAGGAAACCTTTGCAAACTCGCCGAGAGGTGACGTGCTGGTTGTGTTGTGCTTTTTGTGCGAGAGACCGCGCATGTAGCAATGCAAAGTCGACTTTGTGATTGTTGTTGATTCCAGTTTGCAGGTTGGCCCATGTGTAGCCAGGTTCCAAAAACCACAAACCGCATTTCTTCTTCTCCACAGGTCGGAGACACCATTCATAGACCAAAAAGAAATCCCCAAGCTACCCACCAGAAGTTCACCGGCTGTTCAAGGACTGCATTCCTTTAAAGGGGTGCCACACACTTCCCTAGGGGTGGCTATCAACATAGGTGACCCTCAAAATTGGCAGTCTCCTGTGCTCCCCCTTTTAAAACCACACAAAAGAGGGCATCCCGCTGGCTTGGGGGTGACAACCCACAAGCCTTTTGAGGCTAAATAGAGCGAAATGGTCCCTTAGGACAGATTGCTAGATCAGTCACGTTCCGGTACATAAAGGGGCATTGCACTTCGCAAGTTAGCAAGTGGAAAAACAAACCATGGTTATAACCCATTTACCATGGCTATACGTCTCCTAAGTGGGTTCTAACCAGGCTTACTAGGCACTTACCACGTATCCTGCCCCTTGTAATACCCTATTTAAAACCAACAACCCCCCAGTCGAACCTTCCAAAGGTTTCGCATAGGTTGGACCCCGGAAGGGCGCTGAGATTCATGGAGAGGCTGCCCCCTTCTTGCGTGCTAACAGGGAAGCCTAAAGGAACTCAATGCCGTTTGTGGGGGGGGGCCTAAACAGGACACATCCATATGGGTGCTTCCTGAATCAGGAGTTGGGCTCTCAGATTAGACAGTTTCCCCTTCTGTTCCCTCTTAAGCAGTAGTCAAAGAGTCACAAGGGTTGAAGCCCTGAGCATTGCAAGTCCAATCCCCAAACCACAACAAATCCAAACCACCAACTAAGGGCTACCTGACTACTGGCACTTCGTTCACGGTGAAATCCGCCTCTATTACAGCTTGTTGCTTTTCTTGAGAAAGCAAGGCCCGCACGACAGCACGACAGTACTGCTCTCTTCCTATCCACGCGCAGGAAAGCATAGCTCGGTTCTCGCAGCGGCAGCTTTGAGCTCTCGCTTTGGGATTTTGGCTGCTGCCTCATTCGCATGCAGAGAAGGAAAACAAACCACAAATTACCAGGCTATCAGAAGAAAAGCAAATCACCCGCCCACAAGCTATCACGGAACCCGACGGGAAGCAGCTGGAGAGTCACCTTCTGGCGGGCTTCATTTGGCTGGAAGGGTAAGGGGAAAGTGTGTAGGTACGCACCCAAGGCGCACAGAGGTTACTTCCCACATTGTGAGATCACGGATCTTGTCTCTGGTTGTTCGAGACCTTCTGCGTTTTTCGGCGGGTCAAGCCCAGGGCATACTCGGGTGTGTGACAAAGAATCGATGGCTTTCCGAGGAAAGCCTTTTGAAGCCACCCCCAAGGTGGCTGCCCTGCTGCGAGCTTCTCAAAATGGACTCTCTTTTGCTTGGAAATCAAATTAAAAGCAAAACCATTCCAGGGGAAAGACCCATAACTGCTGGGCGACCATTTGCAGTTGGGAAAGCGCAGCAACCAAATTGAGAAACACCCCAAAACAAGACGAGCCACTCATCCCGTCAACCCTCGCCCCGGTCGAAGCCCCAGTCCTGGCAATACTCGTCGAAGCCCCAGGCATGGAGATGTCCCTGAGGCACAGCCGTCCCAATTGGGCAGATACGGAAATGCGGTAACAGGAAACTAATTTGCATGTCTTGATATCCATTGCGTAATGTTATATACACATGTGTATGTATATAATATACTTATCACTGTTTATGTGTGTATGCATACATGGCATCTATGCTCGTATTTTGGCAACTGTCCTTCTTGAAATCTGAGCATGCATTGCTGCAATGCTTCGAGCACATCGCTCTCGCATCTGGCCATCTTACTGGTAGTTTGACTCCGAGGATCTGATTCTTGGTGTCTGCAGCTCTCAGTTCAACTCAGATCCCTCATGCAGGCAACTCAACCTCTGGTATTACCCCCATCGGTGCTTTGTTACATTGAATAGGAAGTAAAAACCCTAATGCTCTCTTAGGAGAACCCCCCCAGATGCCAAACTTGGATCTCAGTGGTTCCATGTGGCAACGTGGCCTCGCCACCCAAAACTACCCCCCCTCAATGTAGGTACATACTAGACATGCAGACATGCAGACATGCAGACATGCACACGTGCAAAGTGTTTGGACATAGCTGAAAGGCAATCGCTGACACCAGGGCACAAACGAAAAATACGGGAGGGAAGCGGTGTGGTTGATCTGCTGATTGCTTATGTGTATTTAAACCTTCCCTTACTGTGGGGATTTGACGAAGGGCTGTTGAGCCCTGTTTCACACTCGGCCTGGATCGCCTAGCCAGTGCCCATGTCATGCAATGAAATTTACTCTACAGTAATTGCAAGACCTTAAATCAGGAATCCTCAAATGAAGGGCCTACATCATGGGAAGATCATGTTATTTCCAGGTCAGCACATGTCTACACTTGGATATCCCACATGAAGCACGGTTGAGAGTACTTCCTGCCGGTTGTTTTGTCACTTGACTTGTGATTTCCCCGTCGCTTTGCAATGCTTTCGTTTTCCAACAAGCCTAACTCACAAGCATGGCGGTAATACAAGATAGGCAAAGGACGGAAAAGAAGGAAGGAAGGAAGGAAGGAAGGAAGGAAGGAAGGAAGGAAGGAAGGAAGGAAGCAAGCAAAAAGGAAGGAAGCAAGCAAGCAAGCAAGCAAGGAAGCAAGGAAGCAAGGAAGCAAGGAAGCAAGGAAGGAAGGAAGGAAGGAAGCAAGGAAGCAAGGAAGCAAGGAAGCAAGGAAGCAAGGAAGCAAGGAAGCAAGGAAGCAAGGAAGCAAGGAAGCAAGGAAGCAAGGAAGCAAGCAAGCAAGGAAGCAAGGAAGGAAGCAAGGAAGGAAGCAAGCAAGGAGGCAAGGAAGGAAGGGAAGGAGGAAGGAAGGACGGAAGGAAGAAAGGAAGGAAGGGAGGGAGGAAGGCACAACGGCAGGACGGCAGGACGGCAAGGAGGCAAACAGGAAGGAAGGGCGGAAGGGACAGAAGACAGCAGGGCTCTTTCACTCCTCATTTCATGCAGATGATAACTATTCGTGGGCCGTTGGCTCCCATATCCATGGCCAGACGAAACTCGAACCTTCCCTTGGCCCGCAACTCGCAGAAAGCAAGATTGTTGGATTCTGCTTGGTGGTCTTTTCCCTTAACAAAAACAAACACAAACCTCATTTCAACAAAGTACTCTTCACAGAACAAGTCGTACTCCTGGCAGTCCTGGCAGGAGGAGTCCGATATGTTTTGCTTCCCCGCGAAAGCCGCCGGACGCCGCCGCCCCAGCCGCCTCCTGATCCACGGCCACGCAGTGCGACTCCCCGCAGGCCACCTCGCTGACCCTCACCTGGCAGAACCACGGCGTCGCGGCTGCTGTCGCTAAAACGGAGAGCCCCAAAACGGGTGTTCCTTTTGGCTTCCTTCAGAGTTCCCCACATGGGGGGGGGAGGTGGGGGGCCCACAGTAAACAAGGTCCAACATTTCATTTGATAGTTGGCCCCAGACACCTGCAAATTGGGAAAATGAGGGGTTCATGTTTTTTCCCTTAAACCGTCACCCCCGCCAAACAAACACTCACCAATATCATGGGCCAAAATGGTGATGTTAGAAACTACCAAGAGAAATATAGGGAGCCCTGTTCTAGGCATGCCCAAGGAAGGATCCCTCAAAAAGCATACAGACCAATTTTAGGTGTGACAAGGGTGTCTGTTGAAGGACGAAGGAGCTACAAGACCTCGAGTGGCCGGGGAAAATGGATACTTTGGCGGGTTGAGTCTGAAGCTTGAATCAGTCAACAAAAAGTGAACACAAACACCACTGAGGTAAGGGTTTTGTTTATACCCCTTTTGCAAATCAACACGGAGCCCTAAAAGGAGGTCCCAAAGGAGGAGGTTCCTTTAAGGACGGTTCTTTGGGTTGCATGTTAATTTGTAGTGTAAACGACACATGAAGACGGGTCAAAGCATGTCAAATTGTCCTCATTCCAGGTTGTTCCCATGCCTCCTTCAGGGCCACCACACGCACTGGCGTGCCGCTCCAAGGCACGTCGTTCCTCGCGGATCCGATCTGCGGTGTGGGATGGGTTTCAATGAGAGTCTCTAGTCCCTACACTTTGATCACCCAAAAGGCTTGGCTCTTCACCAGGTTTGCGGGAATGGGCGGACACAATCATGAAGGCGCACAAAGGCTTCTTTGATCTTTCTGTTGGTTTCTGGGGAACAAACAAGTGACCAACATAAAGGACTTCAAGATCAACCTTGAATTAGGACCCTGGATAAACCGACTTTGGTTCAAATCCAGAGAAGCCAAAAGGCACTTCCCACTCCCAAAGGTATATGCGTGTGATTGTTTGTGCCAAAAGCGGCATGCAAAAACGTCAAAGACGTCCTGAATGGATTGGCCAAACAACACAACGATTGTTTGCCACTAAGTCACTAGGTACTTCCAAAAAAGGTATCAAGTCCCGCTCGGGGGGGTGACTGATGGTTCCCAATAAGTGAAAGGCGTCAGGCCAAAGTATCTTCGTATCTGGTTCAGATGTCTGTGTGCGCGAACTGCGTCAACACATATATCCCAAACACCTTAATCAAAAGAGAGCCCCAAAGACCTGAACATGTCTAAAACTAAATCCCGAAACCTCAAGCTTGTACAACCTCCAACGCTTCGCCGAGTTTCTTGCCCAGGCCCAGTTGTCCAAGCTCGTTGACCCCAGAAGCGAAACAGGTGCCGCGCCAAACGTCCTGGCGCTCGCCTGCCCGTGCGTCGATGGAGCACAATTTCCTGAAACCATAGACTCAGTTGAGTCATTATCAAAATCCGGTACCAAAACGGGTCTGACATCTGCACCCATGACTGGGAGTCTCCCTTACTACCCTCCAAGTACCTGGGTGTTGATTGTGACTGGTATTACAATGGTCGTGATCCCAGAACCAGGTAAGGAATTGACAAGGCGGATATCCGTACCCATTTATGGCATGATCCCTTATTAGCCTCCAATGACCCGGGCTTTTCTTGTGACTCAGTTGAAACCAACGGCAACCTCTAGAGGACGGCATTTGTTGCTCGGCTGGGAGCCACCAAGTTTGCGGGGTCTTGGGCCAATCTGTTAAGTCCTGCCTTTGAAACTGTCACTCCATGTTGGACGCCTCGGAACTTTGCGTCGGAAGCTTCGGGTTCCTGTCCCGTGTGAGTCCCTTGGATTTTGACACCAAGGCCATCCATGGATAAGTCTGGCTCACTCGGACACATCAACAGGGAACCACGGCAGAAGTGGTTGGTGGACGTGAATCACCAAATTGTGATGTCCACCAAAGGGTCCCTACCATCAGGCTCCTGAGGCTTTCAATGGAAGACCCGACTCCTCCATTAGACACCGGAGGTGGTTGGCGGTCTCAAAACCAGCTTGTTTGAAGGGCCCTAAATCAATCGGGAGCCTCTGGGTACTTAAAATGCCTGACCCTTTGCGTGGAAAATCAAGGCGTGTCCAACTCAGGCCTCTGATCAGCCAAGAAATCCAGTTCGGGGCCCTTTCTTTGGGTCCGAGTGCGTAAGGAGCTCTCCAGTTCTGAGAAGCCGTTTTCTGAACGAAATCTTCGCTGTGCTCCGTGACACGCAACTCGGGTAACCAGGGAGCCCGTCTTTCTTCAGGGCTTAGTTTCTGCCAGGGAAGCCAGTGATTTGTCACACGCACACATGTCCAAGAGGCGCGCCTTGCGGAAGCAACAAAAACCAGGGGCGTTCAGTTCCATGGAACAATCTACTGCGCAAATGTCATCATTCCATTTCAAGAACCCACATCCTGAGCTCTCTATACTGAGAGCAGTGAGCGCTGGCAAAACAGAGATCCTTACACTATACACCTGAACATTTCCTTGTACATGGTGGTTTCCCTTTATTTTGGTGGGTTAAAAGAGCCATGTTTCAAATGGGCAAAATCTTTTAAGGAGCCCTGCGACATCTTTCTCCATGCCAGCCCCCAGACCCGAACGCAGCGCGCAGCTGGCCTGTGATGCCCTGGGAGACCGTGCAGGGCTCGTCCTCCGTCTTGGGCCAGCAGTGCGCCAGCACGCCATCCTGCGATACATCCCCCACTCGAGTGACCTGCTTAGTGGACTTCCTGAAGCCCTGACTTCTCGGACTGGGCTCGGACTGGGTACTCCGAACTTATAGGCTGGGTGGTTAGAATAAGTTGGAACCCGATGTTTTTTTTTTCTGTAGTCTGTTTTAGTAGGGGAGCCCTCCCCCCCCAAAAGGGAGAGGGCACTGCTGGGGGACCTAGAAGATGTTGTTTCATATTTGGTCTACCGTAAAACTAGAAGACGGTTGTGGAGGAGCCCTCAGCTCGAATACCGACAGGATGAAGAAACCTGACAAAACTTCGCCCACTGAGCCTGAACGCAAGCCTCTCATTGGAAGGCCTCACTTGATAAGCCCCAGCCATTGCCTTTTGGCCCTTCGGGACAATGAAGAGAGCTCCCTCAAAAAGTTTACTTGGTCACTTGATTCTCCAAAGTTGGGCCATGGCAAGTAGGCATTCGCTTAACATCTTGAGAGAGCAGTTGCTATCGAAACCCAAGATGTAAAAACACCTCGTATTTTCAACATATACCCAGTTCCATTTATCTAGTTTCCACAGAAAGGAACTTGGACTATGAATCTGCACACTTTAAGAACCTACAGTGAGCTCGTTTTACCCCCGGCTCGCCATACAATCGGCAGACTTTGAGGCACCAGTGCTCCCAGCTATAGGCAACCAGAAGAAACCATAGGGGCAAACCACACCGTATATCCTGATAGTCGTACAGGGTGCACCAAAACCATAGTTTCAGAAGTTGCTTCAAAACTTTGGAGGAGACCCCAAATGACTAAGCTCTGGGACTCTTTCCATCCACGACCACCCCCACACCCCCAGCCCTTCTCCTGGATGAAGTGCAACCTTAGATGCTACGACCAAGATGACACGCAACACACTCTGTGCAACCCGTGAGCAATACGTATACCCCACATTTTTAATTCTTGTGGGGAAGGCCTTGAATTTGGTGGTCTGGTAAGCAATAGTGAGGTTCACTCTCTCCCAACTATTCAGAATTGCAGCCGAAATGTGTCAACCCCCCGAAAATTTCGCGGGTATTCGCTCGTTCCTTCCTCTGAACCTTAAACACCAATAACTGCCAAAAGGTATCCTACGAAACCATCAAAACGCACAACAATCCGTGGAACAAGACTCGCCGGTGTTCAGCTGGGCAGCACGTCGTGTCTGCGCCACCACCGTTCCAGGCCGGCCACTTTGGCGGCGCTGAGCGCCGCTTTCGCCGCATTTTCGTCGTGGAGGCCGTCCATAGCCGCAGGGCCCCAGGTGAAAGGAACGTCCTCCACGGCCGCTCTCCCATAACCTCCATTTGCTTAAGTTCCCTGGAAAAGATATAAAAAAAAACAATTCCAGTAGTGATAGATTCCCTTTAAAACCAACAGGGGAAAAAAACAATATTCTTAACCAAATGGAAGATAAGGCTGCATGTTCATCAGGGGAGCAAACGAACAAACCGAAAGCCTCCGTTCATTAACCAGCAGCAAACTAAACTGCTCCAAGGGTGTTGAACAATTATTGTGCAATGCTGGCTCCAACCTGCACTACAAGAATACAACAAGTAACAGTCCAGCTGGGTCGTTCAAAATGGAGAGGCCCCTAATCCTAATCCCAATCCGACATCTGCAGGGGGACACAATTACAACAAGGGAAACCACTACCATCTCCCAGCAAGGAATGCCCCCGTTCTGGTTGCTATTTCAAAATGGAAACCTTGCACTTTTCTGTCAGCCGTTTCCCATCACCGCAATCTGCTTCCGAGAATATGGACATCTTGCGAACTTCCTAAAATTGGGGGGTCCACATGGCAGGTCTGTGTCCAAATCCTGGTTCTTCAAACAGCACCCACATCGACGCACAAGCACCAACTCAGGAGTTCTTCGAATGATGGTTCTTGGGGCTACTTTTTTTTCCAGGAGCAGAAAACTCTAGGGGAACTTCCATCCAAGGCGTGTGTTTCTCTCGGCTCGCTCGCTCGCTCGCTTCGCTCCTCGCCGAAGGTGAGCAGCAGGGATCGGAAGTAGTCCCCGAACTTGGCAACGCACTTGGCGTCCGACCTGTGAAGGCGGCGTTGATCTCTGGGCCCCGGCACAAGGCAAACCCAAAGCAGGTGGTTAAGGGTGGTTTGGGGTTGGTTTAGGGTTGGATTGGGGTTGGTTGGTCTGCGGTTTAGGGTTGGTTCAGGATTGGTGTTGGGTTGGATTGGAGTTGGTTGAGGGTTGGCTTGCGAATGGTTCAGGGTCTGTTTAGGATTGGTTTAGGGTGGTTTAGGATTGGTTTCGGGTTTGTTTAGGGTGGATTAGGAATGGCTTAGGGTTGGTTTGGGGTTGGTTTAAGGTTTGCTTGCGTTTGGATTGGGGTTGGTTTTGGGCTGGTTTGGGGTTGGTTTAGGTTGGTTTAGGGCTGGTTTGGGTGCTTCGAGTTAGTGAGGCGAAAACTAACTACAAGCAAAACTGCCGAAGGGCTCCCCGTGCAAAAAACAACCAATCTTCATAAACAAAACTCTCTTTCCCAAGCGCTTCGCCCGCGAAGCGGCGGCTTTCCTTTAGATTTCCCTTTAAACCAACCTGAAACTCTGACAATGCCAAGAAATGGCTGTGGGTCAAAACCAATGGTACCATTTTGGGGTAGGTGCACCACCCATTTTTGTCTATTTTTGTGGGGATTGGGATGTTCACTGAAAGGAACGGGATTTTGAGCCATGGCCAAATATGACCCTGCCTGCAATAAGCGATGATCCCGAGCTTCCAGACCAGAAAGCAGGCGAAGGGGTGCCCGCGCCCCCCTGGACGGCGGGGGTCGCCCCAGGCGTCGTCCACCGCTGCCAGGGCTTGCAAGTAGTGCAGGTAGCAGGCGTCCACGTCGCCTGCAAGTGTTCCATCTGCTTATGCGGCTGAATGCATTGACCAGGTACCATTCCCCTAAGAACACAAGCATCACCTAGTGGAAAAGATGTTTGACTGGGTCCCCTTTGAGTTTCATTGCGAACACTTTGCCGTTCTATAAAGAAACTAAATTGTAGAAACAACAGCAATGTTCACCAGGTGATTCTTGACTGGTATGGACCCTTATGGGTCATTTTTTCTCTGAGGGCAGCCTCCTTTCACACAAGCAACTGCATAACCCTGAAAAAGTCCCTCAAGGTCTCATCGCCTTGGCTTCCCTTTGATGACCACCCCGCCTAGCAACCGGTTAATCACCCCAGAGTCAACCCCAAAAAACAACTGCACTATGACTACGACATCAAGTCGTTCTTCGGTCATAAATGTGCTTAGATGGCAGCGTCAGCACAAAGACACTGCATGTTCACAGTAACTTGGTCAAATGGAAACACGCAAGCAACACGGCATAAGGTCTGAAACAGACTTAAAACAACTAAAATGTGGATAAAACATACTGGGGGACTTAAGCACCATGAACCATGATTCAGTCGCTAAGTGGGACCCGTTCCGGAGAGGGCCTCGGTCCGATCAAAATCACAGGGTGCACAATTTGGACCCCAAAGGAGTGCCCTCAACAAACGCCTCTGCGATGCAACACAAGTCAGAACCTACAAAACTGGTTTTCCCTCATGATCAAAGGGGGCGTTTTGCATGAACCTCAAACATTATTGAACCAAAAAGCATCCCAGGAAGAAAGCAACTGTCAATATTGGTTAAGCCCCCGCACATGCTTTGGCGAGTAACCCCCATTTCCTAATCACTGGTATGGTGAGCCCAATGTTATTCCGTAACTACTGACAGCTGTTTTCCAGGAAATTCCTTACGCCCATTTTTTTCTTGGGAATCTAGAGGGGCTAAACATTGCACGATGCTCCCATAAGCCAGTTTGCTTTCGTGCCCTTTCATCCTAATGTCGACCATAGATTAACAAGCCCTTCCGATTCATCGAAGGTGTTCCTCCAAAAGTGATGAAATGTTAAGGGGTCACCCCCATCTCTCAAACTCAACCAAGGGTTCCCCCATACAAAAAAACCAATAAAAGGGCCGTTTGCCCATGCCCTGCTGGCGCCTTCGCGCTCGCAAATGAGGCCCCGCAGGGCAAAGAAGGCCGCCAGGAGTTCCGGGGGACAATTCGCCCCCAGCTCCCCCAAGAGCGACGCCACCGCTTTGAGCCCCCGCGAGGAAATGCCTCGAACCCGCGAACATTTCAAAGGCATGCACGCACGGATGCAGGGACGTGTGGTATGGCATGGCATGGCATCGCATGTTATGACATGAGTGGCTCAGTGGTAAGGAGTGGCACATATCTATATATATATATATATGTATGCATGTAGTGTATGTAATGTTATATAGTGTAATGCAATGCAACGCATTGTCGTATTGCAGTTGTATTGTCATGAAATGTCGTGTCATGTAAAAACAGATCGTACAGTCATGTAACCTCATGCCCTGTAATGTATGTATGTATTATGCATGTATGCATGTATGCATGTATGCATGTAAGCTGGCATGTAATGTGTGCATGTAATGTGGGGTAAGGTAAGGTAAGGTAATGTGTATGTATGGATGCATGTATATGTACGTGTATGTGTATGTATGAGTGTATGTATGTGTGCATGCATGCATCCGTGCATGGATTCATGCGTGTGCGTGTGTGTGTGTGTGTGTGTGTGTGTGTGTGTGTGTGTGTGTGTGTGTGTGTGTGTGTGTGTGTGTGTGTGTGTGCGTGTGTGCGTGTGTGCGTGTGTGCGTGTGTGCGTGTGTGCGTGTGTGCGTGTCTGCGTGTCTGCGTGTGTGCGTGTGCGTGTGCGTGTGCGTGTGCGTGTGCGTGTGCGTGTGCGTGTGCGTGTTCGTGTGTGTGTGTGTGTGTCCGTGGGTGTGCGTGGGTGTGCGTGTGTGTGTGTGTGTGGGTGGGTGTGGGTGTGCGTGTGCGTGTGCGTGTGCGTGTGCGTGTGCGTGTGCGTGTGCGGGTGCGGGTGCTGGTGCGCGTGCGCGTGCGCGTGCGCGTGCGCGTGTGGGTGTGGGTGTGGGTGTGGGTGTGGGTGTGTGTGTGTGTGTGCGTGGGCGTGTGCGTGTGTGCGTGTGCGTGTGCGTGTGTGCGCATGCATGCATGCATGCAAGCATGCATGCATGCATGCATGCATTGCATCATATTGCAATGCAGTGCATTATGTTAAGTTACGTTACGTTGCATTACATGCATTAGTCTACACTACACTACACTGCACTGCACTACATTACTTGGCATTGCGCTACATATATATATATATATATGCTGTACAATATTCATAATATATATATATATATACGTATTGCAAACATGAGACCAGTGGAATGCATCACATTTCAACTAAACGCCTTCTCGAACCTCTTCACCAAGCCAGGAAAAACAGTCAAATCTCGTGCTGAGTGGGTTGGCAAGCTTGTGTGGAACTTGAGACTCTGCCATTAGTCTCTCGCTTTTTACGGAAACCGAACACTACGCCGATTTTCCATGTGGTTTGGTCCGTTGGGTTTGGAGCATTGATACCTAAATCGCCAAGGCCGGGATCCGTGCCAGAATCGGTTCGGACCCGAGCCCTACGGAGCAACAAAACTGAGTGTGCTAATGGGACTCCCCAAATGGGCTTTCCCTTGGGGTGCCACTTGCACACACATGAGCAGTGCCCAAAGCGCATTGACTTTTGGTTCTGCCAAAATGGTTATAAAGCTAAACAACACCTCACCATAACCCTGAGATAACCCTAAGCGTATTAAACCAAGTAGTAGTACCACCTACCAAAAAAGCATGGCCGATTCGCCTCGTTTCAGGGCGCTGCGTTGAATTTCGGCGTGTTTTCCGAGATGCCGTCGCGCTCCTTCTCCGGCGTTTCCGTCGAAAGATCCGCGAGCAAGTTGAGCTGCACGGAGCACAGCAAAGCTTTGGCCCTCCTCGGAGCGCGTTTGTTTCCCCCGGCTGCACGCGAACGGATAAGCCTATAAAGGAAAACATAGGGGATGGTTTATATCATCCCTGCTCGGAACCAGCTTGGATATTCTTGTTTTTGGCGCCCATGGCCAATGACATGTTTCTTTGTTGAAAGTGATTTGGGGTTGATACCAGGCGGGCGCCAGAAGGGGCGATTTGGGGCAGCTTTCCGGCGGGTCCGGGCTGTTGGGGATACCATCTAGGCTTCTTTCTCGCAAGGGGTCTGCTCTGAGCTTAAAGGAAAACAAGCCTAGTTTCTGACTTTGATACTCTCCCCTCCCCCAAAGAAAATAAAGATGTCAAAATAAGGAGCCCAGTATTTGGTGGCTTGGATTCGTGGTTTCGAGGTTGAGGTGGTTCTACAAGAAGGGGTTCAAACCTGCAAACCACCCATCTAAAGCACCAATTCAGGATAGCTACAAGGATTCTTCGAGCAATGGACTTCCAAGGAGGGGAAAAAGGATAGACGCGTCGATTTGAAATGGAAGCACATTCCAAACATGGTTCAAAAACACCACTGGAGGTGGGATTTGTAAAATGTACCTACAGTGCCCTCAGAAACAAATCCAAGTCGGGATACATCTTGATTCAGAGCATGTTGGTAGGCATAATCTAGTACTATTCAAAATCAATGCCAGCTCGTGTTTCCTATACGTCAGCTCGGGTTTCGGTACTTTGGAGTGTTGTGAAGGTGTTCCAGGATTGTCTTCCCATGTGGCCTCAAGAAATCAAGAGCTGATGTTCGGTATCACCCAACAAGTGGAAGCCTGGAATACTTGCCAGTCATGACCACGCACCTTTAAGCGAATGGAAGATAGAAAAGTATATTTATCACTTGCTCATGTCCCAAGCTGGTTGGGTGTTTCAAACGGAATAGATGTCGATCATCACGGATGAGTCAACCTCGCGGATTGAAGGTGTTCAGTCTGCAAATGAGACACTCCATGCTTGGGGGAAACCATCTAACAGCCCTTGGAACCTTGGAACTGGCCACCACGCTGACCATCTACCCTGTGCTCCCCTCCCAGCCTTTCAATCCTAAAATGGCTGGTCACCTGTGGCCTGCCTGTCCACTCATAGCTGTGTGAATGATGGATTCCCATGCCCAGTCGTGCTCTTTGTGTCGCGCTCTCGTGATCCACTGGCATCCAGCCACACACCTAGCAGAAGTTGGACTCGGGTTCCTACGTGAAGGCCACTGGTGGCTTCATCGCATAAAAAGGACGGGGGGACAACACTGCCTCGCTTGGATACGAGTCAGAGATGCTAGTCTCCACCCGAACAGAGGTCCGTGGCGGATTGTCAACCAAACCGATGCTTTTGCCAGTCAAGTTGAAAGCAGCCCTGTCATACAGTTGTGCATGTACAAGTCTCTCCCCTAATGTCTCCCCTCCCCAAACCAGGGAGATTTCTCCAACAAGCATGGTCCATGAACCAGATCCAGCGGCCAAGCTTGGTACTTCAGCTGGTAGTGCTCCGAGGCTGCCGCCGGCATCAGCGCAGCCCCCGCAAGGCGATTCGCCACTCCGCCCGGACTCCGCAAACGAAGCAGGCGCTCGTCACCTGACTCCAGGGTCAAAACCCCGCGGAAACCTGAGGAAACCTATCCTTGTGGTCGTCTCCTTGGACACAGACCTGCTTGAGACAAGGTCCACGTGCAAAGCACTGCTTTCAACTTGCTGCCTGAATAGAATACAACGACTCATTAGATTTGTTGTGAACTAACATGGGCTGGACAAAAGGAGGCCAGCCAAAATCATGACAGAATCCAAAAGGCTTCTCTTTGCACCTATTGGAACTGTCTACTAGCCTTCAGAGGTTGCCCTTGCTAGGTATGGCTGGCGCTTTGCCATAGGTCTTTGGGCTGACAAACAGTTTGTGTTTTGTGCAAGAGCACGTGTTTGCAGGTTGTCCATACCCCTGAAACCAACAAAGCCAACCTCCAAAGTACCGTTCAAAAACAATGGTTGTTTATAAAACAAAACAAAACACAGCTGACCAGATCGCATCTCGAGGTGCTGGGCAGTTCCAAAGCGGCGTCAGTGAGCACTTCCAAGGCCGCCTCCAACAAGAGCCCACCTCGAAAAACCGAATGCGAAAAAGTGCCAGGGGGTCGATTGGGGCTTTGTGTTTTTCCCTTTTTGGTGAGGTCGAAAATAGATGGCCCGGGAAAAGATGATTATGACCCGAGTCCAGGTTTACCCTCCCACCAATCAACAGCCGGAACCTGACGTTCCGGACCCGGCCCCTTTAACAAAATGGCCCAAACCAGGACCCGAAGAGCTTCAATGATTGGTGGGAGGGTAGCTGTGCCGTGGGTGTTTGCCCTTCGCAATGTGATACCCTTGGAACGGTGAAGCCAAGGAAACCTGAACGAGGGATCCACAAGGATGGGGAACTTTGGCGGCTCGGGTTGGGTCCTCTCGCCATCGAAGATCTCGGCAAAAGGGACTTGAAAGTCCGTCAGATTCCCGGTGAGGAAACAGGAACCGTTCCCAACGGAGCGGGAGCGGAAGACCAAGCGGTGATGTTTCAACCAGGGAGAAATCCAAAAAGCCTGTCCTGGTTCGGACAGATCCAGAGTCTCTCCAAACATTCAGAGACCACCAAACCCAAAGAGTTGTTTGTTGCTCACGGGAAACAGGCGCCGAAACTGTGCTCCCAAATGTCAAGCCTACACAAATCCCATAAACCACCCCTGAAAACTCAACCATGCACCTGACAGGCACCCTGCAGCATGAGGAAGTTGGTAGATGCATCTTCCAAACATGTTTGCGCGAGTGCAACTCCCGGCGACGCAAAAAGAGCGACCAACTCGAACAGGAACCCCCTCAAAGGATACCTTCAAAACCCAGCTGTGGAAAACCAGCTCAATCAGCTGGCCACATTTGTCTACCAGCCTCAAAGTCAAGTAGGTGAAAGGGAACCACCCAACCACTAGGTTCTGACTTTGATACTCTCAAAGCGAGGACTCCGCCGGTTGTGTGACTTCTCACCTGGATGTTTTTGCTGGACGATTTTTCAGGGACCAAAGCTGGGGGCTTTCTTGGGGCCCAAATCCCGTTAACCCGCCTCTGCACCGAAAGAAGGGCCGCAGGGTGGGCTTGGCGATCCGCAACCTCGAGACATCGATCCCAACTCAACCGATCGGGCTGTACGAGGGGCAGGGGTGTCCCTAACCGGGGGGTGGGTTACCAATTGCTTCCTGAGTGAAAAGGCCCAAACTTGCTGTTTGCCACTAAAATGGCCCACCTGGACCGAAGGGTTGCCACAGAAGCATGGTCTTTTACCCATGCGAACACCGAGTGACTTGAGTTCTTGTTTTCCAGGTTCGGATCAGGTGGCAAGCAAGCCCCTGAAAGGTCATGAGGGGGTCAGGAGGGGGACCAAGAACCCCGCCACAACCAGAAAAACTTCAGAGAAGAAAGCATTCTGACCCGAGCACCACCATGACCCTAGCAGTGCTGTGTACCTGTTTACACACCCGTGCGAGAAATGACTCTGAAAGGCATGTTGCTCACACATCCCTTTCCCTATAGAAAGGATAGTACCCATCAAGTGGGTTGGCAACCAGGGCATCACGGCATATACACATGATATGTCTTACTTCCTGAACGCATTGCCTCCGATCCAGCGGTGTGGATTTATTGTGAGATGATTGTTTTTTCAGTTTTTTTTGCATAGATTAACAACAGTGCCCAAGCCAAAAAGCCACCAAAAGCCGCATAAACCAGCAAAAAGCCGAAAAGCCCAGAAGCCGAGAAGCCAAAAAGCCAACAAGCCAAGAAGCCTAAAAGCCAAGAAGCCAAGAAGCCAAAAAGCCAAGAAGCCAAGAAGCACAGAAGCCAAAAGCGAAAAGCAAAAAAAACATCCTAAAAAAAATACCCCTCCGTGTTTAACAAAGCCGCGTGATTGGTCTCACTGGGATAAACCACATGCTAAGGCATCATCCTTGCCCTTGATGCGAATCTCAAAATTATCAACGCTTGGTTCCATGTCGTTTCTCTTTAAAGCGGAACTAAAAAGGCAACCCCATGTACGTATACCGTATAGACAAAAACACTATACCTACACACAAACATTTATACAGGGGTGGATTACGAATTGGGAATCATGCTGCATGATTTGCCGGAACTATCCAGCACCCTCCGACTACTGCCCAAACGGCAGTAGATAGAAATTTCCCCAAAAACGGCCGTAGTTAGAAAAACTACTGTCAATTATTTTATATGCGGGATGCCCATAGTCTAACTACTGCTACTACTGTTTACAACGGGGAGATGCCATAGCAGGGGTGGTAGCAATCAAGGGGTGGCAGCAAGTGCAGCAAGCGCCTCACAGCGTGTCACCCCGTGTCACCTGCGTGTCACCTGCGTGTCACCCCGTGTCGCCCCCGCGTCACCCCGTGTCGCCCCCGTGTCGCCCCCCTGTCGCCCCCCCCCCCAGAACGACAGTAGATCGCTGCGAACTACTGTCGTTTGAGCGTGTCACCCCGTGTCGCCCCCGTGTCGCTCCCGTGTCGCCCCCGTGTCGCCCCCGTGTCGCCCCCGTGTCACCCCATGTCACCCCCCCCGTGTCGCCTGCGTGTCACCCCGTGTCGCCTGCGTGTCACCCCGTGGTCTTGTTGTTCACTGTTTGGGGCAACATGAAACGACCGTAGATCGCGGATCTACTGTCGTTTATTCTATTTTCGGAACTACTGCCAAATACCCGGTAGTTCCGAAAACAAAATTTAGACGGTAGTCGGAGGGTGCTGGATGCTATATTATGCTATAATTTATCAATCACATGCACCTTCAACCAAAGCGAGCACGGAATCAACAACCAAATCACTCTGTCCTGGCCATTAGTTCACCTCTATCAAAGTAGACCCCTAATGTCGACCTATGATTAATACCCCCCCTGAATAAAGTTATGTTGTCAGTCATTACTAATTAATAAAGGTATCTTGCTTCTGGGTGGGGGGGGATAGTTGTGCGCTCCAAAACAAACTACCAAATACCAGACACACCCACACACACACACACTCACACACTCGCCAGCATCATCTTTTCCACTAGCTGGTTTGATTGGTCAGTATCTGCCTGCCTTCAGAGCTTCCCTTGAAGCTTGCTCCCCATGATTTCAACCATCTAGCTTTTGCAATCCCAAAAAAGTTCCTAAACTGCAAACTTTTTACATAATCGTGTTTAAAAAGTGGCCCCGAATCAACCCTACAAGGGCTGCAGTACTGGCGGGGTTGAAAACCACACTATTTAGGGGGCCCTCCTAAATACCCCCCCTCCCCCCCCAAAAAAAGATGTCACCCAATCTCAACTCGTGTTTGAAAAGGCTTTCTTTGTAAAAGGCTCAATGTTTGAAAGGTTCCCTTAAAGCTTACTCCCTATTATTTCAATCATATAGCTTCTGCAATCCAACAACAAATCCCGCTCCTAAACTGCAAATTCTTTAAATACTCTTGTTTAAAAAAGGGCCCCTAATCAAACCTACAAGGGGGGTGTACTTGGGGGTTGAAAACACCATTATTTAGGGGAGCCCCTAAATAAACACTCTTGGTTGTCTCCCCCCCACCCCCCGCCCGAGAAAGAAAAAAAGGATGTCACCAGCAATGCTAAATCAGTTGGAAACTCAAATCCCTCAAGTCAAATCTGAAAAGCAGTCTCCAGCAATACTAAACCAATTGGAAACTCAAATCCCTCAAGTCAAATCTCAAAAGGAGGCTCCAGCAACACTAAATCGATTGGAAACTCAAATCCACATATTCTAAATAAATTGGGAACCCAAATGCAGTCTCAAAAGGAGGCTCCAGCAATACTAAATCAATTGAAACACAACAAATCTGCGAGCAACGCTTAGCAATTCATAATCAAGTTGGGAGAACTATGGGGGGGGGGTTGTTTGGGGGGGGTAGTCTATTAGTCAGAGGTAGACAGTAAGTGGTATGTTAAAGAGAAACCACCCAATTTCTGACTCTATGGTCTCAAACTCCTGACCCAGCTTTGCCAGGCAGCGAAGCTTTTCGCTCGCCTTTCCGGTCGCCCCGCGCGTTCGACACCCGCAGCTGGTGCTGCAGCGCCCGGCGCAGCGCGTCGGGCGCGCGGCGAGCGCAGGTGAAAAGACGCTGGCCCCAGGCGGAGCTCAGCGTCAGAACCTCCTAGGGTTCACCCGAGAAGTGGCTTTCCCCAAACATGTCATGGGGCCTGGGGGAGAAGGGGGGGGGGAAGGCTAAATTTAGGCCTCCCCACAAAAGCATTGAACCCTGACGAGTCTGGGTGTTGGACCTGAAAAAGGGCAAAATGAGGTCCCAACAGTCTTGGAGTTACTGGTTTCCCCAAAAAAGATTGCGAAAAGGGTACACACCCACACACACACACGCTCATACCCGCTCTGATGGGTGGTTTGGCGTTCGGATTTTTTTGCGGAGGTTTTGCCATTCCAGAACCAGGGTCCCCAAACCAATGCAAAACTTCTATCAAGGGTTGCCTGGGCAACAGCTCCAATGTTTCAGAGGTATAGCTGGGGGAGCCATGGGCTATGGCCATCAATTTTCCTCAATGGGCCCTAATAGTCACCTCCCTGGCAATGGCTCTGGACCAACACTATGTCACAAGCGGGGCTTGAAGACTACAATAAAATCCATCTGGAGAAGCAACAGTTCATGCAACCGGTGCATTTGCACGTGGAGACTGAAGACTATATATGCGTAAATCGATCTGGAAAAGTGAAGATGCATACAACTGTTGCTTTAACTAACAACACACATTTAGCGTTTTAGATTTCTCGTCAATCGTTCTGTCTCACAAGGACTCGTGAAAACACTTTCTGGCACCCAATTGTGTTGCAGTGCATCAGGATTTTGTTTTCAGTCCCGATCAAACAGGCGGTTATCAAAACTAGGACCAGTTTGGTTGACCATCGTGACAGGAAACAAACATGAACACATTTGGAGCACAGGTGTGATTCCGGCAGTTTGGTTTAAGTAATGACTTTTGGTTGCACCTCGGCAAACCAAGCATTACCATCGCATTTTTCCTCAAAGGGACAAGGATTGGAGCAGGCTTCGGCCAACGATTCTACCATATGGTTGGTGGGACAAGGGTTTAAGCCTTGATAAGGCCTGTTTGGGCTCCCCGACCCTCCCCCCCTTCCCCCCAACCCCTGTGAAGGTTGTTGTTTTTGACAACCACTGCCATATTCATTTGGGTATGGGTCAAAAATAAAACCACCCAGGCGACCGCAGGCTGTAGTCCTTGTTTCCATTTACCAGGGTTCCATTTTGGGCACCTATTTTGACCCATGCCCCCAGGAAACATCCCAAAACAGACTAAACTGGGTGGTGCACCTACCCCAAAATGGTACCATTGGTTTTGACCCACAGCCATTTCAGCAGATGGAAGCTTCGAGGCGTGCGAACCCCGTCACCCCACTGAGTTGTTTGGTTTAGCGCGCAGGCCCGCACCGCCTCGCCTCCTCCGAGCAGGCGGTGGACACTGAAGAGGAGTCCTGAAGCGAGTCGCGAGTCCCAAGCTCCCTTCCCTCCCGGTGCTTTTTCGTCCCCTGGAAAAAATGGACAATAATACCAATAGTGGATATATAGATTCCCTTTGAAACCACCAGGGGAAATCAAAGGCAAATGAAAACTTCGCATGGCAGCAAATCGCCGAAGTGTCCCAACAAGACTCCGCCAACAAACCAGCCTAATAACCTCCCCCCCCTCCCCCCCCAAAACAAAAAACAAAAAACAACAACACTGACAACAAACCACCGAACAACCCCCCGCCCCCCCCCAAAAAAAGAAAGAAAGAAAGAAACAGAAAACAACAACAACGACAACAAACCACATAACAATCCCCACCTCCCCCCCCAAAAAGAAAAGAGATATAATTTCGACAACAACACCCCCCACCCCACCCCCCACCCCAAAAAAAACAAACAAACAAAAAAACACCTGTCTCTACAGAAAGAAGAAAAAACACATGGACACCCACCCCAAGTCCGCCCTCCCATTCAAACCGCCGCCGCTTCTCTTTCTTCGCGCCTTGTCGCGCCAGAAGCTGAGCTCTGCGGAGGCGGAGGCGAGGCGAACCCAAAAGGCCAGGTGCAGCCTGGGGGTCCAAGGCCGGCAAAACGTGGCACTGTGGATGGACGGGATTCCATTTGGCGCCCAAATCATCCTTTGGTGGTTGACACCATTTTTTGTTTTACAGGGAAATCATCCTTTCAGGATACGTCTTCACCACATGGGGAGGTTCCATCCATAGGGGTCTTTGCTTGATACGTCTGGGGCAACATGAGAAAAGTCTGTCAAGTGAAATGGGTTCCCTTGAAAACGTAACAAGGGAACAAAACCAGCAACATCTTGATACGTCACTTGAAGGCAGTAGAATCTACTAAGATGGCTGTGGGCGCAGCTCAAGAGATTCGGAGCGGTGACGAATGCAACAGGTGTCATGTTGATTCAAGGCTCTGGGATTCAACATTTGGGGGGTTGATCAAAAGGGCCGGTAAACATGGGAAGACCATTGGTTAAACAAAAAATATGACCATTGGTTGGATTCCTTCCATTTGCGTTGTTTTGGTTTCGCCCCCTGGAAAAATATGCCCAGTAGTGAATTCGATTCCTTGCAACCAGCAAGGGAAAACAACACATCTACTTCAGAAAATTGATGCATCTTCAGCAAATTACATGGGGATTTCGATCAACAAGTAAGGACCCCTTTTGGGATTTGGACTCGCGAGTTGGGGACAAGGGGTGTCTTGATGGTACCCCTTTGGCTTCGGGAAACCAAAGGAAAACCACGAGAAAACCGGTAGACATGGGTCGCTCATTGATATCCCACTGGCTTCGCTTTTCCTTCTGGGCTTACCGATGACCGAAAGGATGAAACGGGTGGCTTGTTTTTTTGGTGGCTTTGGAGGGACACCACGAGGACAATTGGGGCTCAATTTTGAGGTACCCCAAAAAAGGCACACCCACATGTTGACCAAGTCACATCCTGATGTTTAAGATGAATCATCCTTTCAACCCTGAAAATCTTTCCAGAGGTGGATTTGTGTAGCACGCCTCTTTTGTTGGGTCCGCCCCACCCCAAAAAACACACAAACAAACCAAATGATGATACGACCAACCATTAACTGGGTTCCGAAGGAAACCACCAACTTCAGGAAGGAGGCTGGAATAGCGCAATTTCTGTCCCAATTAACCGGATCCGGGGATCCCACAGAACTCACATTGAACATCACCAGACAATAGGGCCTCATCTGAAAAAAAAAGCGTTGCCACATGACTAACCTGTTCAAGACTGTTCATTCTTCCCATAACTACGTTTTGCTGCCCCCCCCCCCAAAGAAAAAAGCTTTCTTGCACCCGTGGTAACCTTGCTGACAAAAGCCGCCGCCTGGCCCCCAAAAGTCGCCTGCCTCCCCCCCCCTTCTGCCAGTACTACTTCCCCTTCATAGTCTTGAGGGTGGCTTTTCCCAACTTCCGGCAAGAACAGCTAGTCAGAAAAAGGAACTTATTTTTGCATGTGTTTCTAACGATGGCGGTTTAACAAGCTCATGCTGGGTCACTAACTTCCAGTCCGCCATTACTGTACCCTTGATGCACTAGGCGAATGAGACGAGCCCGGGTCAACATGCGGATCACTGTAATAGCAAAGATGGTCATAGGCTTCAGTGTTTGCTTAAACCAGTGCGGCAAAAAGGGCAAGGGCAGGGTTGACATCAACGGTGCACTATCAAGAAATTACTGAACTCATCTCATGCGTAACAATCACACATCAACTAAGACGCCATCATTTCAACAAGCTGACTGAGCCAGCAAAAACCCTCAGAATAAAGTTCAACTTCCTCACCTTGTATTCCCAAAAAGGTTGAAACGTGGTCATGTTTGTCCCAGAAAGGGCAGAGATGCCCTTTCTGGGATTCGCTGTGGGTCTTTCACTTCATGGTCATGGTCTTGCCCTTTGGTTGGTATCTCCCCTACAGATTAACATGGAACCCCAAAACCACCATTGGTAAGATCGGCAACTCCTTCTGGGAATTGGACCCCCCATTTTGGGTGCCATGTCAATTTGAAGAGTGAAGTTTTTCCAAAATGTGGCCAGGGTCAAAAGCCCGTACCCCCAGTGAACATCCCAATCCCCACTAAAATTATAAAATGGTGCCAAAATGGGATCCAAAACGGCTTAGAGCCAGAGCCATGTCAGAACCTTAACTTGCAACATCTTTAAGGGAAATCCATTCAAAATAGGTGAACATCAAAATAGGTCCTAAAATGGAGCCAGAGGTTATGCCCCTTTTCCCCTAGTGAGTCCCTTCCTACCCAGCAGCATCGCCGCGCAGGCGTCAGACGTGTCGGCCGACCGCTCCGGACCCTGCATGAGAAGTCTGTGCGCATGGTCGAAGTGGCAGGGAGGGGCAGGGGGTAGTTCACCCAATTATTAAGAATGTGTTTTTTAGGGGGGATGGGGAATGTCTTCTTCTGTGTTTTTTTTGGGCGGGGAGGTATGATGTCAACCCCTGACAAGCAAAAACTTTGGAGCACGGAACACCGGCTGTCATCGAAAACTGGGCTGTCCCCAGATTTCTTACAAAAAGTCGCGCACTAACCCTAAAATGCTCACAAGCCAAGCCAAGGGACTGGTATGGCTGTCAGGTGGGTGGGTGGGTGGGTGGGTGGGTGGGTGGGTGGGTGGGTGGGTGGGTGGGTGGGTGGGTGGGTGGGTGGGTGGGTGGGGCATGGCTGTGAGCACCTTCAGGCCGTCGCTTCATCCTGGCACCATAAGTCTCAAACCTCCATGAGATGAAGAGCCGCGCTTGGCCAGAGCCGGGCTTGGCCTTTGAAAGGGGAGAGGAAGGAATGGGGCTGGACCCTTTCGAATCGGCCCGTCCGGAAGTGGACCCTACCCATAAACTGCCACGGGACTCAGCTGGGGGACCCTGGGACTTCCCCCAAAGGCCCAAGGCGAGTAAAATGGGATCGGGAAATCGAGCAAATCCTGGCATTTGTGTTGGCCCTCCAAGGAAGGGTGTGTCTAAGGGTATGTATGTAAGCATGACTGCCTTTCGGAAGCCGACTTCGCATCGAAAACCCTTTCCATGGTATCATACATATAAACAATATATATATATGTCTATGCAAATACATGTGTATATACAAATACATATTATACATTATGTGTATATATATATATATAAAAATTATATACATATCGATAATCACATAATATTACATACATGTACGCATATGCATTTAAATCAATATATATATATATACCTGCATCTTCCAAAAGGTGCATAATTCAGCAGTTTCGGGCACAGGCATGTTTTCAGTTGAAACAGCGTATTTTGATACAAACTGCACTTTTCCTGTTTCAGCATTAGGGTGCATATTCGGGGTCACGTGGGCCTTGCTCTTCGTGCTCGTATGTTGGCTACAATGTACATAGTAATGCCGCACTTGAGTGCTACTTCCAAAAACCAGGCCTCTTGAGTACTGGAGGCATCCAGCGACTGTTTGAACGCGCAGAACTGGGTCACACACTATTTTTCTCCTGCTGCGCAGTGAAGGCCGCAATTGTGTCAAGCATCACGCACAGTTGGAGTGGTAAGATCTCCGCTGGTTTCAGAAATCACTCAACGTCAAATGTTCTTTGCTGAGTTCCTGAGACGATTTGCGACTAAGACTTGGCGCATGTTTGGCTTGAAGAGCTGTGATAACTTCATATGGGCAATTCTTGCATAGTGGTTAGAGGCACGCGAGGACAGAAGGCCAATCCACTTTGGGCTGGTTTGCATCCAAGCCAAGAAGGTTAGAAGCGCGTGAAAGGAGGAAACATGAGGCAACTAAACCAACACAAAAAAATGTGTTGCTATGTAAGTTGCTACTTCAGCAGTTGCCGCCAGAGGCTGCTGGAAGGCCTTGCCTACTGCTGCACACACTTGCAAAGCGTCAATTTCTGAATTGCAACGGGGCTTGCCATTGCAGCTTTTAAAGGAACGGACAGCTGCGACGTCCAAATTTGCAAAAACGAAACGGCGATAATTTGCGGCCAAACGGCGATAATTAGCAGCCAAATGGCGTTTGTTGGCGAACCGAATTTATAGCGCTTTCCGGTTCATTTCACACGCTGTTGTATCGCAAATTATTGCAAGGAACGTTCTCGGACAGGAATGTCGCTGCCGCTTGCAGCTGTGGTCATTGCGTTGTCTACAGCCATTTTTGGCAAGAATATGTTTAAGCAGACACAACAAATTAGCTTAAACTTGAACTTATCCTTGCTGATGTTGGCACCGTCTCACGCCAATACGCTGTGATGTGATTGGTGTTTGTGGTGTGCTGAGAGGATGCAAGGGGTGATTGCGGCTCGTATCAAAAACATGAGGGGCCTTAAGCTACAGGTCTCAAAAGTCTTTCTGGGTGAGCGCTTCTTGAGACGTCAACGTGCAACAAAGTTGCACGTGATGCCTGGAATTCTCGCGAGGGTCTTGGTTCCAGATTTTTGGGGCTCTTGAACGCTACCATTGGCAGATGAATGGCACCATGCTTACACCAAATCCTGTGTGCGTGCTTCAACAAAGCAACTGGCTTTGCTCAGGGAGGCACAGCCGTGGCAGGAGTTAACCTGCTATCTGAAGCTTTTGTAGTAATGTCAAAATATTGGAACTCTACATGCGGTACCCTTCGCCACTCCCTTGTCCACACCAACTTGGGGCAATGACACAAAACTGCACTGTCAACATTGAAGGAAACCAAAAACATCGCCAAACGGCAAGCTTTGATTGAAACGGCTGAAATTTGTTGAAACGGCACTAATTTCTGCAGTTTGGCCAAACGGTAGAAATTACGTACCCTCGGAAGATCCAGGTATATATATGTATATATATGTATGTCAAAGAGTCCTTAAAAGGGGCCCCACCGATAGCTTCGTCTCTTGAAGTTCATTGGCATAGCTGCCCAGCCTCCAGGGCGGTAAACATGAGCTGCGCTTCCAGCTCAGCATCGCTCTTCCTTGGCTCAAGTCTGGGCTGCCCTCAGAGTTTAACTTTTTGTGGGTTCAATGAAAACTACCATTAAACACTAAAAAGCTAAAAGGCTCAGGGGATGGCTGCAACCACCAAGAAGTGAGAAATGTCTCACTTGGGTGGGCTGGCCAAAGAATGGAACTTGTGGCTTGCCGCCCAACTGGTCTTCCAAACAGCATAAAGGCCATGAAGTCCGGGAGTGAGAAAAAGTAAATGGGCAGGTCTGAACAACAATGTGCCCATCTTGAAGAAACAGTTCAAAACTACGTCTCTAAGAACTTGAGAAAAGTTCCAATCTTTAGGACGGTTCGCTTTTGCGGCTCGATGCCTTGGGTTGATTCAAATGGACACTAGAAAGCTGTTTCTTTCGAGTATACCCTATCAACACGAAAGGGTAGGAAGCCAAAGGAAAACCGTGACACGGACATGTTCTACCATTGGGGTTTGGCCAGCTGTAGAAAAGGTTGGGAGAGGCCCTTTTAAAGGTGACTCAGGGGATGTGGCAAACGCGGTTGGACCTGGCTCTGCAGCCTGTGCAATGAGTAAAGAACCAGTCATTACCACTTTGCCAGATGCCTTTTGGCTGAGTAAGAAACACCGCAACTGAATCAGACGAAGCAGAATTCCCCCACCCCAAATGGAACATTTGCAACTGTGACTTTCCAGGATCGGTTCAAAGTGTTTCGGGTTGTAGGGTTTGTTTCCGTACTGTGGATGGAGGAAATCCATTTGCCACCACTTTGAAACCATGGTTGAATCCATTGTTTGTTGGTATTTGCAGGGGAATCGACTCATTCCAGGGTTTTCACAGCAGCTTATTATTAGCCTGAAGTTCGATTGGCAGGGATTTTTTATCCATCCCCTATGGCGTCCTCTCTTTGGGAATGCCCAGGTTCATTCCCAACACCCACTGCAAACCTATCCAACTGTGGTTCGACAAACGCCAAGAAGCCCGTTTGGATGTCTGAAACTCGATTAGACGCATGGTTGCGAGGTTCCACCAATCCCAAGTGATTGGCTGTAGGATGCTTTAGGTGGTTTCTTAGTAGCTTCCATTTGCTTAAGCCCCCTGGGAAAAATCAAAAAATATGGCCAGTAGTGATCGATTCCCTTCAAAACCAACAGGGGAAAATAAAAACAACAATATTCTTAAACAACTTACCCAGAGGCTCCTGGGGCTTTCCTTGGAAGACCCGACCCCTCCATTAGACCTCAAAACCAGGTTGCTTGAAGGCCCTAAATCAATCGAGAGCCTCTGGGTAGGCGAACAAGTAGCTTCCATTTGCTTAAGCCCCCTGGGAAAAATACAAATATGTCCAGTAGAGATAGATTCCCTTAAAACCTAAAAGGTCTTCTTAAACAAATGGAAGTAAGATTTAACATTATTCATAGGGCTGTGGGTCAAAACGAATGGGATCCCATTTTGGGGCTTTCGGTGCACCACCCCTTGTAGAACCTATTTTACTGGGCAAACACACGGCAAACCTCCGGCTGAAGGCCTGGCGTCGCTTCCTTCGCCTCGGGCAGCGGAGGGATGGGCGGCTCCAACGCCACCTCCAGGCGCTCCGACAAAAGCTGCGCCTGAGGAATCGGGCAGATGGAGGCCCCTGGGTTTCATTCGCCTGGTTTTGGTAACCAGGAACCTGGGATGTAGGTACCAACCAGGAACCATTCCTGGTTCCTTTCTTTTCTCCGACTTGGTTTTGTAATGTTGACCCCGGATTAATAAACCCCTGTCTATTTTCATATGAGGGTGGGGGCCCCTCCAAAAGTGGTCTGAATGCCCACTAAAACCGGGGACACCCCAACATTAAGAAACAGGTGTGTATTCATCCGGGGTCAACATTAACCAGGAACCTGAGATGTAGGTACCAACCAGGAACCATTCCTGGGTCCTTGTTTTTCACTTACCCGGTGTTGTAGGGGATATAATGCACTTTCATCATATATAGCATTAAGAATGGTACAATGGGATAACATAATGAAAATATCTACTAGTCCTGGTGGTTGTGTAATGTTGACCCCAGATTAATAAGCCCCTGTCTATTTTTCTATCGGGGTGGGGGCCCCTCCAAACCTGGGATGTGGATACCAACCGGCAACCATTCCTGGAGTTGTAGGTCACCAAGAGAGCTTGCTGGTGCGATAGGGAAGGCGGGAGCGAACCCAGGGATGGGTCGCGACGGTTTTTTTTCTTCCTAGGAGTGGCTCGCAGCTTAGCAAGGGCTCCAGTACCGGTTGGTTGGATGTTCCTTAAAGGAAACCACAAAAAGATGGGTTTGCCACTTTTCCAGCGGGATCTCCATCAAAATTCACAGCCATGTGAGCCTTAGCAGGACCAGTTGCAAAACAAGCGCCTGTCTTTTGTCCTGTTCCAATTTCGCATATCCACAAAAAAGGCGGGACCCTCAACCAAAAAAACGACAATGACAAGAGCCTTGGTTCAATTATGTTCAAATCTTTGACCACCAAAAATATCGACAGCCTTCAATGCAAAACCCTCTTTCCAATCATGAAAGTGGAACAACGCGGAAAAGGAACGTAGTCTTCCAAAATCTTCCAAACCCTCTCTGTCAGCTTCCCTGATTCTAAACTTTACGATAATTCCAAAAGCTGAACTAAGAATTAGGATGCCCAAGAGACAGGACCTTATCATGAGCTCTTGTTTTACCCCCGAAACCGGTGAGCTTGATATAAAATATATGATGTTGCCCCCCAGATGAATAAACCCCTGTATATTTATATGGGGGGTGTCCCTGGTTTGTGGGGATTTCTCACTTTATGAAGGGGCCCCCACCCCACATATATCAAAATAAACAGGGTGGATTCATCTGGGGTCATTCGTCGCAGGGGGCTCATGGCAGATTTTCGCAGATCTCAGACCGAGCCAACCTCCTTCGCGATGATGGGCGCTTCCAGGCCAGCAGCGGTATCCACGGCATAGGTCCGCTCCAACGGCGCCTCCGCGAAACGAAACGCGGCAAACGCCGTGGGTGTCCGAAGGGAAAAAAGCACCAAACCACCCGTGGCACCCTCCATGGGTTTTCAGTTAATTGGTACCCAAAATGGCTCGAACAAGGGGCACATAAATGGACAAATGGACAACCCTTGCAGGGTGCAAGGCAGTTTGGCGTTTGACAATTTTGGAGGAACTGCGGGTTTTGGAAGAAAAAAGAAAGGCGACCAGCTGCAGGTCTGAGACCGCGGAGCCGACGTTTTTCAGACCGACTTTGAGACAGCTGCGGATCAACTGGCAGGGTTACGAAAGGGCAAGGAGGGGGAGGGGGCTATCCCTAGATAAGCCTAGGCCAAGGATAAGCCCTTAATGATAGCCCCCCTCCCCAGTTCGCCCACCTTAGGGGTCCATGAGTTCAGGCGGGTGGAAGGTCATATTGACGTTTTGTTCAGACCTGGGAACAAGCAAACAAATCAGAGTCGAAAAATACCATGAAACAAACACGGGGAGGCGCGAACAAACAACATACAAAACAACAACACAAAAACGACAAGAAAACTAACAAACAAACGAACACGAAACACAGAAACAAACAAACAAACACTCAATCCAACAGACAGACTAACAAACAAACAAACAAACAAACAAACAAACAAACAAACAAATACACAAAACGCTAACAACCAAACAATCAACAATCAAGCCAAGCACACAAACAAACAAACAAACAAAAAAAACAAACAAAGAAACAAACAAACAAACAAACAAACAAACAAACAAACAAACAAACAAACAAGCAAACACACAAATAAACAAACAATCAAACAAAAAAACAACAAAAAACAACAAGCAAGCAAGCAAGCAAACAAACAAACAACCAACCACACAAACAAACAGGCAAGCAAGCACGCAAGCACGTAAGCAAACACACACACGCACACATACAAGCGAGCACACGAGCAAACACACAAGCAAGCAATCAAGCAAGTAAGCCCACACGCAATCCGGCCAGCCAGCCAGCCAGCCAGCCAGCCAGCAAGCAAACAACAAACAAGTTTTCCTTACACAAAAACAAGCTAAACCACAAACAAACAAACAAACAAACATACAAACACACACACACACAAAAAAAAACACTGCTACTGCCAAATCACAAGTGGAAACAGCACAGTGGCAGTCCAACGACTTAGAACAAAGCAACAAAGAGATAAGTTAATACACATCAGACTTTATCAACGCCATTTTCAACCACGACCAACATGAATCTATAAAAGCGCCCCCTGAATGCGTAGTAATTGCATACCTTTCATCAGCAACCATTGCTAGATATTCTAATCGAACACAAGGGCTTTGAGTCATCTAAGGGTTCCTCTTGCTTTGCGTCGTTTAGATGTGGGATGTAAAGGCGTGGGAGCTCTAAACACTGGCGGTGTCCCTTTGGATTTCCTTCGAAACAACCCCCCAAAACAAGAAAACACGTACAAATACACACGTTCATCCATTGGTTTGATGTCCCAAACATTTGGATGCTACCAAATGTTAAAGGCTGACGTCCAGCTTCCTCTTCCTGGCCGAACTTGACCCGCAACCCGCTCCGCTCGGCACCGGCGCCTTCGGCTGCGCTTCCCCGGAAAAGGCGAAGAAGCCTTGGCCCTGGCGCACGCGGTGGATGTAGCGCACCTGCAGTGGTCGATGTGCCAAAGTGGACCAGCCATGAGAGCTTTATCACTTCGAAGGGATTCCCTTTGCACCATAAAAGCTGGAATTGCAAATCTTCCGACTCAAATCCTGCGAGTAGCCCAAAGGAGTGATTCCGCTTTGGAAGAGAAGAAGCGCTCGAAAAGATAACTTCCCTTTTAAGGGTTGCCATGTCTTCGAAATCCCTTGCTCCGATCAGGATTTCGGAGCAAACAAGCGCCATGCCCAACTCTTTCCGGCCAAAGCTTCTGCGTAATTCTGTGCCAAGCCAAGGCGCAACATGCTTCGCCGCTCTCGCCACCATGTCTACGGCTGCCGCTTCCTCCACAACGGCCTGGAGAGAAAACGAGACGTTGCCGTAGCATGATTCATCCCAGGCAGGTTAATACGGAACCCAAACAACGCAAGTGTTGGAGGAGTCAACTTTGCGGGGACTTTTCTTGTGGGTTCCATGTCTTTTGCGTGGAAGACCCCACAAAACTGTTCAGCTTCCTTCTGTTTTTGCCACCAGAACAGCAGCCAAGTGGAAGAGCAGTTCGTGCGAGTACAGCAAATTGCACGCATTATCTGCATTTTCACTGATTCTTGCCAGTGGCCTTGCTGGGCCGTAAGCCGTGCAGTAGACTCGTCTGCGCACATCACCATCACCGGTTTAAGGATTGTTTGAAACCTAGTGACCCACAAGGACACATCTTGCAGACACCGGCAGTCCGCTTTCAATGTGTAGTCTGAGGGCATTTCGCTGACAAGAAGCAGGACCCAGCAAAAGGAAGCACAAGCTGTTCCGCCCTCATCAAATGAAAGCACCCTTCTTGAGGGTTCGGCCAGGTTTGGAGGGCGCGTGATACGACAAAATCGCTGTCCTGAGTTAAAACCCCGAACTTCATCCCAAACACCTAAACATATGTGCGCGTGATATATGTAGACGTATGTCTATATCATATATATATATATGTATATATATATAATATAATGCGCATGTATATGCACATGGCAATGTCATGCGGTGTAAGCATACTGTTCACCTGCCAATTATGTGCGGTTCCATTTAATGTCGTGCTTTCGGATCGATTTCTCCCACCATCGAGCGGATGTCCAGAGGGCGCCGCTGGATCGGATCACTAGGTGGGGCCGTTCCGTACGTGCGCTGGATGGTTTTTCGGCACCAGCTTTGCGTTATAGATCGCCAAGGCGTGAAGGTCCGGTTATGTCTGACTCGTTGCAAATATGTGGCCGGGGAAAACCCATGAAAAGTCGCCACCCCCTTGCGGATTCCAATTGCCGAGGCAAGAAAAAACATCGAAGGAAGAGTGGTGGGCCACCCCGTTTTGGATGTTTCAAGGGGCCAGACCCTTGAAGGCGTCCGGCCTGTATAAAAACAAAAAAAACAACCTCCCCAAGAAGGCCCCTTTGTTTTTCGTGGGCCGCGGATTTCGGACACCTCCCGGAGCCAAAACTGCAGATCCAGTCCAGGGATTGCTCACACAAGGGCCCTTTTCAGTCCAAGGAAACCCACCACTTCCCAACCCCCAAAAGACGTGAGCTTCAGGGAAGCAACACAAAGTGGCCGACCTGCGGCTTTCAGTTGCCTTGCACAAAAACCCACTCATGTTGACGAGTGGCAATCCAAACGCAACCTTGGGCAACTTCATAAGCAGCATTTAGTGGAGACAATGATATACATTGTATCTCAAGTGAGGGGAACTCTACAAATGGCTGGCTTGATGTTGATTTCCCCACATCCTAAACAGGTCTGCGACTGTTGGACACCCCCCCCCATGCATTATAAGCTGTCATCACTCAAGCTTGCCACCGACCAAACTGTGGCTAGTCGCAATGCTACCTTCCCAACCCCCCTCCCAACAAACCACACCCATCAAGGACACAACTAAAAACACATAGCCTCCCGCCTGGTTCTGGGCACTTTGGCCCAGTAGCCGCACCCTCAGGCAATGGGGATAAGGATGACCTTCCTCTATTGGGATCCCTCGGAATATAAGGAACTGGGAGGACCCGTTCATCCTTTCGACCCCCGAGCTACTTAGCTACTTGTTGAGCCCATAAACCAAGACGCAACATGGAGGTCAAAACATAGTGGTTTGGAGTTGGAAAAACAGGGCCCCACACCAGAACAGGGCTTTAGACTGACTCAGAACAGAAGGTTGCCGTGTTCAATGGACGCTCGCAACTCAAGGGAAAAGTAAGTCGGTGTCCATTGGCCCTTTCAGGTGATGATAAAATTTCACCCTCGGGGACGACGATTAACCAGGACCCCCCAATGACTGGCAAATGGTCTGTGGAATGACCTCCGAATGGCTGTTTCGGGGCTATTTGCCAGCCATTGATGGGTCCTGGAAGAACTCAAGACAAACTTGCTGTGAACACACCAGAATCTGGACACCTTACGCTGCAGCTTCGGATGCCACTCAGATTCCCGGATCCCAGGCCAGCTATAGCCCTCTGCCATGTTGCTTTGGGGTTTTGAAGGGTGGTTCCCATGATTGCCTAAGGACATGAATCACTTGTGATGGTAAGTCAATGTTGATTTCTCCTCTTTCCCTTCCCCCATCCCTCTCTCATCACCAAATCTGTGGCAGCTGATTTTTTGAAGTGGCTCAACTTGCAGCTCACTTGGGTCTTTTCGCCCAAGTTGAAGTCTTAGCCTTCCCATCGGACAAAAGCCAATCAGTTGGGATTTGTGGTTTCTCAACCAGTCGTCAAATCAGGTTTCAGCCATCCAAAAGTGCTTCTTGGATTGGTTTTTGTCCACAGTTGGCTAGGTTTGCAGTGGGAAACTGCAGGGACCTACTGTTGATGGACGAAAGCCTGCACCACCCAAGAAACCCTGGAATGAACCATGGTTTCAAAGTGGCGCGAAATGGAATTCCTCCATCCACAGTAGGACACAAGTTTCTGCATAAATGTACTTGGATTATGTGCAGCCTGGAGCGGGCAAAGAGGGTCACCAAGAAGGAAAAATGGTGATGCAAAGTAACGCTACTAGAGATTCCCAACTGGTGAAATATGACAAGGGTTTGTCTCTGAATGCTGACCCCCAAAAAAATGCCTACTTTCTCTTTTGGCATCCTTCTTGTAACACATAAAAGGTGCCAACCACACACGCAGGCGCCCCCAATTCATTGGGGGAATCAGCAGATGCCCAGCCTGACGGGCCTAGTTGTGTGGAATGGGAACCAAATCGAATCCATGCCCTCGAGCTTTGATCGTGGAATGCCATGGATCAAGCCCCTCAGAAGTGACCGGATCCCCAGCATAGAAACACGGAGAACTATGAACAAAGATTCCGTCAATCCATGTTCAAAAGAGTACCCTCTCATCGACACACATGACAGTGATACATTGCCAAAGGGAAGGTTGTCATCCATACGGTCCACATGGGCATACCAACGACACATAAGTTGTACAGGGGTCTACCCTCCCTCCAAAAGCAACAACAACATCCGAATCCACCACCGATAGCTACACATATTCTAAATTACCGTACAATAAAGAGTGAAACCGATAGGAATCGCCCCACCCCCCCCCCCCACCCCACCCGTTTGCTGGTGTTCCATCTCCCGAACTGCAGACAAACCCACTTGATTGAAGCCCCCTGGAGGTTCCAGCGCCGTGCATCGTTGGGGGAAAATGTAGGAGTGATGCTGAAAGCACAGCCCCCCCTCCATAGGAGCTGGGGATCCAAAATGGAGACCCAAACAAAAACAAGTGGCTTCCTTTGGTTCCGTGAAATCACCCACTTTACACATACCCAAATTGTTCCTGGGTGTATCCTCTCAGGTTTCCTGTCACCCAAAGACGGGTACCCTCAAGAAGGGCCCCCCCCCTCCCCCACATCCATGCGGCCAACCGAACACCGAGATGCTCTGCGAGAGCGCCCGCGAAGCGCGCCGGCAGCTTTTGCCGCCGCAACGCCGTGCCTCACAAAGCGCGCTGCTCGGTCTCGCAAGCCAAAGCCAATGTGGGAAGTGACAAGGATGTTTTTTTTTTGGGGGGTCCCCGGGGGGTCCCCTACACAAAAACCACACCCAGGTTTCTATGGCTGGGTCATCAGGCTCGCTACCCTTGCTGCATGATGTGGATGCCAGTGGTGAAGTACCGGATAACTAAACAGAACATTGGTGTGCTTTCCCCTTTTTCTGTCGCTTTTAAAGGGAAGCCAAACGGACAAAACGGAGAACCACAACTTGTTTGTTTGGTTTGCTTTGTCTGTTTCTTCTTTTTTGCTGATTTTTTATTCTTCTTCTTTTTTTGTGTGGGGGGGGGGTCGAAGGGGGTCCCCTAAAACAAACCACATCCAGGTGTCTATGGCTGGGTCATCAGGCTCGCAACCCTTGCTGCAATCTACGGGCCCCGTGGCTTGAATCTGACAAATAGGTCGCAATCCCCATGAGGCGCAGCGGTTGGCAGGGAAATGTACCCTCCCTCCCACTAACATGGCACCTATGGGAAGGTACCTGGAAGATGAATTTCCTCTTGAAGGGACCCCTTGTCAACTGTCATGTTAGTGGGAGGGAAATGAAGGTGTGGCGTTGCCTTTTCGTATCTATGTGTAGCCCTTGCGAGTTCAAGGCAGTAGAACACATAACTGGGTCTGTGCGCCCCTTGGGGCGGCTTCTAAAGGGGCACCTACCGCAAAGCCCACCATACTTTATCATTTTGGGGCTCTCTATTGCAACACACCCACATGTACATTCTTGAAAACTGAATGGGTATCCACATGGATATCCTTCATTTGCTTAGGTCCCCTGGTAAAAACAATCAAACAAACATCCAGCAGTGATAGATTCGCTTTACAACCAACAGGGTAAACATTACAAGCATATTTTCCAAAATGTTGGTTTTCCTCCTGGTTTCCCTTTAAGAACAACAAACACCAGGTACCTCCCCCCCAAAAAAAAAACAACAACGACAGACCCATCGGTTGACCTCGAAAAACGGTTGGTCCAAGGAGCGCAAAAAGTGGGGGTGCTGGGCATAGCCGGGGTTGGCTGCCACCTGCTGGGCTGCCGCCAGCAGTCGTTCCGGAAGACCTCGGACTCGCTTTGGTCTTCGGAACCGGGGAGGTTGGGGCTGCCCTCACTCGGATGCCCGGCTAAAAGTCGGATGTTTTGTGGGCAAAATGGAAACCACCACAAAACCCTAAAAATCTTAAAAGCTAAGGGGATGGAGCAAAAGTCCAAATTTTCGTGGGCAAAATGGAACCACTAAACCCAACACCATCAACACCCTAAAAAGCTAAGGGACCGGATGGCTAGGAGCCGCCAAGTCCCTGCAGGTTCCTCCCCACCAATTGTCCTGGAACCTGACGTTCAGGTTCCATGGAGAGGCCCCTCCCACCAACTAACATGGAAGTGCGCAAAGCCCCTTTCCAAGAGGAAAGTAGCCGTTCTACAGGGGTCTGTACACTTCCACGTTAGTCGGTGGGAGGTTAACCTGGAACACAAACAAATCCCAGGGGTTGCAGAGGAAACTCCTTTTGAGAATTGGAGCTCCTGAAATTTTGAAGACCCTGGAGAACACCCTGGTGGTTTATCACAGTAACCATTGGTGGACAACATGCAGAATCATGCCCACCACGAATGAAGTTTCTGAGGAGAAAAATAATGGCCATGTATGGGAAATCCGTCGACATTGGTCTGCAACATCTAAAATAATTCCAACACCCGAAATACGGGATCCCAAGTGAATTCCTTACATCTTGGTGAGCTCGTTTTACTCCCAGGTGTCGCCATATCATGAGTACATTTAAAAGTTACGGTTTCAATGTCTTTCTGCCTATCTGTCTGTCTGTCTGTTTGTCTCTGTCTGTCACTCGATCGGTCGGTCGGTCCATCCCAAGAAAAGCCTTCCCACTCTCCCGCCGAACCAACAACGACAGCAAAAGCGACACACCCATGGGTCTGTCTCTTCTTCTTGCTGAGGGTTGCTCCTGTTGACGTTGGTTTAAAGTTTAAAGCGCAACCAAAGGTAAAACGCGAAAGGGGGAAGGAATTGGTGTCCAAATATGTCCAAATCTGTCGCCTAGCTTGTAGCTTGGGAGTCCTTTTGCCTCAGATTTGCTTGCCATCTTTGGCGCTTCCCAGGATCCCTGATGATCCCCCCTAACGAGTTTCCCTGTCTCTAAACCTATAGAACGGGGCCAAAACTAGTACATGGAGGAAGGAACCTGAAACCCGCTCCCTCCGAACGGGGCCAGGGAGGTCGTGTTGCTCCTGAATATTGTTACTTGTTCGAAGGATCACTTGGTTGCTGTTGACCCCTCTGCAAAAAGTTTAACTTTTTTGTAGGTCAATGGAAAATCCCGGTTTCAACCAAAAGGTTAAAGTCCAAAGATCCAACCAAAATAGCCATAAAAACCATGACTCCGGATCCACTCCCTCCCCGTCAGCAGCTTCAGCTGTGTCGTGAGTCCCTGAGGCGGCTGCGGAAGCTGTGCTCCTTGCGCGGATGCATCGTTTGCTTCGGTGTGCGCCTTGTTACCTTGTCAACCTGGTTGCTCGCGTCATGGAACTTCTTCGATGCTTAACCTCCGATTTTCCGTTACCAACCTCAAAGAGTAAATAAAGTTCACCGCCTGCAGTCTCCAGGTAGACCAAATCAAGCATGCTGCACAAAGGTGAACAGATTCCGGGCGCTCGGCAGCTACACGATTGGATTGAACAACCACACCGGGAGAACCAAACTTGAGGGGCATTCCTCTAAAATTGGTTGGGTGCGCCGGATGCAATGTGTTAACTGGTCGGAGAAAGGCACCGCACTGCAATAAACAGATCTGGGCTTGTGTCAGTCAAAGTAGAGGCACCCCCAAACATGTGGTGTTCCTATTGGCGTCCCTTTAAACCGCTGACACAGGTACCCTCATATATTCATACATATATATATACTGTGTATTCTTTATATATTAGGGAACACGGTCTTGCGGAGGAATTATGTCTGTCTTGAATGCGATCGACATCTGATTCCTGTTTCCGCACCGTGGATCGACTGCTATCACACCAGGGACTACACACTCGTGCGTCATGTCTCTGATTCTTGACAGTTGCACCTGGGGATTGACTATGGGCACCAGTTCGAGCTGCAAGAAGCTGGTTCACAGACGAAACGGGTGCAGCTCATGCATTCCCAAAACTAAAACCATTTGGGGGTCAAACCCGCTTTTGCTTGTGTGTCCATTTTTACAAGGAATCTGCGGGGTAGGGGGGAACAGGGTTTGGACCCACACCCATTTCGTTCTGTGTTTTCTCGTCCGCCCTTTGGGGGCTCCTTCAAAATCGCGCTGGTCTCCTCCAGCTTTCGGACACGCAAAAAGTCAGCCGAAGGGATATGAGCCGTGGTCTCAAAAACGCACGTGCTTCCACAGGACGTGGCACTTTTTCATGAGGACTGGCGACTTTTCCACCGACGTGAAAACTGTGCCCAAGCCGCCTTGTCATCCTGCACTGGTGGACGCCTGGCAAGTTGGCTTGCCAGCTTGCGAGTGATAGACTGCAAGTCCTCCACTTTTTATGCAGTCGTCAGGGATTGCATCTGGCCTAGTTCGCCAAAACAGGGTGATGTCCCGTTGCTCGCACTTGAACCATCCGAAAGGACTTGTAAGAGAAGGAATGTAACACCATTTTGCACCAGACGGAGGAAAAGGAGAAGGAGAACAAGAAAGAGAAAGATATATAATTAGAAAGATGTAGAAAAGGAAAGAGGAAAATAATTAAAAAAAAAAAAAAAAAAAAAAAAAACATAAAGAGATGGAAGATGAGAATAAAGATACATATAAGCAGAAAGATAATGAGTAAGCAACAATAGAAAGAGAACGAGAAGCAGAAAGAGAACGGTATAAAGACAACGATAAGCAGACAGAGAAATAGGAAGACACAGATAAAGATAAAGGCAAAGAGCAGCAGAAAGAGAAAGAGGAAGATAGAGAAAATGAGAGAAAGAAAAGACGGAAGAAGACAAAACAAGAAAACCTCCTGAAAACAATCGTTCTGACTATGTTTTGACGCTTACACCCGGCTTCGCTAGCTCTGCTGGTTGCCCGATCAATTTGGACATCAGCAATTACCCCCAGCAACAAGTACTATGCTTGATTCTGGGAAACATATTTCGTGGGCCTTAACATGAAAGCAAAATTCAAAGAGGTTCCAAGATGCGCCACGTCAGGATCTCATGCGGCCCAGGTGCGTCGGCAGACTCGCAAACAGCACGCTGAAGCGATTGCTCTGCCTAAGGCTCAGGCAAGCTTGTTTTAGGGCCAACATGACGTCCTTCCCAGTCTGCACTATGGCAAGCTCGCGTCAGCTTTCCTCATCTGTGGGTGAAACCATCTCTTGAAGGTCCCATTGCTTCGCTTGCCTTGCTTCAGGGCTTGCTCCAAGGACAACCAACATTGCAGGCTTCCTGCTGGTCCACCCTTCAACGCCAACCAAAGGGGGATCTCTCGCTACAAAAGACACACCACACCCATTTTGGGGTACCGCCCCCTTTTGATGCTCGCCAAGCATTTCTTTCACTGACAGTCTATCAAACCATCCAGCATCAGTGCACACAGCTGGCTGCAAACAGTGGCATTGCCAAAGGCCACATGCGCCGGGCCCACAGTTTGCAAACTCGTTCTCCGACGTGCAAAGGGTCACAACTACTCGTGGAGCCTCCACAAGTTACCTGCATCAAGAGTTTGCTTCAGAACGCTTTGTAAATCCATTTCTGGCAGTGTTGGGCTTGGAATGCAACAACATGCTCCTCCACCTCTGGCTTGCCCATGGCGCAACAGCGGATCTCAATTCAAAATGCAACACTTGTCAACGAAATTACTGCTCCAGAGAGGTTTAGGCATAGTGTTAGAAACACGCAGCTGAAATCAGGATCTGAAAATGTGTGCCATCTTGCCAGCAGGCTTTAAAGGATATATCATACATCCATCCGCTTAGACGCCTGAATGAACCACTAGACTGGCCAAACATCGGTTCACCTGTTAAACATCCTCCGGTTGGTTCCTGTTTGAATGTTGGCAGGGAACCTGCAACTCACTCGAAAACAGGGTACAGGTCTGGGAAGCGATCGAAGTCGCGCCATCTGAGGCCAAAGCCACTCCCAAACTGCGCCTGCCGTGCTGTCGGATCTGGGAGTGCCCCATATCTGGTAAAAGGGACTTCTTGGCCAATCGAGTGGTGGGAAATCCACCGGTTACAAGCGACAAGGGCTTTGACTCAACTGGAGAATGGGGAAACATCAAGAAAGAAATCTTCAGTGATCATCATATTGTGCACATCGATCTGATCCATCTGCCAGCGAAAGTGACCCTTGGGTCAGCATATACGAGTTCAACCTAAGCAGTCACCATTTCAAGTTGGAAGCTTTTTGGCCATGAAACTGCCAAAACATGAAATCATTCCCGAGAAACATAGAATGCTATCACAGCGCAAAAGGGCATTGGGACTGCCGTCACACCGTCAGCACAAGCACAATCTGTCTGATGAGGAGTCCTCAAGTATGTCCAACACCTCTCTATAGTTGTTTGCCCACTGCCTGTCCATATGTTCTACTTGGCTATATGTGTAATATGTCATGTTGCACACTGCAAACAACGACATGTGCTCATGCATCACCACAAAGGTGGGCTCGCCCAAGGTGGATGTGCGCTTTTGGAGACCGGCGCGAGCTGAAAACACGGGGCGCACCATCTGAGTTCGGCAGGTACCACACCTGCGACTCCAAACGAAGCCCCGGGCAAAACATGAGGCCGCCCTTGTTTTTGGGATAGAATTGAATTTGACGGCCTTCTCCAAACGAAGGAAGACAGGGAGCCGGGCATTTGGTGGAGTTGGGATTGACGCCCTTTCCCAAGGGAAAGGGCACCGGGCAACTGGGACAAGCAATGAGTCAGGGGAAACACATCGGGATTCAAGCGTCTCGCAGGAAATCTGTGCCAGAACACCTGAAACAAATGTCGTGCGTTGTGATTTCGCAGAATCGGTGCCCAACATTGCCAGAGAAAGTGGATAAAACATACAAGCCGATGAAATTGAAAGTGAGAAAGCCAAAGCACACTACAACCCTGGAATCAAAGCCTGTTTCGAGGGGAATCCAGCTTCGCCCCCTTTGCTGGCTTGTGAGGTCACAAAATAAGCTCCATGGACGATAATTTCGTGCATCAACTGCTTTGGTTACCCTACGAGTGTGTCAACCCACATTGAGTTGGTCCTTCCAACAAACGAAGGTGGGAGCTGACAATCGCAATCCAAGACGTCTTTAAACGTCTTTGCTTTCAATGCAAAGGCCCATGGGAAAAAATCGGGAACGCTCGCTGGACTGACCGTCTACCCATAAAAAAGGAATTCACCATAATTTTGGGGCAATAAGCCATTTCAATGGAAGTCTGAGGGTCCAGGTATTCACAAACCTGAATAAGGGATCCCCCCAGTCAGGCATCATCATCATAAGTGAACCCCCCCCGCATTGGCGGTCAGATGCTGGGTGTGAATCACGTTTGGAAACTCAGCTAGTGTCATCCAGGCTGCAGTTAAACGTCTCATGTATCACGCAGTTTGTGCCGATTCCATGCTTGGCTTGCAGCACGCGATGCGGGTGATTCCTCTCGCAGATCCTTCACAAGCCTGCTTCGCATAGTTTGAGACGTGCATTCAAAGCAGCCCGCAAACAGCGTGACTTATTGTGCTGCGTCATCTGCTGACACACGGTTGGCTAAGTGCTAAGCGATCCCATAGGTTGTGCCAATGGCAACCAGATTGCCCATCCAAACAAAGAAATAAGCTGGACAAAAGAAATCTGACCCGATATTGGACTGAAAGGTGCCACACCTGCAGCATCCAGCTCGTTTTACCCCAGAGCTTGCTAGAACTTGTCCAAAAGAGCGGCCGGCATGACCGGGAATTCACCCCTGGAATGTGGATTGTTGCGGCAAAATACGTAATTTCCCAAAGCAAGCTGGAGAAACTCACATCATCAGCACAAGCAACACAAACCAGCAAACTCCGTACGGCGCTCCTACACACGATCTGCACCAGCCGGTCCCATAGGTCATGTTCGGCTCACTGAGAGCGTATTCTCAAGGGGCCCTTAAAAACCACCCCAACCCCACACACACACACACACATACACACCCACACACACACACACATGCATACACGCGCTGAGAGCGCGCGCCTCGCAGGCGCAGCCGAAAAGGCCAGGCTCAGCATGGAGACGCAGCTGGTCGCCGCCGCAGCCAAAGGCGCCCACAACCTGCGATCCCCTGCTGAGTCATTCGAGTCATGGAGTCACTGGATTTCCCGTGAAAATCCGAACCACTTCAGGGGTCGCTCGAATTCCCCAAATCAAAAGTTGATCAATTGACTGGTGGTGTCCATTGAAACGATCGCCACTTTCGGAGGAAACCAAGAAGGGAAGTGGCTCGGACACCCTGTCAGTCCCACGACGACATGTTTCCACAAAAACACACATCGAATCTCCTCGGTGTCATTTAAAAAACCTACACATCACCTTTCTCTAGGGGATTCCCTTGGCTCTTATACATCAAGCCTAGAGACATCATGCCAACAAAAGGAAACTCATTTGAATTGGCAAAGGCTCCTTCCATGATGCCAATATGGGTAATATGTGTCACTCCCAACTTTATCACTTTGAAAGGAACTCGAATCCCTCGCTTTGTTTCCTCCAATGAGCAACATGGGCACCACCATTATCCTGTTGAAAGGGCTGCCAGGCACTTCTCCATGAACCAGCCATTGTCCTGTTGGTCTTGAGATGGTTCCCTTAGTTGCCCAGGGAAAATGAAGTCACAAGGATGGCTACCTGTGTTTTCCTGCCTCTCCAGGTCGAAAAGGGATAGTCTTAAACAAAGGGGGGTGATGAGTGTGGGGCAACAGTATATCATCACCTGCAACTGATATAACAATATGTGCGACGGTCGTGACAGCTGACATATTAACCATTATATTGCCAGGTTTGACCCTTGCACATATGGGAGCAAACTTATTGATGGAACATCCCTGTGAGCCTAAAAACAGAGAAAACCTGATGGCAAACCCCGGTTCATCAACTCCCTCGCCAGAGTTGTTTGCAGGGGGATGCTCGGCTGACGACTTGACGGCTTGGGTGCCCCCGCGAAGACGGTAAGTAAGTAAGGCGGCAGCATTGAAACCGAGATTCAGTCCACAGGAGTTTCCGGAGGTTATAGGATGAATCAACGCCGGCTATGTGTGAAAGGGAACTGGGTTAGTAAATCATTGTTGTGTTTGCTGCCCCTGCGGATAGACTCTTTCTTCGTGCTGAAAGAGTGAAACCATCGAAGCCCGTGGGTATGAATCTCCAGGTGCAACTAAGTATGCTTCTGGGCCTGAAATACGAAGCTTGGGAAAGCGTCGAAGGCTCGTGCACATGCCCTAATAAAATCGAGCTCTTCCGCGCTTGGGGGCCAACATGGTCGCCAGCCCAAACCCTTTATGTGTGATTCAATTCCTAAGGCAACCTTCAGTTCAAACCAGCTGCACCCAGTGAATCAAAAAAGCAGAAGACTCGAATCGTAATCTTCTGAGCAAACTACAAGAAGTCACCCAATCTGCAAAACACCTCCACAGAAGAACCTTCATAAGTGTGGTCCCCCCGTCCCCCCCGCCTTTAAAGTCATGAAACATGACAACCAAACTCTCCAAGCGGACACAGCAGTGGGGATTTGCCGAGGTTTCACTCCTTGAACCCCGCCTTCTCCAGCAAGGCCGCAGCAGAAGCTGCCACCACCACCTGGCCACAGGCTTCAAGTACCGAAAACTGGTGACTTAGGTGCAAAACGGGTCCACCCACGACATCATTGTCACTGATTGGCAAAAACAAAGAGTCTAAGCTTGTTCTTTGCCACTAAAATCGTCTTTCGAAACAACCTTCAAAGTCGAGGAACTCAAGGAGTGAGTAATTCACCAACCCCAAGCAAGTTGTCATCTATACATGGAACCTTCATGAGCCAAAATGGTCTCAAACGTGAGGCGCCTACCATTCAGCATGTCCCACAAATAGGATACCATCTATGTTGAATAAACAGCCCTCTAACTTTGTACATGTTTTGCGTGGGGACTGGAAACCGTCCCGCTTTTTAGCTGGCCTTCACTGTTGGGTTGGTGCATCTATTCATTCCAAACCATGCTGCCTTCCGGATCGACAGGGTGGTGCCAAAAAATTCTCAGCGGTTCAAGGCCCCCTCTTGAAGGCTTCTGTTGGCTGCAAACGCGACCAAATGGACAATTTCGGACTAGGGATTCCCGATAAAATGAAACCTGTTTCTGTCACCGCGGAGACAGCAACGGAGACAGAAACAAGCATATATATATATATATCATATTCACAGACTTAACGTGGAACGAGCTTTATTTTGTATTTGGAAGGTCCACTTTTGTCTGTGCGACAAAAGTAGTTTTAAGTTGTTCCTTTTTGAGGTACCTGTCAGGGACCCCTAAAAAGGTGATGTTCCTCTTGACCATCGTAAAAAAGGGTTCCCTCAAACACACACACACACACACATCCACACACACACCCACACACAAACACAGTTCCATATGAGAAGTGGATGGGTTTCCTTGAAATCCGGCGAAGAAGGGGTTCCACAAAAAAGGAGCAAACTGCCCATGTGGTTTGATGTTTTCAACAAGTTGCTCTGGACTTTGCTGTTTCACTGCGCACCTCCGGCTGCCCATTGGCACGCTCTCCTCGCAGGAAGCAAAGTAGCGTGGTTTCCAGGGGGAAACAACATAAACCACAGGCCCCTTCAAACCCAGGTTTTGGGCTCTGATTTCACAGAGAGCCCCCACTTCACAAAAGCCATTGTTGTAAGGGAACTCCAATGGAGGGTTGGAGGGGTGCCCCAACGATACGGAGAAGTGTGGTGGGAAAGCAAACTATACATATATATATATGACATGTATACATACATATATATATATATGTATGATATATATATATATACGTACTGCTGGTATGTAGGAATTATCGGGTCAGGGAAATTTGGTTGCTTCGTGTCCTTTGTTTTTTTCTGTTGGAAAATACGTGATTACTTCGAGGTCGGGAGTGAAACACCCACAATGCCTTACAGATGGTTGAGAGTCCCTCCAAAGAGGAACAAGACCCTTAGCCCAGCACTCCGCCTCAAGTGCGTCCAAACAACCACTTGGCTGTGGGTCAAAACCAACGGTACCATTTTTGGGTAGGTGCAACACCCATGTTAGTCTATTTTAGCGGGGATTGGGATGTTCACTGGAGGTACGGAATTTTGACCCATGGCCATTTGTCTTCGTTGCAACCTTAGACAGATTGGAGCATTTCCCCGGGGGCCTGAAAATCGGTTTGGGCGCCTGGTTTCCTCGGCTAGAAAGCCCGACCCGGGAGGCTCCCGAGTCTCCTCCGAAGATCAGCGCCACGCATTGCATTGGCACCTCCCGGCTCCAAAGAGACGCGTGAACGTTTTCCCCGGGGGGCAGATGCGACGCAACTTCAAAGCCATGTTTCTTGAACTTGGGTACGAGGTACGTTGGTGACTAGCATAAGGAGCCAAAATGGACCGTCCCCCGCAACATGATGTTCTACGGAACAGTCGTGGATTCCTCTGGGGGAAAGAATGCTGCGCTGCCTTGCAAGGCCGGCCTAAGGGGGACTGGGCAACAAAGCCGGACCCCAAAGCCTGATCGCGATTCCCATCGAAGCCAAAACATGATGCTTAGTTCTCCGAGTGAACTGGTGGAATATCCTCTTTCCAACAATGGCGAAAGTGGACAGGGGCCTCCCCGTAAGGAAGGTTGAACATTCACCATCAGGCATCAAATGCGGCTTTGGGTGGTTGTTCACCATCGGTTTGCCTGTTTTGGGGGTGTTGGTTGCGGGTGCGCTGTCAAAAAATGCCAAAAAACACAACACACACGGTGTCCAGTCCGGTGGTACAAAAGGGATGTCACGGGACTCGGGCCAAACGCCTGATTGGATTGATTTAATGCACCGAAAGCATGTTTTAGTGGAAAATGCAAAAAAAAAAAAAACATGCCATGAGCGTCACCCATCCCTCTCTTTAGATGCCCACGTTTCCGGATTGGCAACCAGTTTTTGAACTGTGCTGGCCTCAGGTCCTGCTAAAAGTTTAACTTTGAGTGAAAAACGGAGTGAGACACTGAGGTGGTTTGAACCAGTTTATCAGGTTTCAGATAGACGAGAAATACAGAGTTGATATATCTAAACACGTCTCGCTTTGTAAACGTCAAATGCTTCCATATTCTGTGTTTGGTGCTTGATATTCTGTGTTACCCACACTAAACCAACCAACACACCAACCAAAAACCAAAGGGGATAAGGAATCACCCAGCGAAGAGAAGGGTCCCTGAGGGCTCGTGCCTTGGCGCTGCACCGGCGCAAGGCTCTGGACAGCGGCACCTGGCAAACACTTACTGTAGCCCAATGAAGCCCATCTGGACCAATATTTTAGCACCGGCTGAGGTATATGTTCCTGAGGAATAAAGACGCTTGGTCCACTGGTTTGCTGGCCGCTTGAAGAAGTTCCGTAGTGAAAGTCATCCAAGTGGTAGGTTGACCATCCAAAAGTGGTCTGAATCCCCACTAAACCCAAAACCCCTCCCCCTCTTGAACTGGGGTTTATTCATCGGTGTCAACATGATATAACCCCTTTCTCAGAAAAGGACACGCGAATAACCCTGGCCGAAAAATCAGGAAACTGCACCAGATAATGTCAATGGTTTATAAGGAACAAGCAGGCCACAGAAGACCTTGGTCCATGTTGAACAAACAAACGACGTTCACATGTAGCCAGTACTGTGGTCAATTTAGCTACACTGCTGAATCCAAACCCTGACTGACCATTACGTGACCCCCTGGCAGCTACCTTTCTTGCATCAACAAACTTATGAAGTGTCTAAAACGGGGCAAGGTTGCGAATGTAAGCCCGCAAAGTTTAGGAGGTGAGCGCTTCAGAAGCTAGATGGGTCTTAGGTTTCTTGCGTCTCCGAGCTAGGAAAACGTGTCATTGGGCAGCGGCAAGGGACCAGCCTTTTCCTCATTGCAACGGACCGGACTTCCAGATCTTGCAGGCCAGGTTGCAATTGACCAGACAAACGTGCCGTGCAACTGATGGAGGCACTCTCTGCGCCTCCGAATTGGACAAGCTTCCCTCTGAGCTGTCGTGCACGAACCTGGAATAAGGAGCCCAAGAAAGAGCTCTTCTGCATGCAAACAAAAACTCTTTGTAATCGATCGCTACAATCCTCCCAGTTCTACAAGTCCTCCCGGCAACAACCATGAAGCATTGGCTGACTTGCAACATCGCAACCGGTTCATTTGTCGCCTAACATTCGACACGCAGGGCCATCACTAAAAATGCGTCAGTTCATTAAACCGCCGGCAATTCGGCGGCGGTACCACGGCAAATGGGGCAAGACTGGTTACGCCCACGCGGGATTAAACCGTGGGGTCTGTTGGAACGTGTTATTCCTCAAGGCTTCAAGTCTTGTTCGGGGCAGAAAACCTGCAACATTGCTTGCCAGAACTCATTCTCCACATTCGCTGTGCAAGGGCAGTTTCCTGTTGGCTTTTCTTTTAAGCAACCCGAAAAACAGTTCCGAGCCATGTGTCTCCCCGCAAGACGCCCCGAGCGTGACGTCTGTCAACTCATTCAATCACTATGTGTAAAGGTAATGCTTCACTACTCTTGACCCCTCCCCCGCCAAAAAGAAAACACACGGGTTGGGTTGTTCTTAGACAAAGAGCTTACAACCCGACTAATCAGCGGGCATTGTCTTTTTCGGGCTGCAACATGTCCTGAATAATTCTGGTTGGGTGCGGAATCCACAAGATTGCAACCGGTGATGTGGCGATGCTTCAACCACAACGGGACATTTCAACAAGGACACATTCCAAAAAAGCGAGGCGGACCAGCCTCTAGAGATAGCAGCTGCCTGGGGTTTGGCAAGGCAGTCTGCACGTCGCCTGCAAAGATCACGACAAACGTGGCGCTCAGAGTGGCTGTTTGCGCATAGAGCGGGGCCCAACAAAGACCCGTTGACCGGTCGGTACCAACATGAAGAGGGTTGCTCGACACACCAGTTGCAAACAATGTAGCCCGAAAGGGAAACAAAGACACCGGTCTGGGCCTGAGTACAGGTTTTGTGGAAACCCATCAAACAACAAGCGACTTCAAGGGTGGCGCTGCACGACTGGGCCCAAAGCCTGTACTAAAAGCGACCACAGGGCTTTGGAGCGCGATCAGAAACTTCCCCGCGACTGACTCAAAGAGTATGTAGATACATTCCTATATATATATATATGTATCAAAGCAAAAACACATATACATACACAGATTGATTGGCGCTTGCGCACTAAAACAGAAGCCATCCGCGCGCCTCTGAATGGGTTGGGCGAACCACTATCACGAATCGAAGACCCTAGTTGGGTCAGTATTTTTTTGTTGTGAGTCGTTCCCGGGGCTTCAACGGGATGGCACAAATATATATATATATATTGTAATATCATACATAGTACACTAATATATATATATATATTTATGTTATACTATAATTTAATATATATATAATATCTTGCACCCCCACTCTGGGAGGGGTGGGGGCATCCGGTCCATGATTCCTCCCCCCCCAGGGCCTGGATGGACCCATAGGGAGGTGGACGACGGGCGTCTGATGCTCTCCCCGAAGACGAATTACAAAAATGAACACCACACCGACTATATAACACTAAATGAACACCACTAAAATGTTATAACCTCGACACCGAACAATCCAGAACATTTTGAACTGGACCCGTGGCTTTTGCTAGAGCAACCTTCGCGGCAAAGTTGCCTAGGCCGAAGTGTCCAAAGTGCTGCGCGTGCTCCAGCAGCCTCGCCGAGCTCGAGTCGGACACCGGAAACCAACGCATTTTCAGTTGGTGCCGGCATTTGGGTTTGCATCAAAACAGGGGAACCCCAAAATTCTAGGGCTACCTCCCCATTCTTTCCAGGGATCCTTCTTTTCAGGAAACCATCAAAAACCCAGGGAGACAGCTGGTCTTTGAAAAGAACGATGGTTGAAAAGAATGGGGAATCAACCCCTAGAAAAATGGTGGCTTCCTTTTGGTTTCCCTTGAAAGCCGTCCAAAAACCAAAGAGAACGCGCGCCCATTCAGAGACTAGCTCACGTGGGTATCACGTGTGCCAGGCTTCCTCTGAGATGAGAAACTGACAGTGCTTGCCAAAAATCGAGAATGGCAAGCTGGCCCACCGAAAGCGCATAGCAGAATGATACTCTTAGCTCACAATAGCCCTATATTGGGCGCAAGGCCTTATCACTTAGGTGATTAGCATTGCCTATAAACGTGCACCGAAATCCTTTGAAAAGCCAACTATTATTCCGCTGATTCACCTGGACCCACCCCCAAACAAAGAAAGCGTTCCCCAGAAGGTTTTCTCTGGGATGGGGGCTTGTTGGGTATTAACAAGGCTTGACTGCCAACTCACGTCCACATCCGGAATGTGTACATTGACAACGGATCCTTCAAACTGTCGCTACCCTGGTAAGCCAAAATCCATCCATGTCTAGAGACAGTTCCTCGCGTGTCAATTGTCAAGGAATGCAAGGTCAGGAAAACAGTCACGTAAAGCCCCAGGTAAGTATTGGGCCCGTTCCGGGCCTCTCATTTGGCTCTGAGATAGGTCCAAACCTGCCGATTTTGGCATGCCCAAAGCCTCCCAAAGACCTAGGTCTGATGCTGGGCTGGTGCATGGGGATCCAAGGGACTAGGCTTCTCTCAGCCGGTGCCAAAGGCGAGAATGAAGTTTGGCTGCCAAAAGCTAACCCTTTAACTCGTCGAAATCACAAAGAAAGGGAAAGATCCTTCTGTAGACACTGGATTGCCCTGTTTGCGTGTTCCCCTAAAACTGAACTTCTTGGAGGTCTAAAAAGGGGGAAACTCAGGGGCCCCTGTCCGAACGCTCTTTGACCAACTCCCAAACTGTCTCGTGCCAAGGCGATTTGTCCGCCTGGTACTCTCCGGGGCTGCTGACCTCAGAAGGGCGACCTCACCCGTGGAGTTCCTGGCGTTTGGAACCCCCCTCCGCCATCCATGAAGGGTCAGCAGGAAGAAGTCCACTGCCCAAGATTTTGTCGATAAGGCCTCCGTTCTCTTTTTTTTCAGGGGGGTGTGGGGTTCTGAGTTGTCAAATGCCAATGAGTCCAATACCAATGCAGGCACATGGCCCACAAGAATCAACGCAAAAGAATCACAACTCCAACTAGTGGATCCTTTTCATGTTTTCACCCGGATCACGATTATGGCGGTTGCCCCGACCACGCGAGTCCATTTGCAACTTGTCACCTGAGCAAGTTGGCCCTCGATAAAGCAACTCTTGGGCCCGTCAACGGTGTTGTGTGCAGCGGCTTTAAACGGGGTGGTGAATAGTTAAGTCCTGCAGTGGCGGATGAATCCGGGCGAAGCCCTACACAGCTTTACCCCTGGGTTCCCTTGGAAAGGGGGAACTAACACATTTCGTTAAGTGTACAGATGTGACATCCAATTTGGGCGGGAGAAGGCTAAACACTAGGTTCGCCTTGGGTTCGTGGATCCTCCCGAAGGTGGTTCGATACCCAAAAGACTTGCGTGGTTCAGTTCTTCCTTCCAGAAGAACCTGCAGAACAAGAGGGAGGTTTGCCTGGTCTGGTCAATACTACACCCTAAAGGCAGGACTTAAGTTCGCTCTACTTACTCCCAATATATGTTGATTGCCAAACCTTGACCCATCATAATTCAACTTGAATTCCAGGTTAAGTCAAGGACCTCCACCAGTTTTCACTCGTTTTGCATTCCATTTCTTCGCGCCAACCGGAAAACAACAAGAGGAAAAACAAAAAAAGCAAACCTACTCCACCCCGCCAAAAAAAGAAACGACATCTGCTTCTTGACTCTGGCCCATTGGATCGCGTCACGCGCAGAGCGAAAAACCGATCGGCGATCCCCTCGACTTCTCTTCGAGGCTTCGGCTCGAGCACGGGGGAGGCCAGCAAGCGGAGGCCCAGGCCCTGCGGGTGATCAATCGGCGTTCGTGTAAAGACCGACCCCCATTTCGTGGGTTCCCTATGGTCTGTGCGTGTGTGTGTGTGGTTTTGAGGAAACCCTTTTTTTGGGGTGGTTCAAAGTGGAAACCAAAGGACAGCTACCATTGCTTTCCTCCGTTGCCCCTTAGGGACGCGGAAAAGAAAGGTGAACCTCTTGGGAGCATGGCTGAATATGGACCAACATGGGGAAACCCAAATGGTCAAAAGATCGGCTTTGAACAAATGAGTTTTTGGCGGCACCGTGCAAGTTACAAAGAATGCGACAAGAAACCAGCTTTACACATGCCCCGATGATAGCAACCGCCACGACTGCGCACACGCACAGGACTGCACACACCCTCACATATTCCCCTGCTCGAAACAGCGCCAAACGCGTAGCCATCCCGATAGCCTCCACTGTCATCAGCATCCGCCGCGTGTCTAGCTTTCGCGCCAGCCGCATCTGGCGGTTTTGCGGCCCAGTTTCTGTACACAAAGGTAGGTGTCAAAATAGGGGGACCCCAAACTTCTTTTCTCCCGGACTCAATATTGGGCCCCCAGAAATGGGTTGTTCTCCTTTTGGTTTCCGTTCAAACCGACCTTCAGATGGGCAACCTCAAAAAAAAACACACCCCACATGATAGACCCCCGCCAGAACCCACTGTGACTCAACTGGGAGAAGGGGGGTGGGGGCAGCGGTTTTTCTGGAGTACTGAGTACCCCCGTGAAACCGCCAAATGACCGGCAACCTTCAGGGATGTTGGTGTTGTTTCTTAATTGGTTGGACACTATAGTGCACATCGTTTACATGGGATTGTTGTCCACCTCATTTCTCCGGATATTCCCTTTTGAGATTCATAGCCATGTGCACCCTTTAAACACCACAGGGAAAATCCAAAACTACTTCAGCCTTTGACCCCCAAACAGCCAAACATCATAATCCTGTGCTTCCTATAACCGGACCCCTAATCAAAACACTAGCCAACCCCCAAAACAATGCCACGATTTTTTAAGTTAGCCAATACCAAACCACTCAACTTCCTGGAAGCCCCGTGAATCCCACCAAGTGCTTAGGGGTCACCCCTTTGGTCACCCCTTTTCCGATGTCTGCCTCCCTCAAACCATACTTATTGGCGTAGGCAAAACCCAAAAAAAAAGGGCTGTCATGTCTTTAAAGCTTTTTGTTCTCGGTCCTTGCCTTTTAAGCACTTTTTCTTCTGCAAAATCAAAGGGTCCCACTTGTCCAATTTGTAACCCAATCCCAAACCCAATCTTAAACAAGTCTGGGCAAAACCCGGGGGGCCCTAATAAATAAAAACACTCGGAGGTTCTTTTTATTACGTGGGGGGACGGTTCAAAATTCAGGAGCAGGGAATATATATATTTATATATATGTATATTTCCTCCTGGTGGGGGAATCTGGCGGCGTAGGTGGGTTGGGAACCTTTCTGCATGCTGAAAGGCACATCTGCCCCGCGCCCGCACGAGGGGTTTATTCACGTTACCCAATCCCCTGATCTAACGCGCCCATTGCCATGGATCCGTTTCACATTTTCCGACTCCACTTCTGCAGGCCTGGCATTCTAAACGGGGAGGGTCCATTCCATGGGCATGTCCACTTCCACTGCGAACGAGACTCCCGGAACTCGGAATCCGCAAGCCAAAGCATTCTGCACGGCCTTCGCCGGGCGGAACAACAAATTGGGAGTGTGTTCGTTGCCAAAATCTGAGAGCAAGCCAAAAGTTACAGAAGCCTTAGAAAGAAAAAGTCCAGAAGCCGAAAAACAAAACACTAAAAAACTGAGGAGCCCGAAAGCCAAGAAGCCAAACACCAAGCTGCCGAAGAAAACGAGCGGAACCTACCCAGAAGCTAAGAAGCTGAGGCAAAAACAAACAACACAACGAAAAGCAATCCCAAAATGATAGACCCTCCCTTCACCATCTCATACTAGTACTTCTCAAAAATGGGGACACCCCAAGAATTCTGGTTTTCCTTTTGGTTTTCGAAGCGCATGAAGGGCGCCCTCAACATGAGAATCCGTGAGCGCCTCCAGGGAGATGGTCCTCCAGTCCTCTTCATCCACAATCACACGGAAGAAGATGCCCTGAGTGACGAGAGGTGGCTGTGGGTCAAAAATACTGTCGCACCGCCTAAGAACCCCCTGGAATGATTCGATTCCCCTGCAAATACCAACAAACAATGGTGCCCCATGGCTCTTACATGGTGCGAAATGGATTTCGTCCATCTACCCAAAATGGCACCCTGGTAAATGGACGCAATGACTCAAACCTGTGGTCTGGTGGTTTAATTTTGACCCATACCCAGGTGTCTTCTTGGGGCCCATGGATTGCTCCCATCTTGCTTTTGGCTTTCACACCTTTGTCCACTGCGCAAAAAAGGTGGGCACCTTTTTCGAATTGTTTCAAAGGGGAAACCACGGGTTTCCAAGAACCCTTACTGAAACCAAATAAACACAATTAAACACAATGGGATCGAATCTACTTATTATTTCCCAAAGACTTCCCTAGGATGGCACAGAGTACACAAGCCAACCGATCAACCCAAGGGCCGCTCGGCTCATCACAACCTGGTAGTCAACCAAGTTGCTGGATGAACCCCCCCCGGTAATAACTACCAGGGAAATTTTACGATACCCTCGAACGTATTTCTCAATAGTTTCTGAGTGAGGTGGGGGTAACTGCTGCCTGGTCGTAGCCGCATAGCGAAAAATAATCATCCCATACAGGCAATAACTAGCAAACCGAAACTCCCGACAAAAAGACCTTTTTTCCAACCCCTTGGGGCATCCATCCAGACCTCGAGTGGCCACCGGCCTTTGGGAAGTTGACTTCTTTACAAGGCAACAAGACCACCACCGCCGTCCCCCGGCTCGCTAATTTACTGACCCAGCTGGCCGAAACTCTTTCTCAGCGCCGGAGCGCCCCTCGTTTCGGGAATTCCGCTGGAGTTGAACCACTGGTTTGCAGAGGAAACATCCACCTCCCACCTCCCAGGAGGGGTAGAACCTCCTTAGATCGGCTTAGGTTTCTGAGCAGTTTTGGAGGCAAGGTATCATAGTCCAATTGATCAGTGCCTGAAACCCATTGACTTTTGGTCCTGCCAATGCGGTTTTGTTTAGCTCCATAGGGCCTTCCGCCCGAGAAAAGGCCAATGGGGATGGGCCTCAGGGGCGCTGAGCGATGAGAACAGATCGAGGGGCCAAGTTGCTAGAGAGTCCCCTGGAAGTAATGAAAAGCAAGTGCAGTAATGCAGACAAAATCCATTTCGCAACACCTAAGAAGCCCTGGAATGATTCGATTCCCCCGCAAATACCAACAAACAGTGGCTTTTCAGTGGAGCAGGATCTTGTCCATCCACAGTAGTGATAGCTTCCCTTAAGCACCAACAAAGGAAACTAAGAAATATTCTTACAGTAGGCAAAGTCCAGTAGCGACAGATTCCCTTCAACACCTTCCCGGGAGCAGACATTGACCAAAAACAGCTGCAGTCATAGATTCCCTGTAAAACCAACAGCGGAAAATCAAGAAACTTGGAAACAACTGTAGTCATAGGTTCCCTTTAAAACCAACAGGGAAGAACTAGAGCAGAGCAGCTGTAGTCATAGATTCCCCTTTAAAACCAACAGGGAAAAACGAAACAGAAATTGGGGAAACAACTGTAGTCATGTTTACATTCCTTCCAAAACCAGCAGTGGAAAACTATTAAATTGGGACAACGGGAAAACACTGTAGTCATAGATTCCCTTTAAAACCAACACGGGAAAACTAAGAAATATTAAGCAAATGAAAGGCAAGGTCTTGGGGTCACAAATCGATCATTCCAAGCCTTAAACTCAAAGCCTCTGAGCGCCAGGTTGAACATGGAGTCTTCCTGCTGCTCCTGCCAGAAGCTGGCGGGCCCGGCGCACAGCCAAGCTTGGTGTGTGTGTGTGTGTGCGTGTGTGTCTCTTAAATTTTGCTGATTCAACCAAGCCAAGGTGGATGTTTCTCTCCTTGTTTTCTTGGCAACCAAGCCAAGGTTGGTGTTTCTCGTAGAATTACTCACTCTAAAGGACCTGGAAACCGAAGGTGATCACCTTTTGGCACCTCTAAATGTGGACCAAAGATGGAAACCAAAAGGTCAAAAGGTCGGCTTTGGGCAACTCAGTATACTTTTTGTTGGCGAGCGGTTCCAGGGTGCTTGATTTGATTCTGGATCGTCGAACCTTGTAAAAGCCGGCAAACGCAAGGTCACTTCTTGTCCAAAAGGCGAACCAAATGCCACCATGTCGAGTTCATGTCTGAACATGAACGGAGCCCATGACCCGATCATACCAACGACCCAGCTTTGCACAGGGTGAGTCGCCTTTTCCCCAGCAACACTGGCATCAGCAGGGATCTCCACGCAGCGAACACATGCTGCTGGTTTTCCCCCGACCTGGAAATTCCAATGTGTTGCAGCTCTAGCTTCTGGGCCGTCCCCTCAGGCTGCAAAAATCGTCCAGCTACCACTATAATTGGTAGGCGACCAAGTATGTGCAGCTCTGGCTTTTTTGCGATGGTTGCCTTGGTTACCTACAATAATAGATGGCGCAGTGCTCTTCGCACATTGACATGGAACGGGGAACGGCGCCAAACACACGTCCAACACAGGGCTCAGAACCAACTGGGCTGGGCTTGTATTACAGGCCTGCCCAGGAAGGATTCCGCACACCGTCTCAAACGAGCTCTTAGAAGCGTTTTAACTTAAGCTTGCTGGAGGATGGGGGCCCTAGCACAACAATTACCAAAAATGGACATGTTGGGCGAATTGAAATGCATTAATTCACCACCCCCCATAGACAGAGAAGGTTTTCCTAAGAACTGGATGAGGCCGCACGCGATGGGTTTTTTAACGGGGGGAGGGGGACTTCAAAGTGTTTACCTTCAGTTCTGAATAAGAACAGGTCGTGACCCCAATGACTCTTATAATAGGGCATGCCATTAGTGACACGCAGCAACCATAGGAAGCAAATGGAGTCGTGGGGCAGGGAGTAGAATGAGTTCGTGTGGTCTTTGGAGCTGTCCCCGATCCCCACCCCTTAGTACTAATACTATCTGAAAAATTGAAAAATGGACTACCAAATCATTTGCCTGGAACTGTTGAATAGCAAATTTGCTCTCCATGTTTCTTCGTGTGACGCCCTGAACTGGACATGGGGTTTAAAACGGCCGGACACCAAATACCCGCGATCGGAACTCGTTTTGGTTGGACCTTTGAACGGGCTCCCTGAAACAACCAATCCTGGGGCCAGGGTACCAACCTATCAGGATGCAAGGAGCATCTAAGGATACATGTTTGGGGCACATGCCCCAGGGCACGCACTTCCCTTAAGGCATATAAAAACCCTGGCTTCGCGCTCCTCCCATTCGACCCAATCTTCTGAGACTATGATCATGCTGGGATGGCTGAGTCCAATCCACCCCTGAAATTGGTTTGGAGGTTAGGCTTTGGGTGTATACGATTTGGTAAGAGAAGCTGATTCAAATGCTCCAACCACCCTTTCCAAACCAGCAAGGGTTCCCTAGCTTCCGAAGGAAGTGATTTGGCCAGAAGCGTTAACCTGTTGTTTACCACTCGTAGGCACTCGTAGGTCTGTCTCCAAACCGGGGAACCCTTTTTGCATGGCATTAAAGTATTAAAGGGAAGCCAAGGAAACAAACAAAAACAGCTGGAGGAGTTGGTCCCTAATCCTAAGAAACCTTGTCTTGCCAGGACCCAATGGCTATGGTCGGAATGACCTCCCAATGGCAGTTTTGGCATTTGCCAGCCATTGGATTGGGGGTCCTGGTTAGGCAAATCCGAAGTCCAAAAGCTCCAGGTCGGGAGAGACATGCCAAAAGCGAATGGATGCGACATCTCCTCCATCAGCACCCGCAGCTGAGGCCAAAGATGCTCCGAGGCAATGGCTGTTGCCATGGTCCTGACTCATACCCGGAGTCTCCTTCGGACCCATAAAAAATGGTTGGTCATTTCCCAAAATCATGGGGTCATGACTTTAGGGTCGAAGGAGACTCCAGGCAAATTGAATGTTGAACCGGGTTTTGTAAACCCCTGTTTACTAATATGGGGGTGTCCCTGCTGGGTGAAATGTGAGCATTCAGACCGAACACTTGACACCCCCGTATGGCTTATTTATACGGGGTCAACATTGGATTGCCACGGACCCGTCGATTAGGCGCCCCCAAACAGGTTTTAGTCATCCCCCTTGCCATGAAGGGAACTATGCCAGCTACTGAATCAATATGTATGCTTGTGGGCGGCCAATAACCGCTCCTTTGTGCTTTGCGATATCTTCACCGACTTTCGCTTTTGGGTTTTGGATGAGTCTGATTGGCCTTGGCTCCACTCACAGCACCCACGAAGAGGACATTCACTCAAGGTTCGCAACCAAAAGGTGCTGTTTCAATCACCTCAAAGAAGGCTTGATAGAATTCCCACTTTTGAGGAGTTGTGCCTTACCAATTGGTTCATCGGGTTGATTACTCCGCGATCGACATTGATCTGCAAGTTGTTCAATTCCAAACCCTGAATGAGGGATCCCCAAGTACGGGACCTCCACATCATATCCAGCTCGTACCCCGATCGGTGTCGTCACAACATAGGACGGCATAAGGCATATAACCACTATGCGACTTGCTGGTTTCCGGGTGTAGGGACAAATATACACCCAATGGACAAATATAAACCCCCAATTTACCAGCATAAAATAGGGGGCATGCTAGCCACATCTGGTCCAGCTAGCGCATAGCTGAGGTCAACTGAACGCAGCTGAGTCCTGGCGATTTGCGCGAGGGCCTCTTGTAGCTCCACGCACCGCTGCAAACTACTCAAAGCCTGGCCAGGCGGCGACTCGCGGCCAAGTCACCCAAGGAAACTCACTTTATTCTGCTCCGAAAAAACATGAATTTAAAACCATGTGGTTTGATAACATTTTGTTTAAACCATATCATTGTGTTGTTTGTAGAAGCCAACACATTGAGCCACACATGCTAAAACAACTTCATTCTTAGGCTTCAAAAGCACCACCCAATGCTTTAACCAGCTATTGCTCTTCAGCATGTGTTTTCGCATTTACTGTCTTAAACAAACAAACGACAACGCGAATTAGACCATTTGCTCGTGAAACACATCTTCACCCACTATGAAGGAACTGCATGAACCAGTTGACACAAGGTCTATCAAATAGATTCAGTGATTTTGCGACCAGTTGACAATTGCTGGAACAGGTCTGCGCCACTTGTACGCCCTTGCGTTTGTTTTGCTGCTGCTGCTGCTGCTGCTGCTGCTGCTGCTGCTGCTGCTGCTGCTGCTGCTGCTGCTGTTTTATTGGTGTTGCAATTGCTGCTGGCGTCGTCGGCGTCGTCGTTGCTGTTGCAGTTGCTGTTGCTGTTGTTTTGTTGGTGTTGCTGTTGTTGGTGTTGTTGTCATCGTCGCTGTTGCTGTTGTGGTTGGTTGTGGTTGTGGTTGTGGTTGTGGTTATGGTTGCGGTTGCGGTTGCGGTTGCGGTTGCGGTTGCGGTTGCGGTTGCGGTTGCGGTTGCCGTTGCGGTTGCGGTTGCGGTTGCGGTTGCGGTCGCGGTCGTTGCGGTCGTTGTGGTCGTTGTGGTCGTTGTGGTCGTTGTGGTTGTTGTGGTTGTTGTGGTTGTTGTGGTTGTTGTGGTTGTTGTGGTTGTTGTGGTTGTTGTGGTTGTTGTTGTTGTTGTTGTTGTTGTTGTTGTTGTTGTTGTTGTTGTTGTTGTTGTTGTTGTTGTTGTTGTTGTTGTTGTTGTTGTTGTGGTTGTTGTTGTTGTTGTTGTTGTTGTTGTTGTTGTTGTTGTTGTTGTTCTTGTTATTGTTCTTGTTCTTGTTCTTGCTCTTGCTCTTGTTCTTGCTCTTGCTCTTGCTCTTGTTCTTGCTCTTGCTCTTGCTCTTGTTCTTGTTCTGGTTCTGGTTCTGGCTCTGGTTGTTGCTGTTGCTGTTGCTGTTGCTGTTGCTGTTGCTGTTGCTGTTGCTGTTGCTGCTGTTGCTGCTGTTGCTGCTGCTGCTGCTGCTGTTGCTGTTGCTGTTGCTGCTGCTGTTGCTGCTGTTGCTGCTGCTGTTGCTGCTGCTGTTGCTGCTGCTGCTGCTGCTGTTGCTGCTGTTGCTGCTGTTGCTGCTGTTGCTGCTGTTGCTGCTGTTGCTGTTGTTGCTGCTGTTGCTGCTGCTGCTGCTGCTGTTGTTGTTGTTGTTGTTGTTGTCGTTGTTGTCGTTGTTGTCGGTGTTGTCGTTGTTGTCGTTGTTGTTGTCGTTGTTGTTGTTGTTGTTGTTGTTGTTGTTGTTGTTGTTGTTGTTGTTGCGTCGTCGTCGTCGTCGTCGTCGTCGTCGTGGTTGTTGTTGTTGTTGTTGTTGTTGTTGTTGTTGTGGTCGTCGTCGTCGTTGTCGTCGTCGTCGTCGTTGTCGTTGTCGTTGTCGTTGTCGTTGTTGTTGTTGTTGTTGTTGTTGTTGTTGTTGTTGTTGTTGTTGTTGCTCTTGTTGCTCTTGTTGCTCTGTCCACCAGGCACTGAGCAAGCCTTGGACCTGGACGCGCCCAGCAGCTCTGGCAGCTGCGCCTCTGAGGCTTTTGTTTTTGTTTGGGTACCGCCCGCGGATTCCCCCCGTTGTGGGGGATGGGGTGTAAGAAGCCACCTGGAGGAGACCAAACAAAACAAAATGTGCTTCTTTTTTTGTGGCGCCAGAGACCCAAGAAAGTGATCATGGACCCAGCAGTCATTGGATTTGGGAGGCCCTGGTGTTTTGTTTTGGACTTGGTACCCTTTTCAGCTTGGCTCATCACGAGATCAAAGGAAACCCAACCTCATTTTCCTGGTCCAATTTTGACACATACCCAAATCGACCTCCTGCCAGATCCTATGATTGTAAAACAAAACCTTTCTGTGACACCAAAGCAGGCTTTCCCTGCGACTACGCAGACGGGAAACGGACGCGAGCAATGTTGTGACATTGGGGCCGGCGCAGTGTCTAGTACTCTCTGTTAGTACTTTCAAAGGGGTGTAATAAGAGCCCTTATAAAGCGATCGCTCCAAGGGTCGTCCATTGATCGCAATGGTTCTCCTGAGCTAAGTTTTTAGAGGTTCCGGCCATCGATGGAACCGTGGCCTTATCCATGGTTCCAGATCCACCCTGATGGCGACAACCCCCTTGTGGAGCCATATGACGCGCCATCTTCGCAGAGGCTTCACCGAAGATCAACATAAACACGCTAAAACCATGAGTGTTCAGACCCTGGCTCGCATGCTCCGCACAGGTTGCGATTTGATGGATCACGTTTGCGGCACCAATATAGAAGAAGTAACAGACCCGAGAAGTGAAATAAACGTGGCAAAGCTAGCGGAGGTCGCCACGGCTTGTGTGATTTTGACTGTGCGCAGCGGTACGGACCTGAGACAGCTCACAGTGGGCTATGTGATTGACTCTGATTGTGACACAGGGATACGAGCACAGTAACTCTGAGGCAATGTGCAGCTGACAAATGTTGAGACTGCAACATTGAGGCAGTGACATTGAGCGGCTGCTTTGGAAGAAGAACCCTTCGCAGAGAAATATAACCCCTCGCCCAATCTGGACTTCTCTACTCTTTCCTAGCCCAAGTATTGAATTGTTGAGGGAATCAATTCCATGTTTCGAGGTTCCAATTTCTGGGCTCTCTAGACCCCCCTTCATTCCTTCAGCCTCTCTAAGAAGGTCCTGGCATCTGGGTTGGCTTGGAACAAAGTAAGAAGCGATCTTTGAAAACAGCCCCTGATCCCTTTGCAGGGCGACGATGATGGTTGAACAATCAGCGAGGGGGTGGCCCAATCCTGTTTCCCTTTCTTGGATACATGACTCGTGGGTTAAAGGCGTGGGTAAGCATCGGAAACCTCGAGAAATGAACAATGGATTTGTTTCGCTGGGTTGGGCGCTAAATCTCTTCCTGCCTGTAAACCAATCGGAAAGAGCTACCTTCTGGCCGGAGCCGGGGGATCCAAAAGAAGGACAGGCGAGAGGCGAGCCATTTTTCACATCGAGCGTTAAAGTCTAACGCTTGTTTCCCGCTGTGTTCTGGTCAACACCCGGAATTACCTACGATGAATTTCAGGGGTTGAAATGGTGGCCTTAAACAGTATCGTGACGGGAAGATCGCCTTACCGGGTTACCCAGTTTCTGATCTGGACTCTGTCACCTATAGCTGGGTAAAATGCTGATCTCCCGCAACGCAAAGCACACAAGGGAATCTCTCGTTTTCTCAGACGCTTTTGGTCCAGTGAAGCTGAGCCCGTATGCGCGCCTTTAGTGCGGCGTCTCCCTCCAGCATGAGCTCCAGCGCAGCATTCGCCGGCACCTCAAGCTCCTCTGCCATGTCGCGTTGGAGCTCCTGAGAAGGCACGCGCCCACCCCGCCGCCCCACAAGGAGGGAAACCCGGGGGCAGTTTTGCACCCTATCTGCTGCCCGCGGCGTTGTTTGGCATGTCGGAACATCAATAACAAGCAACTAACACCACAACCCCCCCTCCCTGCAATGACCACCCCTGCTTTCACGCTGCGCCGCGATTTCTTCAAAAGGCAAACACATAGGGTGCAATCTAAATTGGCCGTAAGCAATCACGGCTCAAGAGCTGTTGTCATGTCATTAGTGCGAGGGCCTGAATGACTACATACCATTTCTCTTGTGACCATGACTTGTTGTAAAGTGGTTGCAAACCACACCACAACCCTAGTCTAACTATTTAGGCATTTACAGTACCCATGCGGGAATGAACCAACTGAGATCACAAGTTCAAGCCGCTTTCGCGTTCCGTGGGGTCCAAGTCAGTTGGCCCTGTCTTACAATAGGAGGACCCCAAAAATGATGTTTTTTCCCGTTTTGTTTCCCGTTGCGCCAAGAAAAGGATTCCCTCTAAAAAAACATTTGCCAATGGTGTTCACGTCAATGCCCGCTTTTGCCTTTGGTTTCCTCTTTAAACCAAGGGATACCCTCCAAAAAAGCAACAACACACCCATTTCCCTATGGTTTTGGTATGTTTTGGATACCCTGAAACAAAAATCTCACACACACACACACACGCACGCACGCACGCACGCACAAACGCACGCACGCACACAACGAACGGCACGGCACGGCACGGCACGGCACGGCACGGCACGGCACGGCACGGCACGGCACGGCACCGCACCGCACCGCACCGCACAGCGCCGCACGCGCCGCACGCGCCGCACCGCACCGCACCGCACAGCACGGCACGGCACGGCACGGCAAAGCACGGCACGGCCGCCGCGCCGCGACGCGCCGCGCCGCACGGCGCACGGCACATGCCGGCACGGCACGGGCACGGCACCGGCAGGCACTGGCACTGGCACTGGCACTGGCACCGGCACCGGCACCGGCACCGGCACCGGCACCGGCACCGGCACCGGCACGGCACGGCACGGCACGGCACCGCACCGCACCGCACCGCACCGCACGGCACGCACGCGCACACACACAACCACACACACACACACACTGTGGGCGTTTTTCGCTGGGAAACCATCTCCCCGGTTCCTGCACGCAGCTCTGCCACAGCCGCTGCCACGGCCTCGGCTCCTCCGTCAGCGCCCCCAGCGACGCGCAGAAGGGCAGCTTCCGCGGCGAGGCGCGCGCCGCGCCGTCCGCGGCCGCGGCGGCCGCGTGCGAGGCGTCGGGGCGAAAGACCCAAATGGCTCCTGGGGCTCATGGCTTTCACATGTCCAGCTTGGACCCATGTTGGACTCAGAACAATGTCCAGGTCAGTTGGGGATGTCCAGGTCACCAGTTGGGCCATAAATGGGCCAAGGGGCCCATGTTTCAGGTGATCAGTTGTTGGGCCAAAAATGGAGGGAACCGAAACAACCCCAAACCCGTTGGGTGGGAAAAAAGAACAATGTTTTTCCTGCAGGATCTGGCAGGATTTGAGAGGAAAACCCTCCAAAAAAGGGAAAGCGGGCACCACAGTGGGCTCAAATACTCTTTTGGGGTACTCGCTTCCTGAGTGGGTTGGCCACATAGAGTCCAAACTTGTGGTTTGCAACTAACATTGTCTTCCCAAAAAGTCTAAACTCCAGGAACTCAAGTAGTGAGAGTATGATGTCAAAGCATATCCTTAAAAGTGGGCAATTCTGCGTACCGCAAGCGCCTGAGTAGGGGTCTTTTTGAGGACGCCCCTTTTGGAGTGGTTTTTTGAAGGGAAACCAAAAGGAGACCAACCATTTGTTGAGGTACAAGACTTTCAGACAACCCGATAGGCTAAAGCACCGGTCACCGGTCCTTTCTTTGCCTCCTCCTCCAGCGACGCTTTGATCGCATGCAACGCCGTTCGCCGTGGTGTGGCCCATGCCAGACCCAAGGGATCGCCTCGATTGGCGCTTGACGTGTGGGAACTCTGGAGCGGTCGGATGGGAAAAAAGGCATGTCTCAAAATTGGGGACTCCAAAATGCCGGGTTTGCTTTTGGCCTTTGTTTGGGAACAGGGTACCAACTTGAGCAAACACACATGTGCTATCATATAGGGTGGTGTCGCATTTTCGGGGACCCGATCTCACAATTACGTTTGGGTCGTGTGGGAAACCACTTGTGGGAAACCACTTGGAGGTTCTCACTAGATGTCATCTGATGGTTTTTGCTGGCTACCGGTTGTGGAACTGGAAACACCGGGTACAAACCAAGCCGTCCTGTGATTATATGCTAGTTTGCGACAGGAGGGACGTTATTGCATCTTACAGCCGTGGCTTGCCAAAAGGCCCTGGGAACAAGCCCATGGCTTTCCACTTCCAAGGGAACAAGGATAAAATGGTACAATACTTGGAGCTCGCCAAAAGGGGAGAACACCATCAACTCTATCAGCTGATAGGTCTGCTTTGCGCTGTGAGCGCCTGGAAATGGGGGGGGGTCGGGTCTTTTTTTGGTACTCTAAGTCTGGAAACGTGTTCTCCCGCTTGCGAAAATGAGCCAAAGAGTGGCCAAGATGTTTTCTCCGCAGCCAACGCCTCCCGCCTTCAAAGCATGGGCCGGAGATCCGGAGATTCAACTCGCAAACCACAATTTGAACCCAAACCACAATTTGAATCCAATAAAGCTGCAATCGTCAAGGGGCTGAAGTATAGGCAATCCTCTATCCTTCTTGTTCGACTCCGAACCTATATTTGGACCAATCGACTGCCACAAAAGCCGAAAGGGTAAAAGGTGTGCAACGAGCAGGTCGAACAGTTTTGACACAACAAAAACACAACATAAGGACTTGAGCACAAGGAGGCATGAAAGGTAGGAGTGCACAGTAAGTCGCAAACTTATCATGCGAACAGACATGGTTTCAGCTAATCATGCGCTGTGTTGAGTGCAAAGAAGAAGGCTCCAAGAAGGGGCCAACAGGCTCAATTGCGGCCAGCGATCGTTTTTGGCAGCATAGGTATACAAGTTGCAAGTGGAGCTGAAGCAGGGTGGGATTGGGGAGGAATCTGGAACATGCGGTTCAGGCTGGAGATAAAGCTTAGACATGTCAAGGTTCATCCAATGTCGATACAATGTCTCCGGCTTTGAAAGTTAAACATCAATTCTAGCATGTGAATTTGGAAACCACCACACATCGCTCCCGTAAACACTCAAATGAGCCCCGAAGACAAAATCGAGAGTGTCCCTTGCATTCAGCCTAAATGTTGGTGGGAAGTGTGAAAGGTGCAAATGGAAAATGAAGCGGACACCACCCAAAAACCACTTTCGCTACCCTCAAGCTAAAATGTGGTGCGAAGTTTATTTTGGGGCTTGTCGTTTGCTTCTGCAATACTGTTTCCTGGCAATAGTAAGGAAGGCCGCAAACTGTTGTTTGCACTTGCCTTGCTAATATCTAGCTCCGATTGAATACACTGCGCTTAAAGGTTGTCTGATGTCTAAAGAAACTTCAATTGGAGAGGATATCATGTTTAACATTTAAGTTGAAATACAGAAAACAAATCACGGACCATAGATTAGAATTGAAATGTTAAATCCTCATTGGATTATGTCCTTATTCAAATAGGTTTAAGGTCAGTTTCGTTCTCAATAGTATTTGAGAAACATATTAAGTATCGTTTCATAAGGACATTATTCAGAGGTCCGAAAATCGTGTTTGTACATCGGCTCCATTGCTTGCACTTGCTTCTGCTGAGCGCTTCTTGAATAAATTGTGTTTAGCTGTTAACTTCTTCGTCAATCTGTTTAGACGCTACTAATTCGAAAACAGTGCAACTCGACTATGAAATTTCACAATGGGATTGTGGGTAGGGTCTTAGAATTATAACTTAGACAGAAACTCCTTGCCGAAGTGGCTACTTTTAGAAAGAGTGGCTGAGGATTGCTGTTTTGCTGTGTGTGTTTTTGCTTGTTGTGCTCTAGGCTTTGTTTGTTCTGGACTTCTCGAGTTGCTTTTTTGCTTTTTTGCTTCTGGGCAGACTTGATCCAATGGAACGAGTGTCTGAGACGTTTTTTGGTGGGTTCTTGTGTCTGCACTTCGACATGCCACGGTCCCTTCTAAAAAAGCTTGCTGCAGTTTCCGTCTGAGGCCAAACTCACAAATCCCGAGAAGGGTGCCATCTCAAAACTTACAAACTGTTCGTACCTGTGAGAGATTCCACCCCCAAACCACTATGCCCCTGAAAATTGGGGAAAGCAAACCCATTTAGGGGGGGGATAAAACCACAATAAACACCCTACAGAGTGACATACCCCATTTCTGTCGGGCCCTGGATACACTTTATTCGAGAGTGGTTGAACCATCGACGAACATGCGCTATCGCACCTGAGAAGATTTGCCCAACACGAAACACAACAACTTTGCGTTGGCCACTCATCGGCTTCCCAGTTGGTGGCTTGGATTGGTTTGGTCTTCCGGGTGGATCCCCCTGAAAACACTCTACAAGAAGTAGGGGTTCAACCCAAACCACGAATTCAAACCACCAATTAAGGTTTACCTGATAAAGAGGCGAACGGAACACCTCGCACTTCTGGAGCACAAAAGCAGTTGTGGTTTGGCTTCCACCACTTTTGGAACTAAAACGGTTCCAAGCAGTTGTTGGTTCAATCCAAGCCACTTCTGGCACTAAAACCTAGGTCTTCCAGTAGAGAGGGTAGAATAAGGGTTCCAACTTTCTTCTGTAGTCTATTGTAGTAGGGGAACACTCCCCCAAAAAAGTTGGAGAGAAAGGCACTACTGGGGGACCTAGAAAACGCAGTTGTTGGTTCAATCCAAACCACTTCTAGAACTTCCAAGCCACGAATCCAAACCACCAACTAAGGTTACCTGAACAGGGGTCCTTACATTATACACCTGAACATTGCCTTGTACATGTTGGTTTCCCTTTATTTTGGTGGAAACAGCCATGTTTCAAATGGTTGCAACATGCATCGTTTAAGGCCCGCTGAACTAAAACGGTTTCCAACGAAAGAAATCCGACAGGAGCAAAGTCCGTCCCTGGCCCCGCCTTCGCGGCGCCTTGGCTCCCTCGCGCCGGGCGAAAGAGCATGCGCATGCGCGCAGCCCATGGGAGGAAGTCGCTGAAGTAAACCAATGCCCCGGCCAGTGACCCAAACACGCGGGAAAAACTTGGTGTGTATATATATATATGTATATATATATATGTCCATACATATGTCCCCAAAAATTCTGGAAAGAACTAAATGGGGTTTATGGGAGTCACGAATATGGGTCACGCCCACAAGGGGCGCGCAGTTGTTTTTCCTTATGCCTCGGCGAATCGTTGCCTGGGGTCCTTTCGGGTGGAACGTTCTCCAGTGCTTGAAAATGAGGGGCTCGAATGGTTGTCGGTAATTATGCAAATCTAACGCGTAAGCTCAGGGCTCGAATGCTTGGCTATGTTTTGGCTGCGCAGAGGCTATAGCTT